TTATTTCGTTGAAGCCACATTGTCTATACTAACGCAAACCATACCATTACAACTCTTCTCTATTTCTTTTTTCCATATTAGATTTCACACATACTTAGTAACATCTCATTATTTAAGAGAAGATTATTTTGCTGAAGTCAAATTGTCTATACTACAGCAAACTATATCATTACAACTCTCCTCCATTTCTTTTTTCCACATTAGATTTCACACACGCTTAGTAACATCTCGTGTAAATTTTCAGGTAAGCCTAAATTGACACTAAACTATTCAAACACCATTTACCACGGTTTCATAGAGCCACTGCAGTATAAAAAAAATATGCAATATGTCATCATCTTTAGTATCACACAACTCATAAGCTTTTGAGGGAATCATCAATCCACATTTGGTCTAGTTCTTCCGTACTGGGATTGCATTAAGCAATAGATGCCAAACAAATATCACTACCTTTCTCGGTGCACTGCCCTTCCAAATCTTGCATAAGGCTTGCACTATACTCAGCTCCAAATCACTACCTGCAGTAAAAAATGATGAATGTAGCGATAAACTGATTGCACACTATATTTTTTGTCACCATCACACTTCCACAGCAACATGTCATTCACATTTTCTTTTGACTTCTTACTTTCCATAATTTTTCGCTGTTGTAAATCCTTCTCCCATAAAAATAATTTATTTTTTTTCAAGTAATTTCTCACATACATTGATCTATCTCAAATCGTCTGTTATCTATGACTCACGTCTCTTTATTAGTCATTGCTGAAAATAGTCTTGGGTATAAATTTGCTAATATAATATTTCTTGCATATTTATCCTTCCAAAAACTAAAAAACAATCATTGCCAAGTACCCGTATGTCATTAGAATCTATCCACTCATCAGCTTGCTTACAGACCCACACCACGTCCCTCTACAAATCTGAAACACTCTAAGCTACCTCCAAAGAAATTAACAGATCTGCAGATGATCCAAAAACTAAAAAAAAACAATCATCGTCAAGTACTCGTATGACATTAGAATCTATCAACTCATCAATTTGCTTACAGACTCACAACGTGTCCCTCCACCAAAGAAATTGACGTTGAATTTTCACTGCTTCCTTAATGACACCCAGTGGCATTTTTCAAAAGAATAAATAATGTAGTGGAAGACTATTTAAAACAACATTAAAAAGTGTTACTTTATCCCAATAGAGATGTATTTGTGCTTCCAAAATGCTAGTTTGCGATTAAGCACCTCAATAAGCTTTTGTCAAGCAGTTTTCTTTCTTGGTTTATCCCTAACATAGATGCCTAAATACCAAAAAGGAAATGATCTCATCTTGCAAGTTAGAAATTGAGACGTTGTTTATAGAAAATCTCATGTCACATTCACTCCTACAATACAACTCTTATGGAAATTAATTTTAAGTCCAAATATAAGCTGAAAGCTTCGTAGAATAGCATTTATCGTCTACAAATTCTGCTCAGTAGCTTCACCTATGATCAAAGTATCATATGCAAATTGTAACAATAAAATTTCTAATTCATCACTAACTTTAACCCTAGAAAAAAGACTTTTTGAGACGATACTTCTTATCAATCTCCTCAAATCTTCCACTGTCAATAAAAATAAGAAAGAAAATAAAGAATCACCTTTTTGAGGCCTCTACCAATTATCACTTCTTCTGTTGGATTCTCATTAACAAGGACCAATAAATGGTCACTACAAATACAAGCCTCTATAAATTATTAATGTACCATTTTTAAATTTAATTAAAAAAATTAAACAAATGAAAAAACTAAATTTAATTTCATTTTGTAATATTACTATATTTAATATTAGTTTTATGATAAAATTTTAATATATTAAATAAATATTTTTTATACTTTTAAAATTAATTTTTAATTTATTTAAATAAAATTATATAATAAATATTATAACTAAATAATATAATAATTATTAATTACTTTTTAAAATAGGTGAGCAAACCCTGACTTTAATCTACCATTTTTATTATATTGGGATTTAGGGCCAAAATAAACTTACTAACTATGGAGCTTTAAAATATTAAGACTATATAAAGAGTTAAGTGGAGTAGAATTTAAAGCTTTATAACTGAACTTAGTTAGTGACTAAGACAAGATAAGAAACAACTTGATAAAAGGATTTGTACAATTAAATCATCTTTAAAATATATTTGCTTATTTGAAATTTTAAAAACAAAAATACACGAGATAAAAGTGAGAATAAGAACATTGACAGTTTTTATATATATTATATTTAAAATTAATATATACTAAAATATGAAATTTTAAAATAAATATCAAAATATAAAAAATTTTATTTATTATTTTTGAATAAAATTAGTTGATTTATTTAAATTCAGAAAATGTTAATGATGATTTAAAAAATTTATTTATTTTATCTATAAATTGTTAATAATAATATTTGAGTCTCATATTTTTCTAATATTTTCTAAAATTGTATATTTTAAGACATTATTTTAAAGTTCTATAATTGAATTCCTAAGAAGTATTGCTAGCGTAAATTTATCTTTAAAGTAAATACATAACAATATAAAAGTCACTTTTAATTTTTTTAATAAGTATATACATAGAAATTCATTGAATTTAAATTATACTGTAATTTAAATTCAATAATGTTCAATTAGTGACTAAAATAAAATAAAGAAAGATTTGATAAAAGGAGTTGTAAAATTAGATTTTATTAGATTTCTTTGATTTATAAAAGTCCATAAGAATAAATTAATCAAGCAACTAAATGATACAATTCCGATTTGAAAATAATAAAACGTATAACACCTGTTTAAAAAATCTTATCATAAAAAATAAATAAGATCTTCCATAACAATTGTACCACAGTCTAAAAAATCTTTACAACTTTGAAATTTTAAAAATAAAGATACACGAAATAATTGTGAGAATAAGAACAATTATGATTTTTATATAATATTTAAAAATAATATATAGTAAAATATAAATTTTTGAAAAATTTACAAAAACATAAAATTATTATTTATTGTTTTAAATAAAATTAATTAAATTTTTGAAATTAAAAAATTATTAATAACAGTTTTAAAAATTACTAACGATAATTTTGAGTTGAGTTGGCCTGTTAATACTAAACTAAACTATTTAATTAATAATAAAATGAAGATAGTATTTATTTATTATATTTTGGTAATATATATGTATATATCTAATTTTACTTAATTTTTAAAATAAATTTTATACATAAATTTCACTCAACTTAAAAAGTAAAACTCATAAAATATACATAAAAACTTTTTAGTATATGTTATCTAAATTATAAAATCCTTAAGAGTATTTAAAATAGTTATATTTATTAAAATTAAAATATATAAAATTTTATATTAATTGATTTATGTATTTAATAATCAACAGTTATATATATATATATTACCTATTTACTTTGAAAAGCATATATGAAATTGGTTTATTTATAACTCTCTTTTCTTTTATCTTTATATCTGTCATTGATTATATATTTAAAAAATTGTTATTTTTACCTAAAATAAATATGTTGTAAATTTATATTATATCATAAAAAAAATATTAGACTATTTAACTTCCTCAAGTAGGTTAAAACAAATTCGGTAGAGCGAAATCAAGTCAAAGTTTTTATTTTGTTTGGCTAATATATACTTTATTGAGTTATTCAAATGTATGAGATTAGATTAAGGAGCTTTTGGTGTGTAGATTTATTTATTAGTCTTTCAGAATTATGTTTCTTAGAAATCATATATTTTTTAATTTATTTTTGAGAATATTATAAATATAATTAGTTTGTTTAAAATATTTTGAAGGATGTTATACAATATTTTTTGAAAAGGTATCTCAGTTTGATTTAAACATTTTTTCTAATAATATTAATATTTTTAAAATATTTATTTATTATGATAATTGATAAATAAAAAAAAAGTTACACTATTAATTACTTTTATGATTTTTTAAAAATTAGAAAAATATATTAAATTTTAAAATAAAAAATTATTATTAAACATTTATAAAATGAAATGTGTGTTCATGTATATGTGTGCATAAAAAAACAAAATTATATTAAAAAATTATATTTGGTATGTTTAAAATATTTTTGAGAATGTTATATAATATTTTTTGAAAAGTTATCTCAGTTTGATTTAAGCATTTTTTTTTCTAATAATATTAATATTTTTAAAATATTCATTTATTTTCAATGATAATTGATAAAAAAAATTACACTATTAATTACTTTTATGATTTTTTAAAATTAGAAAAATATATTAAATTTTGAAATAATAATGTAGATTTAATTATGAATAATCAATTAAAAATGAATGAGTTTCAAAATATTTAAATAGTGAATTATTTATAAAAAAAGTAAAATGTATTTTTTAGTTAAAATTATAAAAATTATTTTTTATTTTAGTAAAAATTATAATTTCAGCTTTTTTAGAAGTTACTAAAATTAAATTTTAAAAGAAATAAATTTATATTATTTTAGCCTCTACTTTTTTTTTATTTTTAACCAAACAATTAAATAACTTGAAAGTAATTTAAAAAAAAAGAACAATGATTTCATGAAAAATACTAGTGGGAGAGCAATACCTTTTCTAATGAAAAAAAGAATACCTATAGTTATTGAAAATTAAAAGAAATGCATATTAAGTAATTTTATATTCGTAATTATCAGATTGTTATGTGCATTCTGAAAATTCCTCATTTTCCACATTTTTATTAAAAACGTAATCGAGGATATAAAAGCAATGTGCAGTACAAGAAAACGCTCATCACCATGAACTATCAAAGCAAGAGAAGTAAAAAAGGAACAAAGTGAAGGAGAAAAAAAATGGAATTGGAAAATTCAATTTGATATATATATATTGTATTTACAAAGAATATTGTTCATTGTAATCCCTCTGAAAAATAAATTGATTGTTCTGAGCACCGCATCAAGAGGAGGCAGATGCATACAGTATCATTCAAATTTCTATAGTTAAGAGGAAGCCATCTTGGATTCTTCCAACCATTTCCAAACCGTCAGCAAACCAGTCCCGTCACCAGTGAAGAAGAGACCACCGGGACCTAACTCCATTGATCGAACCTCTCGCTTTGCAAATAATCGACCCCTCTCTGAAAATGATGGCAACTCATACATGCGAACTGAATTGTCTCTGCACGAGACAAATAATATTGGCTTCTCTTCTGCATTAGGCATCCCAAAGAGTGAAACAACACCCTACAATAAAAGTAAAATTTTAAAAGAAATATCGGCCCGATATCTACAAATGACAATATCAACAAATTATATTCACAGAAGTTTTAATTAACTTACATTTTCCTCTCGGTGCGTATATGTCACCTTCAAAGTTCCCTCTTCAGTGGCAACCCAGATTTTAACTGTGCAGTCAGATGAACTTGATAACAAATAATGGTCCCAACAAATAAGGGATGTGACCACGTCAGTATGCTCATTGAGTGTCATTTTACACTGTAATGTATCAAGGTCCCAAACCTGAAGAAAACAAAATATCAAGAGCTGTTCATCAAAAATTATATATTTGAACAATATCCAGTTCAAAAAAAGTACATATCTTTTAAAAAAATCCACATGGGGGCAATATACATACCTTTATACTTTGGTCCTTGGACCCTGAGAACAGCATTTTGCCTCCAACAGCCAGGCAAACAACAGCTTTAGTGTGGCCAGTTAGTGAAGCAACTGGGTCAAAAGGGGTCGTGGCTTCAGAGCTAGAGCTGCCTCTCCAAGCAGAAATTTCACCATTCTGCAATTTAAATAATCAGATGATACATAAATCGTTTGATGACAGAACAGAAATGTTTAAGAAGAGAGAATTACAATTAAATAACCATAAACCATGGTACGGTTAGTTACCTCTGCTGCAGCAAAAAGTGTATCATTGCCAACAACCATGGCAAGGACTTGTCCTTTAGGTCCATCAAGAGTAAATTCTGAAGCAGTCTGAATATTCCAAGCCTTCACAATAACCACATCCATGTAATCAGCTTACAAGCACTACTCCTATATAAAAGACATAATCACACAATGAAAAAAGAGAGCATACCTTGACAGCATTTCGCACACCAACAAAAATCCATGGCCCCTCGCTGATCAAAGAGGTAACTTCAGCCCCAAGATTTATCACATTTGCAGATAGACCATTGTGGCAGTCCCATATACGAACTGTCCCATCAGTGCTGCCGGAATAAAGTTTGTCAGACCCAACTGGAAGGGCAATCCCAGTGATGACCTGTTGTCAAAAGCTTAAATTTAATTACTCCAAAGATATTAACATAAAAGAGAGGCACGCAGATAGCAGCATATAGTTACGCTATAATGCTCTACGATTCTAATCAGTAACTAGTAACTACTATAACATCAAATAAAAACTTGGGTCACAGATCAAATTAGATTAAATTATAATAATAAGGAATTATTGCAGAAGAATTTTATAAAAAACTGTTGTGTTTAATACTAAAAGGGGTATTAGAGTCAGGTACCTTCTTGTGGCCTTGAAGCTTTGCCAATGTGGAAAACCCATCACCATAAAACCATGAATGTAAATTCCGGCACCGTTCACCATGTACACAATTGCCATTTATCCAGTATTTACATATAATTGGTGATGGCTTCTGAGAACTCTTGGCAACACTTGTCCCATCTTCTTTATCTGCACTCTTTCTAATCAATACTGTCTTTGAGTTACACTTGGAGGTGTTCTCAGACAAATGGGGCCTCCTTGAATAACGATAAGCAGTATTGGGCCTTCTGGCATCGTGATAAGGTGTAGATGGCAGTGGTGATTCTCCGTGCAAAAATCTGCATGGATTTCTGTTGCATTTACCAGCTTGCCAATACACACACGTCGTCACACCACATCGTTCCGTCCTTTTCGCGACCTTTATATCCATAATGCTATAAAAACACGAATATTCCAATTGCATCTCTAATCAGACACCGTATCGAATCAATAAATCCTCCATAAACCACAAGCCGATGTCCCAAATTTTCCATTACAAAACTCAATAACATAGTTGTAAAGCAAACAATGAACACAGACACTAAAAACTACAGCAGAACAAGTCGATCGACGAAGATTTAGTCCATCAAAGTCAAAACCCATAATAGAATTGGACTAAAGACTGATAATTTAACCTTGTTCAACCCCGTTGTTCGCCTTTATCCTAACCCCCCGGAATTGGGTATCGCCAATCCTTCATAAAACCTTAATAAATAAACTAAGAGGAACCCTAAAATCGAAAACCTATATTTGCACCCAGGAAGCACGCAGAACTTCAACGAGATTATTGAAATGGGAGAAATCCTATACTCTCGCAGATCATCCATAGTAAAAGAGACAGAGAGAACTCTAACACGAAGATTATTTTTGGGTGCGAACAAGAAGCAAACCTGTGTGTGAGAAAAACGCAGAGAACAGCCTTACAAGATTTGTTGGAACGATCAGAGATGAGAAGAGAAAAGGGTTTTCTATTCTCTAAATCAGAAAATATGACTGATGTGTTTGGATAGATGATTATTTATAGTTTTCTTATCTACATCTAAATTTTAAACTATAAATTTCTGATTTAAAAAAAAAAAAAAACAGAAAATCTGTTACGGGAATCTAAAATTTTTTTAACTGATTTAAAAAATTTAAAACCAAAGATATAATAAATAATATTAAAAATTAAAAGAAAGGTAATTTTTTAATATAGTATTTAAAATTACTATGTATTAAAATATGAAATTTTAGATAAAATAATTGAAATATAAAAAATTCAAAAATAGCATTATTAATTTTAAAAAAATTTAAAATTTAAAAATGTATTTTTTTCCTAAAATTAAATAATTTGTTAGAATTAAAAATTTAAATTATCTTATCTTATTTTAAAATTGTTGGTAATTTTTAAGTATCATATTTCTATGTTTTTTAAAATTTTCATATTTTAATATATAACATTTTTAAATCTCACATTAAAACTAATTTTCTTTAAAATAATTTTTAGAATAAATTTATTTTAAAATAAATAAATAATAATATAAAGACCAATTTTAATTATATTTTTATCGTTAAATAAGATTATTTATAACTTAATTTAACAAATTTACTTGTTTTAAAGTGAGTATCTACAATATATATATATATATATATATATATACATATATATATATATATAATTTAAATTATACTGTAATTTAAATTCATTGGGTTCAGTTAATGACTAAAAGAAGAATTATTTGAAATATATTATCACTAAATGAGAATTTTGGTCTCTTCAAAACAATTTTAGTTATTTAAGTCTCCTTATTTTTCAAATTGCATAAATTTATTTTTAAATCAATTTTTTTCTACTTAAAATCTTAATTCTTTTATTTTATTTTATTCAGTTTCTTAAGGATTTCTAATGGAATTGGAGCATGATTCAGAAGTTAAACAATTAATGAATAATTAGTAAATTTTAAAGGATTTATTAGGATATGAAGAAGAAAAATTTGAAGATTTTTCTTTCAATTTTGGATAAAATTTTATATTTTGGTTGCTTAATTTTGAATAGATTACAATTTAATTTGTATGTATTTTGAGTAAGAAATTAGAACTTAAGGTTGTGTTTGGATCAGGTAATTAAAAATTTTAGAGAATTTAAAATTTTAAGAAATTTAAATTACATTATTTAAATTAATATTAATTTAAAATATATTTTTAGATAGAATAATCAAATTTTCTTTATTTTAAATATTTTATTTGGATAGAGTAGTTAATATGAAAGACACAATAAAAATAAAATTATCATTCTATTTTATAAAATTAATTAAAAAAATTTAATTTATTGAATTAGCTGTGACTAAATAAAAATATGAATGAAAGACACAATAGATGAAAAAATCAAATTTAAATTTTTACTCTTTTCTTAGGATTTATAATTCTTTAATTTTAATTTATAAAAAAATTTCACTAAAATTTCTATAATTTTAAATTCTTTAAAATATAATATCTAAACAATAAATTTTAATTCATAAAATTATAAATTCTTTCAAGATTTGAATTACGCACTTAAAATAGCTTATCCAAACACATTTTAAAAGTTTTAAATAGAAGAAAATCAATGAAAAAAACATACATAATTTTAAAAATAAAAATAACTTTATCAACCCAAAGAAAATTTATGAAACCAGAATCACACATAGCTAGAGAAAGCAAAACTGTAATTGAGTCTCCTTTATTTCAACATTTTTATCGATGTGATGGATCCATTTTATCTAATTGATATTAAAAATCATTATTTCAAATCTTACTTTTAAGTCTGATATAATGTCAAACGTGTTCAATCAATAAAAAGATATAAAATTTTCGTATCATAGAAGAATCAATATAAGGATATGCTGCCAGATTAATTACCCATAATGCTTAGAATTTTGTTTTCGTTGTGACGGTGAGTTGCAAATGGCTACCGTGTCACTACAGAGTCAACAAGTTCCCAAAGTGATATCTTTATGTCATTGTGATGATGGACACTGTTTAATGCATTAGTAAAACATCTTACATCGATGTTCTATTTTTGCCTTGCGGCTTTTTTACACAAATAAATTAAAAAATATTATTATTTCTTAAATATCTTAAAAAATTATGTAAATATCTTAAAAATACATATAATAGAAGTTAATTTAAATCAATTTTTATTTTTATTTTACAAATTTTTAAACAGAAGTTAATTTAAATTGATTTCTATTATAAGTTTAATTATTTTTATATAGAAGTCGATTTAAATCGATTTCTATTTTACTTTTAAAATTGTTTACACAGAAGTCGATTTAAATTGACTTCTATTCTATTTTTAAAATTTTTTATATAGAAGTCAATTTAAATCGATTTCTATTTTATTTTTAAATTTTTTATATAAAATTAATTCATTCAACTTTTATTTTGGTTTCAAATTTTATTTACACATGAGTTAATTTAAATTAAATTTCACTCACACATAAATATGTTTTAGGAAGAAGTCGATTATAATTAACTTTGTAATGCATAATTAAAGTTAATTAAAAAGAAGTCTATTATAAATAAATAAAAATTTGTCATTTGTATATAAAAAATTTTAAAATTAAGTGTGAAAATTAAAGTGAGATAATAACATTTATTAGCAATCGCTTTGCACCTTTGTTCTTCAATCTTATAACAAATTTTGATACAATGACACAATATGTTGCATAAAATATGCATGATATGCTTAAGGGATGTCATTCATTCCTTGTAATTTCTAGAGCTAATTTGATTGCATGATAACTATATGAGACGTTTAGTAAACAATCCCTTAACTTAAATCCTCAGAGATACCTAACTGGGAGCAGAGAAGGTTGAGACAGAGATGGTGAAGTAGAGGATCTCATCCTGACGAATGAGCTGCTCCTTTCCCCGGTTAACTACCCCTTGGTCTTTCCTTTTAATTGATAGCTTCTACTAGAGCACTTGCCTTCACGATGAATCCCTTGATCTTTTACTATCTTTTTCCTTATTCTTACTAGCCGTCGATTGTTCTCGTTCTTATGAGCTCCAGCCTGATCCCTATCATGCGATCAAATTAGCTCTAGAAGCTACAAGAAATGAGTGACATCCATCCAGCATATCATACATATTGTGTACAACACATTATGTCATTGTATCAAAATTTGTTGTAAGGTTTAAGAACAGAAGTACAAAGCGATTACTAATAAATATTATCATCTCACTTTAATTTTCACACTTAATTTTAAAATTTTCTTATCTTCAAATGGAAAATTTTTATTTATTTATAATAGACTTCTTTCTAATCAACTTTAATTATGCATTACAAAGTTAATTATAATTGACTTCTTTCTAAAACATATTTATGTGTGAATGAAAGTTAATTTAAATTGACTCATGTGTAAATAAAATTTGAAACTAAAATGAAAGTTGAATTAAATTAATTTTTATATAAAAAATTTAAAAATAAAATAAAAGTCAATTTAAATTGACTTCTGTGTAAAAACATTTCAAAAGTAGAATAAAAGTCGATTTAAATTGACTTCTGTGTAAAACAAAGTGAAAGTATCGACTTTTATGTAAAAAAAATTAAACCTATGATAAATCTATTTAAATCGATTTCTATTATATGTACTTTTAAGATATTTACGTAATTTTTTTTTAAGATATTTACAAAATAATAATTTTTTTAAATTTATTTGTGTAAAAAAACCTTGCCTTGCTTCTCATGTATCCCCGCTGGTGCAGGTTTCGCAACCCTTAAAATAAATTAAATTGACAGAGACATAAAGATAAGTCGCAAAAGGACAAAATTTTAATAGCACTCCCATAGCAATTGATATGTTAAAAGTTAAGAATATATCTGCATGCTTTCCAGCAATATACGAAACAATGAGGTTTATCTGAATAAAGTTATCTTAATAAAGTAGTTCATTCTTTATCTTATGGGTCATATGTAATTATTATCTTAATACCATTATTCAATCAAAAAGTTGGGTAAGGGCATCAACATTTTTCAAGATGAATTAGGTATTTCTTTGATTTAGAGAAATCTTAAGACAGAATTATAAAATACCCAGGTAAATGTATGGTAAGAGTTCTAAGCTCTTTGAATCTGATAAACTGAAGATGAATCAAACATTGATTTCAATTACCATACCATTTTAAAGTGTTCTCTTGTTGACAAGAGTTCAAACATTGGCAAAATAAGTAGTTTTACTAATTATCAAACATTTCTCAAGGAGCTAAAATTTAACAGGAAAACACAAAAGGATGCCGAAAGTTAAACATCACATAATCTAAACATTGATTACACAGGTTACCAAACTTTGGCATTCCACAGTTTACACTCTAAGCTACTTGTTTCATATAGACAATGAAACAACATTGATGAGAACAAAAGTAATAAAGAAAAAGCTTCATGATACAAAAAGCCAGTTGCAACAACTTTCAATGGTTCCTCTATTTTCTACTGAACAAGCTTCTCAGTTTCCCTCTTTCCAACCGCTCAAGCAGCTTTTTAGCTCCTGGAATTTCCATCTCAGTGAGCTTCTTTAGATACCCAATTGCACCATAAGAAATCATCAGTTTCTTACACTTCTTACTAGAAGAAAGTGATCCGAGGCAAGACACTGCATATTTCTTCGCAGTGTTTTGTGGGCTTGGATCAAGCAACTGGACTAGATTTGGCACACTTTTATCATCTTTCTTAACTTCTCTACGATTTTGGGACAGAACCATTAGGCTTGAAATGGCTTGAGCAGCAACTTCTCTAGCAGTATTTGCTTTAGCCTCAAGCATCTTTATAAGAAGAGAGATGCAATCAGCTTCACCAATCATTTTCTTCATCTCCATTGAGCTGCAAATGCGGCATACAACAGACGCGGCAGCTTGTTGAGCACCTAAGGATCCGGACTTCAACACGTGAACCAAACGGGGAATCAAACCAAGAGAAACCAAAGTTTCCTCAGAAACTGATCCAACAAGATTCCTCAATGCTCCAACTGCAGATTCTTGAGGAAGTGGACCATCAAGATAAGTCAAAAGACTCGTAACACCGCCTTCTGATATAACAGACCTTCTCAGATTCTCATTGCTTGCAGTGAGATTCTGCAAGCACTCTGCTGCATACTCTTTGGAACCCAACAAAATTCCATGACTAAGGAGATTGATCATAACCTTTACAATACCTTCTTCAGCCAAAATCTGTCTCACCTCAGGAACAGCCGATACATTCTTCAGAGTACAAGCAGCAGCAGCCTGTGTCACAGAATCACCACTTTGACAAAGCTCAATCAAGGGCCGAACCCCACCGTGTCCGACAATTGCACGGGTTGTTTCTGCTGACATGGACAACCTTTGAAGAGATACCGTAGCCTTCTCTTTACCCATGACACTACCGGATTCAACGAGTCTTATAAGAGGTGGCAGAACTCCTTCAGAAACTAGCCAGTTTTCACAGCTCCCCAATTCCACAATTGAGCATATAACTGTAACTGTCTTCTCCCTTATCCGTGGGGATGTTGCTGTGAGCAATTGAACTAAAGCAGCAACGTTGCTCCTACCAAGAACAGCCAAAACATTCTGCTCATCTTCTTTCATAACTTCATAGAGCCTGTCTAAAGCTCTGTGCTTTGCTTCCAAGTGACCAATCTGAAGGCGTGCGAGTAGTTCCTTTATATTGCCATGTGTTGAAGTATCTGATTCTGCCATAGGACCTGACACAGTTAATGGCAAAGTAGCCTCACCGAGCACACCCGTCTTGATCAGGAGACCACAATCCTTTAAATTCAAATCCAGTTTCCCAATCAAGGCGTCAAGATCACTTTGCATCCGAAGCTTACCCTCGTACTTCTCCTTCACACACAACTCAGCCAATTCAATGGCTTCTTCTAGCGTCTTTGACACAGCCTGCAATTGCTCCTTGCAAAGAGCATTCTTGGAGAAACAAGGGTGGCTAGACAAATCCGATAAGCGTGATGGAATCTGCTCCAATTTTGAAACGATCATCTTCCACCTACCAGGGAACCCCTTAACCTCTCTTGCCTTAGCAAGAGAAACAGGAATAAATTCCTGTGCATGTAACAACCAGTCTTCAGTGGAACGGGCATCAACTGCAACCGCATCTTCACTAGCTTCCACCATGATTTCAAAATTGGTTGGAGTAGTCTAGTAGAATTGATGATCACCAAAACTGTAAAATAGAATAGAAGAAAACCAAGCTCAAAGAAATGTCCAAGATGCCAATTTGTAGAAAGGCAATGATATTAGTAGCATAGAAAATTAAAAGGTTGTGGAGCAGTTGCAATCATAAAATCCGTAAATTATAAATTAAGACTCCAATAGAAAATTCTCAGACATAAAAAAAAGGACTAGTCCAACATCAATAACTTAGCGAATCTTATGATCACAAACAAAGCTGGTTTACTTGAAAGCATGACTCCACCATCATCAAAACTGAAGTACCTAAAGATGCCCCACGAGTATTTATTTCTCTTACTTTAGCAAGTGATCATTCAATGCCCTTCGGAAATTCCCAACCATGTATTTATTAAATTTCAATGTGAAATAGAAAGGATTAGTTTAAATTAATCTATGGTTGATGAGAATGGCTGTTGAGGAAAATGAAGGAATTGGCGTGTAACGGCTAACTACTGAGTCCAATTAAGAAGCCGTCGGTGGATATTATTATACAAATCTAAAAACATTAGGCCTAAAAAGACCCACCTCACAACAAATGGTACATATGTAATAAGAGATCCTCTAATGGGGTATTTTGGTCATTGAGACAAAATTCTCTCCACCTTTACTTTTCAACCATGAGAATGAGGGTTGGTGGTGGAGAGAGTATCGAAGTTAAATGTAGAGAATTTTGTTTATCAGGTTGATTCCAAGGATTCCAGTTTCTACAAGAGAGGCTGCGGAAAAGTGGAATTCTTAGCTGTGTTTTTTCTTCCTTCTCCTCATAAAGGTTACCCGTACGAGAAAGGGAAAGGCTTTACTTTGAAGGGAAGACACACAAGTCTATCCACAAGTTGTACACAACCCAATTAATAATCCCTTATTATTGTTGGTATCATCATTATTATTAACATTGATGAAAATTCAAAATAATAAATTGGAATAGTACATACCTCAAAGGCTCAAACCAACTTGACTTGTTAAATGTTTAAGGAATCTCTCACTGTTTCTGCAAGCCCAAAAGACCGAAAAGAAATTAAAGACTCCATACACGAAAGAGAAAACATTAAGTTCACAAAAACGTATGCATAAAAGAGAAAAAATAAAGTGGTAAGAAAAAGAACAGAATTTTTCTTTACTATAGTAAGAGATCAAAGCAAAGAAGCAACAAAGAAAAAAAACTTGGGAGGACCAACCTTTAAGAATGAGTAACTAAGAAAGTAAGCCAAGTCTATGTAGCTTAATCCTCAAACTTCACACACTAATGTGTTTCAGAAATAGCTATAGAGGGTACCAACCACCCCAAGGCTTTGCTTTGAAATTTGAAAACTCTGCATACACTGTTCAACCCTGCCAATGCAATGCTTCCAAACTCATCAATCAAGACACAGCTGGATTCACTTCAAAGCATGCCCTTAATGTTTTATAGACAAGGACAGTTTCTGAGAATCAGAAACGTCTTGTGTATGATAATTGAGAAACAAACAGATACGACACACCCCAAATGAAAGCGATGATCGAGTTTGAAAGCAAAACCAGCTACAAAGTATTAAAAAGCTTAACTGCACAAAACGACAGAAGCAGTAGAATACAAACAACGTTCACACCCACCATTCAAAAATAAAACTTTCATCACTCTTTCGAAAGTGGAAGCCAGTGTCAGTGTTGGAGGAGAAGAGGAGCTTATGTTTCGCATGATAAGGCTTAAACGTCGAACAAGTTGGATGATCAAACGGTTGAGATCGTTTTTCAGACAGACAACGTTACCGTTGGGATTTGTTAAAATTTGAAAATGTTAAGATTTGTTTTTTCTTACGTTACCAAGGTGATGACGTGGAATACAATGCCACGTGTGATGTGGGGACAGATGCTACTTTTGAAAGTGGGTAAAATCCCACGTGTGTAGTAGACGGATTATGAGGAACTGTTTTCAGTTTAGTTTACTGTTCAGGGTTGTAGTTTTGAATTTCAATAACATTTGACACCGTTTTAAGGGGGGAATTACGAACATGCCATCGATCAGATGTTGGGGGAAGGAAATTAGGAAAGCACGTGGTGTGGCTGGTAAGCACATATAAATTTGACTGTTAATTGTTTAATCACAAAATACAAATATAAAAGTTCATACCTAACTGTTAATAACATAATCAACTCAAATTTCAAACGAATCACAAAGATACGTGAACTTTTTTTTTTATACAAAATAAATATAAACGATATTTACATTTTTTAAATAAATTATTTTTATAAAATTAATCGTTATAATTATTCTATGGACAAAACAACTTACAATATCCCTCATCTTACTCCGTAAAATCTATAAAAAAATTTTACTATCATTGTATCAGTTTTTTATATATATTTTTTAATTTTGTAAGTAAAACCACTTTAAATTAAAAATAATTAGACAAATATTTTAAGAAACATAAAAGGTTAAAAATTACTTTTTGAACTTTTTTTACAAATTAAAAGGAGTAACTTCTAAAAATATTATAAAATATTAATAACAAAAATTTGTTTTTAAAAAAAGGAATCCACACATGCACTCGCCATATTATTGATATTAATTGGTGTGTTATAATTAACACTACATCGTGATAGAAAAGTTTGTCTAATTTTAATTTTCGTGCATAAAAATACTCATTATTTGCTCATTATTTGGATTTAATTCAAGAACTTCTACAATATTAAATTTGAAATTTTTTTTGAATTGGTTGAACCGATAACTTTTAATAAATTAAATCTTTATCACAATAAAAGTTTAGAATTATGTTTAGGCAAAATACTCGATACACTAACTAAAACTAAAGCTGAAACCGAGTAAATTAACTTAATTAATTAAAAAATGATAAAATTAATTATTTAATAGGGTAAAAATATAAAAAATCATATCTATATATTTTATATGATTTTTTTTGTTTCTGTAGACATAAATATGCTCTTTAGGTTCTTAGGTTAATTTTAAACTTATTTAAAATTAAAAAAACATCTTATTAAAAATACAAATATAATAGTGTAATAATTAAAATGAGTATTGTAATATTAAAGGAAAAAAAATTATGAAAATAAATAGCATAACATTATAGAAGACAGAAAGTGAAGGATTTTATTAAAGCACTGTAGGTAAATATAAAAAAAATAACACTAAATACTACCTATGCTTCTATTTACAAAAAGTAATTATCAATATTTTTATTTAATTATAAGAAATAAAGATATTTCTTCATATATATTAATTGTTGATTTTTATTTTAAAAAAAAGTCTAATTTACTATATACTTTTAGTTATGTGCAATTAAGATAGTTTGCTTTAAAATGTACAAAACAATGTCTTGAATGTATCAATTTGTGCAAATAAATTCTTTTATTATTAAAACATCTAATTTGAATTTTAATTCCTCCTTCTATGCTATTCACGTCATAAGGGTCACTGGTTTAAATTGCATAAAAACAAAATAAGAAATAAAGAGAATATTTTCCATTTAAATATTCGGTCTAAATTGCACATAATAAAAAATATAAAAATAAAATAGACTTTTTCTTTTTTTATTATAGCCTTATTTATTTTAAGTTTGTAACAATGAGACACTCACTCATTATTCAAATAAGTAAATACATTCATCCAGTTAATATATAAGACATTAATTTCATCATTTAATATTATATATATTTCTAAAATAGCTTATAAATTTATAATATAATTAAACCAAAAGTTTTAATAAGTTATAAGTTCAAATACTATTTTCATTTTATTTCCATTTAAAAAACTCATAATATGCTATAAATAAGTGAGGTATCAATATTTTTATTTTAGTCAAATGAACTTATAAGCTAGATAAATAAATTATAGCATATAAAATACATCGATGAACTACAATTATTTTGCAAGATGATGAAAGAAATTTGCAATTGAACATTGGATACATTTGAATGCAAAGAGTTTGGAAACCTTGTTTGATGTAAGGAATAATCGATAAAATCCAATGACATTATGGACTACGAAATTTTGTTAAGAAAGAAGGAAATAATGTTGTCATCAGAAAGGGCACTCATAAGTACCAACAAAAAAGAAAAGAAAAGAAACAAAACAAAACAAACGACGAATTTCAAATTAGAACGATGATAAAGTAAAATTGTAGATAGTGTTCGTGATTTGCGGAGAAATAACAAATACAAACAATATGTTTAAACAAATCATTTATACACGTTTTGTTAGTATGTGCTGACTTATTGTCTTCTTGTCTTAATGAAATTTTCTAACCCAAATCAAATTGACAAACATCCAAATAGATGTTTTGAATGGTTTTGGGGTCGCCTTCATATGCTTCATTAGATTTTGTAAGAATTGCGCGTGAAAAAAATAAAACTCAAATTTATGTTCAAAAAATAAAATTACTATTGAATCATACCTGAGCTCAATTTTTTTTAGCTTACAAAAGGTTGAGTAGGAAGCCTAATTCGTAAGACAGATCCATTAAAAATAATAATTTTAACATAATCTGCAGTTGAAGAATTTTTAAATTAAATACATTATTGTTTTTACGTTTTGATAGTGATTTTTTATTTAGAAATACAGGTATCCCTTGCAAAAAAAATATTATTCAAGCAAAAAATACCCATACGATGTAGTTACTTTATTATTATTATTATTATTATTATTATTATTATTATAAGATTTTAACTAGATATCTTGTCTAAGAAAAACTAAACATCTATTGCTTTAATTTGAATGTTTAGAATTTTGTTTGCAAATCTTAGATGGGAATGAGTTTACTAATGCAAGTATTTCCAATCCTGAAACCAATCCAATAATGAGTTATAGTGACAATTCAATGTGAGTATAAGTAACATTTTCACATCATTTCTACAAGAGTCTTTCAAATTCTTTAAAAAAACTACGTATTTTTCTTCATACTTTTTCAATTCATAATGTTGAACTTAATTATATAAGTTATAAGTTAACATTTTTTTTTTAAAACTCGTGTAAAAAGTATCTTAAAAAAATTTGATATTTTAATTTATTTTTATATGAACATCATTTTCAATATTTTTATGATGATGATTTAAAGAATAATTTATCTTTATAAATATATTAATGATATAAAAGAAAAAAATTCTTAACTTTAAATATGACTTATAGAGACATGATCAAGATTTAAGATATTAGGATAAAAATGATAGAAGAAAAAATAAGGATTATAACGAAAATATAGTAAAGTAAATAAATAGTGATTCTAAACATAAAAATGTTAAAAATAATGCTTATATAAAAATGAATCAAGATACAAAGTTGAATATGAAAATATATAAAGAATATAAAACTTATTTAAAAAATTTAAAATACTTCAACAAAGATGATAAAAAAAATATTACTTAATACTTATATAAAATATCACTATAATGACAAAAATAAAATTAAAAATAAATTTTTATATAGAAATTAATATAAATTTTTGTTATTTATAAGAGTTAAATTATATAAAAAAAATGTCTTGAATAGGAAATAAAAGACAATTAAAACATGCAATATTAGATAATTATTTGTGAAGTAAAAGAAAAAAATTAATGTTGTTATAATGTACCCTGATGACAGAAACAAAATTTAAAAAAGAAATTATGTATTAAAACTTATATACAAATTATTTAACCTATAAAAATTAAATGACAAAAAGAAGTCTCGTATGAGAACAAAAAATTTAATTAATTATCTCTGTTGTTAAATGTTTTTCACGTACTTATAGATACATAGATGAGTCTTTTAACCATGTACCAGTGGAGATATAAAGTATAAGCATAGTTTAAAAGTAACTTACTAAAAAAACCCTAAAATTATTTCTTTCAAAGAATGTCAAAACAAAATAGAATAATGATATCATTATTAAAATTATATCGTAAAGAGTAATCAATGGGAGGGGAAAGACACAAAAAGGAAGTAAAAAAGTAGCCTGAGTAAGCCAACGCAACAATTGAAGCGTGGGTCTACCTTTCCGATTCCGAACTTTAAAGTGGGTCTTGCTTTTACCCGGTGCTATCAACTACTCCCTAACTCTACAAGGATCACCAAAAATACCACGTAATAAATAAAATGATTATTATGATTAACCCCATCCCTTGTATCATTTCAAACAAAAAGTGTTTAGCTTTAACAGCTTCTTTAGACCATATTTAAATATCTAATGAAGATTACCGCTTAATAGAAAGTGACACAATTACTGGAACAAAATGCAACAAAACAAAATATTTTAGTAATACAATGAAAAAAATTAATTAATCTATTTTCACAATTAAAAGGAAAGAAAAATTTAAGATTAAGAGAGAGAAATTATTATCCATTCCATTTCATCTCATTGTAAGTAGTTAATGAAACTTTTAATGATTCGATTTTAGTTTTATACTCAATTATATTCGCTTTCTGTATTCCTAACATAGCCACGAAAATCAATATATTTTTTTAAACCATAAAAACTTTCACAAGTTAACATTATGTTAAAAATAAAGAACTAAATACACATCATACTCTAACAATACTTCTCAAAACTCGAAAACAGAAGATTCGAGATTTTCTTTTTCAAATTTTCCCTCCAGAAAGTAATGTTATACAGTCATTTTCTTCCCTACAAGTTGTGCCTGAATAACTTAATGCTTTCAAGGAATACAAGTTCAAAAAGCCTGGGGCCAAAACTTAATATCCAGAATCACCCAACCAGAACCGCCATATTTACGATGTAAAGCCCCCAAGACGCAAAAATAGACAACTCACTGATCTACCCCCACAATGAACAGATGTCGCAGATCATCGCTATAGGTAATTTGATGCTCGCGGCAAGGTTGCATCGATTCAATAGAACAATTGATAAGAGCCGAATGGCCACTATAACAGCGAAGTCAAATTAAAATTATTGAACAATTGAACAAAACCCAAGATTTAGAGGGTTAGGCTAAAAGCTAATATAGTAAAATTAAACAGAATCAGCAAGGATGTTGTCTCTATAAGAGTACGAGTACGAAAGTCACTAAACAAGACTTGGCTTTTATCCACAAAATATGAACCCCAAGCAATAGGGATCAGGCTTAACGTCAGTTTAACGTAAGGTTAATTAAACAGATAAATCACTTGAACAGCAGAAAAGCCATAAAACTTTATGAGCAACATAATAATATCTTTGAACATTGCACATTCAGGTTCTAACCAAACACAACAGTAAATACAATACATAAGTTCGAGTTTTAGCTGCCGAGCTATGGACTATAAACTAGAATGAAATGAAAATGGTCTAACAACAATTTCACAGACTGGTGGTCTATTCCTCAGGATCGCGACCTGTCTCGGGGTGGAGGAGACCGGCTGCAAGAACAGTAAAACAGTCAAAATATGAGATAAACCACCAAAAACTATTAAAAAAAAAAAAAAACAGTAACTTGATTAGATCAAACCTATCATATCTTCCATTTATTGGGCTTTCAGCTCGTTCATACTTGGGGCTTCCTCTTGGTTCTGGTCTGGAAGATGGATTTGATCCACGACCATAATCTGGGCTACCCCTACCTCTTCGATATGGACTTGGGGATCTTCCACGACCATACCTCCCATCAGGGGAGTCATGACCTCTTCTATCAGGACTGTATCCATTCCTTCTGTCGTCATCATCTCTTATAGCATACTCCACTGTGATAACACGATCCATAAACTTGCTGCACATCAAAGCAAATGAAATATAAAAAATCAAAGAGGTTTAAACTAATGAGCCATCAGCATATATATTCCCTAGCCCCCATACCTTTGCCTTCATTACTAAGGTACTGAATTCTAGAGTATTTCTGAGGGGTAAAAATTCAGGGGGGAATAACTAGTCAAACAATTGAGAAGGTTATAACAACCTCAGGTTTGTTGCATCCAAAGCTCTAGTAGCATCCTCCTGGGATTCATACTGAATGAAAGCAAAATTCCTCCTGATCCTTATATTCAATATTTTCCCAAAGGGATCAAAATGTCTCTCCAGATCCCTTGTCCTGGTGTGAACTGGATCAAAATTTATAACAAACAATGTCTTGGATGGTCTTGAATTAGTTGATGATTTTCTTGAATCACCTGACCTTCTACTGTCACGTTCTTGCTACAAATCATAATATAATTACATATTGAATGTTAGTGCATCCAAAAGAATTAACCAAAATTATCTGAATAATGCAAATCAATGAAAATAAGCAGTAGCTACAAACACAAGTTCATTTGAATACAAATGCATGGGTCTTAAATGAGAATATGCACTGAAAGTATGGAGATTCTCATGAGAAATCACACACTATCATCGAAATCAAACAAAAAGAAACTTCTCAAAATCATTAAGAACAAGAACTTCATTTGCCATACTTTTGATTCCCCAAATGTCATGCTTTAAAGTTTGTACATGATGTGGTATAATAATCTTCAGCTTTCAGCAACCAATAACCCAATTTACCATCACAACTGACCTTAGTCCACTCAACACGAATCCGGCGTCCCTTTCTGCCAAATTCTGTCCTATCAAGTCTTCTGATAGCATACTCAGCATCACGTTCATCTTCCATGTAGACAAAAGCAAACCCTATGAAACAAGAATGTCAAACATAAAACAGCACATAAAACTTCAGTTAAACATTTGAAGACTCCTTTTTCATGAAGATGATTTAGAGAGGATGGCCGCATCAACATTGCAGATGAGATAAAAATTCAACATAAAACACAAAATAAAACTGTCAAGAAGTACCACAACACCTGCTACAGTTGCGAAATCATCATGGTTTCTATGTTGAAACATGTCGGAAATTGAACACTGAGCAAAAGTCATGAGGAATGAAAAAGCAATGAATGCTGAGGGAATGCAGAATGGCAGGGCTAGGGCGGATCAGAATATTTCTTCTGGAAAAATACAAGAAGAAGCTGGGGCACATTCTAGAAAAGAAATGCAGAGAAGCACATCCATCCAAGAAGAGCATGGACATTCCAACTTTCCAAGTAATCCTGCCACAAAGAAATTGTTGAGTATGGGGGTTTCATATCTTAATGACAGTTTTCTTTCTTAAAAGGAAAAGAAAATGTACACCCATTCAAAAGAAACTAGTCAAAGAACATCATCTTGACCCTTTTAAGAATCATTTGAAGACAAAAGTCACAGTTGATAGTTTTTTCGAATGGTGAAATCTGGAAGAATCAATGTTGAATTCCAGGTTGCTACGCATGCCCCAATTCACATTAAAGATGAAAACAAAGTTTTCTATTTAAAAGACTAAAGACAAAAATAAAATATCAGCCCTTATACAATGCATCCTGTGCATTAGCATAAAATTTTGGGCTCAGAGAAATAAAAGGATTAAATTATTTGCACTCTCCTTTGCCAAATGTGCAAAGCAAATTATCACAACTTGAAATGTTCAACAGTTTCATAACCAAGTAGGATTTTGACTTTCTTTCAGTCTCTTTTTTGTGCGTGTTCAAATTGAAATAAAAAAGGGTCAATGAGTTCTTTGAAAGATGATTGCTTTCAATGGTTGTACACAACATTTTCCTTTCCAAACAGTATTAAATCCCCACTGTGACTCAACCCAAGAGGACACTTTCATCTCGACTTCTTCCAAATCCTCAAACACTGCCATTCACCATGTAATGCGGGTCACCAATCTGTTAAAACCTTCTTTCTCGCAATTAAACTCATTTCTCTAAAATTCAACCTGCCATACATTCTATCCAACTACCAAGTAGCAAATTCAGCATAACAAAACAAGCTCACAATTATCACAGCAATAATTCAGCTTGGCCACTTTATATGCCAAACTTAACATTGCAAATCACAATTCACAGTGCAATAACGGCAAAAAATCAATCCTCAGGAAATAGCAACTCAAAAATAAATTAAATTTAGAAACATAGATGATGAAAAATCACGTACCAGATTTCATGTCCACTCTATCAACCTTGCCGTATCTTCTGAAGAGCCTCTCGACATCAGATTGGCGCGCATCGAAATCCAGGTTTCCACAAAAAACAGGCCTCATTTTTTCCTCTGGCAGAGTCGAAGCTACGAAATCCCTTTGCACGCGCGACCTGCAATGCAATGCGAGTAAAAAATGATCATCGCGAATTGAAAAAGGTGAAATTGAAGAAGAAAAAAGGGGATACAACGGATCGTGTGTAAAGGAAGAAGGAGGAAAGGTGGATCTGGTGCTCCATCGAAGGATTGGTACCTCGTCGGAGAGAGGGAGGTTTGGGATTGAAACCCTAGGCGGGAGATCGGAGCAAATTGCAAAACGCGTGGGACAAAGAAATAACAAGTTGGAAAGTGGAGAGAGAGAGAGAGAGAGAGTTGATTGAGGTTAATACAAATCACATCATATCATATCGCCACGTGGCCTCGACAAAGTGCGAAATCATCGCTATTCGGAGCAATCTCTTCCATATTTTTTACACTGGTGTTATTTTTTTTAGTTTTTTATTTTTTGAAAAATTCTATTTTAATGTTTTGTTTTTTAATTAGTCATGTTATCAAAACTTAGACTTAAACTCTCGTAAAAAGTTAAAAAATATTATAAATAAATGTTGATCAATTAAACTTAACCTCTGTATAAGTGATTTCATTAATTTCATAAAGAAATTGGAATATTTATTTTTTAAAAGCTTTGTAAAGTATACAATTTATTCTTTGTTAACATGTCTTTTGTGAAAATTAACCCAATATTTATTATATTTTCTTTAATAACTTGCAGTAAAAATTTGTAAATTTATTTGCAAAAATTAGCATAGTATTTATGACCTTTTCTTTTTTCTTTTTAAGAAAGATTCACACATAAATGAATGAGTACTAAAAATATTTATAAGAACTAGAGAGTTAATTTTTTACATTCTTGAAATTTATATTTAGATTGCGACACATTATTTTCATTTACAATATTTTCTTTTATTTGATATTGCTTATTATTATTATTATTATTATTATTATTATTATTATTATTAAGAATTAAAAGTTTAGATATTACATTATTTAATTTGAATCCTAGATTATAAAATATACAAAAAGTATTGATTTTAAAAATTCGAGTGTTTTTATTATATAAGAATTTTTTATTTTGAAACATGTGTAATTAATCAATAAAATAAAACTAATTATAAATATATGAAAATGGATATAATTTTATTTACAAATATTTTTTTAATTTTGAAATATGTGTAATTAGTTAACAAAACAAAACAAATTAATAAGTAACTAAAAATGTGTATAATTTTAATTTATAGTATTTTAAAAGGAGATGTATTCTTCATCAAAAGTTTTGAATTATTATAAGTGACAAGTATAGAATGAATATTTTAAAACAGTGGTTCTAAAATAGTTCTCCTCCTATATTTTATGTGCAAGTTTCATTCTTTTATTGTTAGTTCAAAAATTGTGTTGAATAGAAAGATTATATATATATATATATATATATATCATTTTTTTTAGTAATTTACGTCAAAAGTAATTTATTTTGTTCTTCCTAATTTTATTGAAAGAAATGATAGCTTGAATTAATGATATATGTGATGTTAGTATTTTTAGTTAAGATAAAAGAAAAATTAAGTGTTTGAGTAATACACGTGTGTGGTTAAGTCTTAACAATAATGATATTAACTACATAAAATTAGTTTTATTAGATATAAAGGTGAGAATTTGTTATATAAATATATTTTTTTTTGCACGAAATTGTTTTTTATATAGACTTTGAAAGTTAATTTTTTTCCTATTATTTGAATTCTTACTTATTGATTTTAATAGGTCAGACAAATTCATGTATCTATCAAACAAGTATTCATAAAGAGATTCACGTCAAAGTTAAAAAACATAATAGTGTATATTATAAATAATCTCACTAATAGTCAAAATACGATAGATTATTAACCTACAAATGAATACATGTGGAGATACTTATGCTATAAATTGTCATGAGTTTTCATTTGTTAAATTTAAAGATATAAAGATATCACTAATGCAAGAAATGATAAGATTATTGGTCAATAATTAATTATTTTCTGATAGTGATAGTAAATGAACTCAATTTTTATAATATATTTTAGAGTTAAACTTATGTAATTACAAATATTATTGAGAATGTTGTTAAAATAAAAGATAATAAAAGCATGTTCTAGAAATAACACATGTAGCAAGAGAATAATTATGCACCTTAAAAACATTTGAGTAATATTCTCAGTATTTTAATTGTGTCATATTTAACAGTTTATTATTGTTAATGTAATTTTAATAATGATTTAATAGTTATTTTTTAAAAACATAATTTACATTATATTTTGTGAAAAAAATATTTTAATGATGATTGGAAATAAGAAAATGGTCGTATGGTATTAAATATTTTTTTTTATGTATGTTCAGTATAAAATCATTCATATAAGTGATTTATTATTGTTTTCTTCCTGTTGTTATGTTTAAAGTTGAACTTTTCATCTAATATATTCTGTATTTTATATTTTTGTTAGTTTTTAGCTACTTGAATGACGTAAAAAAATATAGATCTAAATTCAGTCCCATTTAGGCAAAAATTAGATGGTCTAGTTAAGCAAAATTTTGCAACTCATTTAAACAAAAAAAAATTTACTTAAACAAGAGTGCAAAATACATTGACTGTATGGTTCAGTCACAGGACTGAATCCGCGTCTAAAAAACATGTATTCTCTTACAATGAAGGAACTTAGTTTAAACAATATTGCTTGTAGTGAAAAATATTTGTTGTTTAAACAACAGTAATAATAATACCAACATGTATTCAAGAAGATTTAGAGCATATTTGATTTCCCTTTTAAAAATAGTTTTTTATTTTTTAAAAAATATGTAGTGTAAATTTATACTACATTTTAAAAAAAAAAAACATAAAACTGTTTTTAGAAGGAAAATCAAACATACCCTTAGAGTATATATTTGTATTGCATTTTAATTTAAAAAACTGAAAACTCATTTTAAAAAGGAAAACAAACATACTCTTATTTTTTACTCTACTTAAAATTGTAGCTATAATAAGTAATTTTAAGATATTGTTTTTAAATTTTTTTTACAAAACATTTTAAAAGTATTTTATGATTCTTATCATGCATTTTCTTTTTTTATTTAAAAATTTTGTAGGTTGAATTTAATTGATTTTAACTATATGCATATAAGTCATATATATGAAAAAAGCTCAAACACTCCAATTAATGAACTCATTAATTTATAATTTTCTTACTTTGACAAAAAAAGAGTTGACTAAAAGACAAAACCAAAGAGTTTATCCAACGCTTACTTTATAGTTGCATTTTCATGCAAGCTAGTATTTAAAATATTTTTTAGAAAATAGTCACATTCCTGAAAAAATTGTTTTGATAAAATAAATTAATCTACACATGTATATTGATCGATAACATTTTGATTTTGTTAATCTCTATCTTTAGATAATAATTAAGAAATTAATAAATAAAATATTAAAATTTATAATTAAAATACATTAATAGCATTAAATATTACCCTTTATAATAAAATATTTTTTATTAATTATTTAATTTCAATAGTTGTTTATGAACTAAGCATTTATAGATTTTTTAACTTGATGCTTGATCTTAGATTGTTTGGTATTTGAACACTTTGAATAGCACATAAAGTAGTGATTAATGCCAGGAAGCCCAAAGCTTTGTTGCAGATGCAGTAGAGAAGCTAGTAGACATAACAAACTAGTGAATTTTCTTAGAGATCATAGTTGCAATGTTAATTGTAAGTTTCTCCATAATACTAAAGACGCGATAGGATCGAGGCATGCGAAAATCCAATTTACAAGTGGTTGGAGCAATGTTTGCAAAGAGAAATGATGTCCATATTTGAGTCAATGTCTTCAAATTTCCTCTCTTGAATCTCATTGGCTTGCCTTGATAGTTAGTTTCATATGATTTGTTTGAAATACATAAAGACATTGCTACATCATCATCCTTAAAGCCTGTGGTAAGGCGCCTTCTCTGCTAGTATTGGCACAACTGGCCTTCTTATAAGGTAAGGGAGTTCTCAAGCAATGCATTTATAGCGTTTCTATCACAAGAGATAGAAATCCTTCTAACCAAAAACTTCTTCTCAAATTTGTGTGGGTGCAAGGGTTATGCATTGGCGTAAAACTTCTTCATTATGTCTTCATCAATATTATTTAGAATATCAACCAATGTATTCCATTTTTCCCTGTTGATTTCTTCAGTAAATTGTTCTTCGTCCAAAATAACTTTCCTTTCTGGTAGAAGTTTCCTTGGGTGTAATTCCAAATATCTTTGAAAATTGGCTCAACTAAAGAACTTGTATCTGTCAAAGGTGAATTGCTGACTGGGGCTGGTTTGTGTTAGAGGTTCATCCTCTTGAGTTCCTTTGTTGTTGGTGATGTTGTGAAGCCTCTCCAAGATCTGAATGATGTTTCTTTCTCTAGAGAATAGATTTTTTACGAGCCATTTCTACAAAGAAAAAAAAAACAAATTTCAATACTCAAAAAATTGCATGATACACATTCATGGATTTGCTTAACCTAGGGTACATCGCTTAAGTGCAATTAATTCGATTAAGCAATCTTAACGCGCTTAAGCGATTATTTATAGAAATAAGGACCTCCATAGAATACATGTTCCAAACCTAAAAGTAAGCAGAACAATAGTCCTAAACCCTAAATAGTTAAGTTGTATCTTTATAATCCCTGACAATGTCCCCATCCCCATTTACCATCCCTAACTTCAAAGTAAGCAGAACAATAAGAGAAAGTGCAAGAGTTAGTACCTCATAGAAGATGGATGTTATGATAATAGAGAGTCTTGCTGTAATAGGAGAGTGGTTCAGATACCAAACATATGGGTTTTAGGAATATTTCCTTAGGGTTTGAAATATTTCAAATGTAAAAGTTGAAATGAAATGACAGAGGTGGTTTAAATCTAGGTTGCGTCATCATAGTCACTTAAGCGACTTTTTAAATGTTGTGGAGGTAAATTCCTGAGGTTCCTTGATTAAGCTATTAGCTGGTCGCTTAAGCCTTTCGTCGCTTAAGAGAATTTACCGTGCTTAAGTGAATACATGCTTAAGCGTTGCATGTGCGCTTAAAAATTACAACCTTCGCTTAAGCGGAATGTGTTCGCTTAAGCGGATTATCGTCATTTTGGCGCGAATCTTTCATAAGTGTGGCTCTTGAAGAGAAGCTTCATTAAATCCTTCTAATGATCTCTCTTCAAAAAATATTTGAATGGTTCAACTCAAAGACTTAAACAAAACACATTTTCATGAATATACACTAACTTGGAGCTTCATTGGCATTGATAAACTAAGATTATTTTAGCATGGAACCATCTCCCTTTCTGGTATCATTTTTCATTTTAACAATAATGTCTTTTCCATTTGCTATATCTAAATGAAGGAATGTATTAGATGTTCAAGCAAAAATATCCTCTTTTGTTTTTGTTAGAAAACATGATTACAAACAATGTGGAATGGAAGCTAAAAGTTGAATTAGAGTTTGAAAGTATAGAACAACCATGAGATTTTTGGACTGAATATGGTAGGAGGATCGGATTTAGAGTTAGAAAGCAATATTTTAATAAGAGAAATAAAGATGGTGCTATTACTTCTTGTAGATACGTTTGTTGTAAAGAGGGTCTTTGAAAAGGAAACAAACAAGATTGTCAAGTTGCTAAACATAGAGCTGAGACAAGAACATATTGTTATGCGAGAATTGGAGTGTCTTTGCGGAATAATGAGAAATTTATAATTCATGAGTTTGCAGAATATCATAATCATCCCTTACAACTTCAGGAGACAACTCACATGCTTGTTTCTCATCGTAAGATAAGTGAAGTTCTAGCTTATGAGATTGAAATGGCTCAAAAATCTAGTTTGCAACAAAAGTCTTCATTTCAACTCTAGAGCACACTTGCGGGCAATAGAACTAATGTCAGATATACTCAGTTGGATGCCAAGAATTACTTGAAGGCAAGAAGACAAAGAAATATAGTTTATGAAGAAGTTGATTATGTGATGGAATATTTTCAGCAACAGTTGTTAAAGAACTCATCATTTTTTCATGCATACTAGATAGATGCTGATGAACAAATTACAAATGTATTTTGGGTTGACGCAAAGATGATTTTAGACTATGCATATTTTGGTAATATAGTTTTTTTGGACACTACATATTGTACTAATCGTGCAAATAAACCTCTTGCAATGTTCACAACTTTTAACCATTATATAATTGTTGTGATATTTGATGCAGCTTTGTTATATGATAAAACTGTTGATTCATTTAAATGATTATTTTAAACATTTTTAGAAGCACATAATCACAAAAAACTATTAACTATGTTTAGTAACTAAGATCAAGTCATGGCTAAGGCTCTCATTAAAGTCATGCTGGAGATACATCATTCTTTGTGCACATGACATTTTATGCAAAATGGGATCAAACGCCTTGGTAATTTGATGAAGGGTGGAAGTCATTTTTTAAGAGACTTCAAAAAATTCATATATGACTTTGATACTTTCACTGACTTTGAGAAAGCTTGGACCAACATCGTTCAATAGTATAATGTCCATGACAACAATTGGATGAACTCACTTTATGCCATAAAGGAAAAATGAGCATCATGTTACATGAAAGAAGTTGTCACCCTTGGGATGCAAAGTACTCAACTCTCTAAAAGTTTAAATTTTGATTTCAAAGCTTCTATGAAACCTGGTGTTAGCATTAAACAATTCTTTCAACACTTTGAATGTGTAGTTGAAGATAAGCATTACAACGAATTAATTTGTGAGTATAAGTGCCAACATAAGCTACCAATGTTAAGATATGAGAGGTTTCTCATCTTGATACAAATGAAAAAAATTTACACATACTATATTTACCCCTTTTCAACAAGAATTTACTTCATTTTAGCATGTTGCATATCAGAGAGGATTGAATCTCCTCCTATCTTTGATTATGTCATCACTTCAGTTAATCAAAAGAAATCATGGAGAGTATCATTTGATCATGTCTCAAAATCTATTTCTTGCACCTATAAAAAATTTCAAACATTTAGTATACTTTGTTCCCATGAACTAAAGGTATTTTAAGCAAATGATGTCAAGGCTATTCCTGAAAAATATATCCTTAAAAGATGGATAAAAGAATGTCGTTCTGGCATTATACACAATGTCAAAGAAAGAGAGATTGAGGAGGATCCAAAACTTGCTACCACATGATGTTACCGACAACTTGCTTCTAAAATGATTAGACTTGCATTAGAGGTATCTAGTTCAAAAGAATACTCGATATTAGTGGATGAATGTTTAAATAATGTGTGTTGTTAAATCAAACACCTTCGATTACAAACATAGCATGTTGACAGTCACACTAACAATGATGCATCTATGTTAGTGATCAATAATGGTACAATGCCAAAAGATTTTAAGCATCGACCAAGCTTAAAGAGGAATACATATAAACAATTCAAAAGTTGGGTTACACTATAAGGAAAAGGGAAAAGAAATGGGATAAAGAGAGGTCAATCACAAAACCAACATGTTGAGGTATATGTATCAATCAATTTACCAATGCATTAACCTTTATTTTTGGTTCCTTATTAACCATATGGTATTTATTTGGTAAATATTTTAGGAATATCAACCCACCCCTTCCGAACCCTGTGACATATATTGTTAAGCACCTCCATCTTATCATCCTCCCCAAGCTTTCAATAACCAATTCAATTTTACTACATTATTGATTGCAAGTTCATCAAATTTCAAAATGAAAATTTAATTCTTTTTCTCACTTCGTTGTATAATTTTTATTATGGATTTATGTTTTTCTTCAGGAACCTTTGGATGATACAACTCATTCAATCCTTGATCAACCTTAAAGTTGTTGTATCTTAATCACTTTGTTTTCTTTTGCCAAAAACAATTATGTAAGAGAACAAATGCTATGAAAATTGTTAACGTATATTGTTTACATTAGTGGTGTATTCATGTCTATAAATTTAAGTTGTTGTTTTTCAGTTTTCTTGTATACTTGCTTAAGCCCACATAAAATCGCTTAAGCTCATTGTACTCGCTTAAGCTAACCATCTCTCGCTTAAGCCATTCTGCACTTGCTTAAGCTAGTTTATCAGTCCAAAAATGTATTCTCTATGCATTGTGTTTATGCAATTTTTACTCAAGCTAATTTCAACTCACTTAAGCGATTAATTGTCCACTGAAGCGCACGATATACTAGCTTAAGCCATTCCATTTTCACTTAAGTGTACAATTAAGTTGCCTAAGCCACACGAAGTAGGCTTAAGCTAGTCTGTAATCCTTGGAGGTTAGCTTTCTGTTTTTTTGCTCTTAAGTGCATAAAATACTCGCTTAAGCCAAAAATTGGTATGTTTAAACGACGATTTAGACCTCCTTCCATTCCTTTTCTTGGAGTCTTGCTCCATTCATGATTCACTTGCTTAAGCCCGTATTAGCTTAAGCGAGTACATGTTAGCTTAAGCAAATATATTTAAAATCACTTAAACGAGTGAAAAATGGCTTAAGCAAATAAAGAACTAGATGTCGAGGTCTCGCATCAACTAGATTGGATCCGTATCCCTCTCAACTTTAAAAATGAAGAGAAGTGGTATGGTAACAAGTTTTCCAATACCAATAATTCAATGAAGGACTCCTCAAAAGTCCTCATGGATTCAACTAAATGTTCATGGAATAAATCGTTAACACATGTTCAGCAAGTCCCTCCGCTATTCCCACAAAATAAATTGTGGAAATAAGGTAACTGTAGTCATGGGAATATTTCTAATTATATAGGGGTATTGGAGTGCCCTCTGAAGCAGCAAATTACCGCAAAAACCAGGCCAGTACCAATCCTTGTAATTGTGGCTGCTTTTCTGTTGGCTTTTTTTAAGTTTGGAAATGAAAATCTGAGTAGAAAGCATATGAATTGTGAAAAATGAAGCGAAGCGGATTGGATCAAAAAGAGAACGGTAATATCACTATCATTTTTAAAACTGGATTGCAAGTATGTTGTTTGTGCTACAAAGAAAGTGTTGCCAGCAACCACAAGTAAACATAAGCAATGAAGGTAAAATACCCCAAGAAGATCAAAGGAGCAAGGCTTTTCACAATTTATACTGTGATTTAGGTTCAGTAAAAATTATAAAAAAATATTTTTTAAATTTTAGTAAAAATTATAATTTCAGCTTTTTTAGAAGTTATTAAAAACAAATTTAAAAGAATAAATTTATATTATTTTAGCTTCTACTTTTTTTATTTTAACCAAACAATTAAATAGCTGAAAAGTAATTTTTTTTTTTAAATGTTTTCATGAAAAATACTTTCTCAATCGGTGGGGGAGGGATACCTTTTTTTTTTTTAATGAAAAAAGAATATCTATAGTTATTGAAAAATAAAAGAAATCCACAATATTAAATAATTTTACATTCGTAATTATCACATTGTGAAAATTCCTCTAATTGTTATTTTCCACATTTTTATTAAAAAATGTAACCGAGGATATAAAAGCAATGTGCAATACAAGGAAAAGCAAGAGAAGTAAAAATGGAACAAAGTGAAGGAGAGAAAAAATGGAATTGGAAAATTCAATTTGATATATATATATTGTATTTACAATGGATATTGTTCATTGTTCAATACAGCACAGTGAAAAATAAATTGATTGTTTTGAGCACTGCATCAAGAGGAGGCAGATGCATACAGTATCATTCAAATTTCTATAGTTAAGAGGAAGCCATCTTGGGTTCTTCCAACCATTTCCAAACCTTCAGCAAACCAGTACCATCCCCAGTGAAGAAGAGACCACCAGGACCTAACACCATTGATCGAACCTCTCGCTTTGCAAATATACGACCTCTCTCTGAAAATGATGGCAATTCATACATGCGAACTGAATTGTCTATGCATGAGACAAATAATATTGGCTTCTCTTCTGCATTAGTCATCCCAAAAAGTGAAACAACATCCTACAATAAAAGCAAAATATCAGCTGGATGTCTACAAATGACAACACGATCAAATTATATTCTATAGTCACATAGGTTTTCGTTGTTAAGTAACTTACATTTTCCTCTCGGTGCGTATATGTCACCTTCAAAGTTCCCTCTTCAGTGGCAACCCAGATTTTAATTGTGCAGTCAGATGAACTTGATAACAAATAATGGTCCCAACAAATAAGGGATGTGACCACGTCAATATGCTCATTGAGTGTCATTTTACACTGTAATGTATCAAGGTCCCAAACCTGAAGAAAACAAAATATCAAGAGCTGTTCATAAAAAATTATATATTTGAACAATATCCAGTTCAAAAAAAGTACATATATTTTAAAAAAATCCACATGGGGGCAATATACATACCTTCATACTTTGGTCCTTGGACCCTGAGAACAGCATTTTGCCTCCAACAGCCAGGCAAACAACAGCTTTAGTGTGGCCAGTTAGTGAAGCAACCAGTTCAAAAGGGGTCGTGGCTTCAGAGCTAGAGCTGCCTCTCCATGCAGAAATTATACCATTCTGCAATTTAAATAATCAGATGATACATAAATCGTTTGATGACAGAAAAGAAATGTTTAAGAGAGAATTACAGTTAAATAACCATAAACCATGGTACGGTTAGTTACCTCTGCTGCAGCAAAAAGTGTATCATTGCCAACAACCATGGCAAGGACTTGTCCTTTAGGTCCATCAAGAGTAAATTCTGAAGCAGTCTGAATATTCCAAGCCTTCACAATAACCACATCCATGTAATCAGCTTACAAGCACTACTCCTATATAAAAGACATAATCACACAATGAAAAAAGAGAGCATACCTTGACAGCATTTCGCACACCAACAAAAATCCATGGCCCCTCGCTGATCAAAGAGCTAACTACAGCCCCAAGATTTATCAAATTTGCAGATTGACCAGTGTGGCAGTCCCATATACGAACTGTCCCATCGGTGCTGCCGGAATAAAGTTTGTCAGACCCAACTGGAAGGGCAATCCCGGTGATGACCTGTTGTCAAAAGCTTAAATTTAATTACTCCAAAGATATTAACATAAAAGAGGCATGCAGATAGCAGCATATTGTTACACTATAATGCTCTACGATTCTAATCAGTAACTAGTAACTACTATAACATCAAATAAAAAATTGGGTCACAGATTAAATTAGATTAAATTATAATAATAAAGAATTATTGCAGAAGCAGAAGAATTTTATAAAAAAGTGTTGTGTTTAATACTTAAAGGGGTATTAGAGTCAGCTACCTTCTTGTGGCCTTGAAGCTTTGCCAATGTGGAAAACCCATCACCATAAAACCATGAATGTAAATTCCGGCACCTTTCACCATGTACACAATTGCCATTTGTCCAGTATTTACATATAACTGGTGATGGCTTCTGAGAACTCTTGGCAACACTTGTCCCATCTTCTTTATCTGCACTCTTTCTAATCAATACTGTCTTTGAGTTACTCTTGGAGGTGTTCTCAGACAAATGGGGCCTCCTTGAATAACGATAAGCAGTATTGGGCCTTCTGGCATCGTGATAAGGAGTAGATGGCAGTGGTGATTCTCCATGCAAAAATCTGCATGGATTTCTGTTGCATTTACCAGCTTGCCAATACACACACGTCGTCCCACCGAATCGTTCCGTCCTTTTCGCGACCTTTATATCCATAATGCTATAAAAACACGAATATTCCAATTGCATCTCTAATCAGACACCGTATCGAATCAATAAATCCTCCATAAACCACAAGCCGATGTCCCAAATTTTCCATTACAAAACTCAATAACATAGTTGTAAAGCAAACAATGAACACAGACACCAAAAACTACAGCAGAACAAGTCGATCGACGAAGATTTAGTCCATCAAAGTCAAAACCCATAATAGAATTGGACTAAAGACTGATAATTTAACTTTGTTCAACCCCGTTGTTCGCCATTATCCTAACCCCCCAGAATTGGGTATCGCCGATCCTTCATAAAACCTTAATAAATAAACTAAAAGGATTCCTAAAATCGAAACCCTATATTTGCACCCAGGAAGCACGCAGAACTTCAACGAGATTATTGAAATAGGAGAAATCCTATACTCTCGCAGATCATCCATAGTAAAAGAGACAAAGAGAGAACTCTAACACGAAGATTATTTTTGGATGCGAATAAGAAGCAAACCTGAGTGAGGAAAACGCAACGAAAAGACTGACGAGTTGTGATTTGTCGGAATGATCAGAGAGAGAATCAGAGAAGAGAAAAGGGTTTTCTATCCTCTAAATCAGAAAGTATGGCTGATGTGTGTTGATAGATGGTTATTTATAGGTTTCTTAACTGCATCTAAATTTCAAACTCTGGTTTTGTGGTTTAAAAAACAGAAAATCTATCACACCAGATTAAAAAATCTTAACTGATTTAAAAAATTTAAAACTAAAGATATACAAGATAATATTAAAAATTAAAAAAAAAGTAATTTGTTAATATGGTATCTAAAATTATTATGTATTAAAATATGAAATTTTAGATAAAATAATTGAAATATAAAAAATTTCAAAATTAGCATTATTAATTTAAAAAATTTAAATTTAAAAATTTATTTTTCTTAAAATTAATTAATTTGTTAGAATTAAAAAATTTATTAAATTTTTAAATTTACTTATCTTATTTAAAAATTGTTGGCAATTTTTAAATATCATATTTCTATATTTTTTTAAAATTTTCATTTTAATATATAATATTTTTAAATCTCATATTTAAAATGATTTTCTTTAAAATAATTTTTAGAATAAATTTATCTTTAAAATAAATAAATAATAATACAAAGATCAATTTTAATTATTTTTATTGTTGAATAAGATTATTTATAACTCAATTTAACTAATTTACTTGTTTCAAAGTGAGTATCTAGAATATATATATATATATATATATATATATATATATATATTTATTTATTTATTTATTTATTTAAAGTATTGTGTAAGTTAAACTCATTGGGTTCAGGGAGTGAATAAAACAAGAATTATTTAAATATATTATCACTAAATGAGAATTTTGGTCTCTTCAAAACAATTTCAGTTAATCAAGTCTCCTTATTTTTAAAATTGCGTAAATTTATTTTTAAATCAATTTTTTCTACTTAAAATCTTAATTCTTTTATTTTATTTTATTCAGATTCTTAAGGATTTCTAATGAAATTGGAGCATTTAAGATTTTATATATTTATATTTATATTAAAAATAATCATACCATATATAAACCTAAGTTATAATAAATTTATAATTATTAAAAATCATTAAAAAATATTTAAACATATAAAAATTGATTAAATGTTATAAAATAATTATTAAATAGTATTTTATAAAATATTATTTTATCATTTAATTATTCTTTAGTTAAAAATATTTAATACTAATGCTTAATTAAAATTCTAAATTATTAATGTACTATATCAAATTTAATTAATAAAATTAAATAAATACAAAAATTAAATTTAATTTAATTTTATAATATAATTATATTTGATATTATTTTTATAATAAAATTTTAATATATTAAATAAATATTTTTTATTTTTAAAATTATTTTTATATTTTAAATATAATTTTTAATTTATTTAAATAAAATAATTTAATAAATATTATAAAAAATGATATAATAGTTATTACTTATTCTTGTAAAATAAGTGAGTTAACGTCCCCTAACACTGATTTTAACCTACTTTTTTTTTATTCTGGAAGCTTAGAATTAATATAAACTTATTAATTATAGGATTTTAAAAAGACAAAGTTATAGTAAAGCTCAAAGTTTTGGTTTATTTTGACAACTCTATTGAAAGTATATTATCATGCTCTTTTAATGAAATATTTTATACACCTTCTATCATCGGAGAAAATTAAATTTTTTTCTTACAAAAATAATTATTTTAAGAAAAAATAAGATCGCAACATAAGTAAACATAAATGTGTATAATTATCTTGATCTTACTGCTAAACCAATGCCTCTATTCTACCTAGTTCTTCAATGAGAATATATGACTTTTTATTCATTTCATAACTTTTACATATTAAGACATTATTTAGTTCATAACAAGTAAATTGAAGAATTAAATAGATTACAACATTAGTGTTTAAGGATATATCTCAAGAACGGTCAAAAGCCCAGTCAAAGGAGATATTTTGTAGTCTTGGAACCCTGCTTCCATGAAGATCTTCTTCCATTCTTCTTCAGTTCTCTCTTTTCCATTCACACATGCCATGTTTACATCCATAAGGAGCTTTAGTCTTGTAACTTCACGCTCATCTTGCTTTTGGTTTATGACAATATCTATGAGAATTACTTTCCCTTTTTTCCCATTACCTGAAATACCTTCGTCACAATTTTTCAATCTTTATGCAATCATCATCAGTCAAATCATGTAAAATCCATGCAAAAATACATAAAAGAAAGATGGATCAGAATTAGATATGTTGTTAATAACTTAACGTGAGAAGCAAGTGTGTTTGGAAACTGTTTACAGTGAAAAATGACAATTTGTAAACAAATAATCCAAAGATCAATTTGGGGACTGGATTTAGGTTCTCTTTGGGTTCTTTTAAGTGTGTTGTTAACGAGATGCTCAAATTAACAGCGTAAAAGAGTATTAAGCAAGAATAGAAAATAGTAATTATGCAGAATTGAATCAAACGTAGATATTTTTACAAAAATATAGTAAGCAGGAAATAAACAGCGTACAAAGACATAAGCAGCAAGAACTGAAATTAAAATGCGGAAGGGTAAATGTGCAGGAATGTAAATATGCTGGAATATAAACGTACGACTCCTTACAACGGCGAACAACGGCCACCGTGGGTCTCCTTGTAGCTGGTGTCTGGCGCAGTGCAGGGTTTCAGCGTCTCAGAGAGTTTAGGTGTAGTGTCTGGGTGCAAAAAGTCGTCCTCTGTAAAATAGCGCTTTGGAGTATTTATAGACATGAGGACCACCACCGTTCTCCTCCTTTTGCGGGCACTTCTTAGTAACTTCCTTCAACTGTTGACTCTCATTATCCACGATTGCTTGTAATCGTGTTGTTAGTTGGGGCTTCTTTCGTAACCGCTATCGCCCACGATCTCCTTTGCATAGTGGTGAATGTTGATAACTGCTGGTAACCGCTTTTGGATTTTACAATGACTTGACCTATCCAGACTTTTGTTTTTCTATCTTTCGAGTATTTCTGGGAGAAACCTGAGAGATTCACTTAGTGTTATGTCCTTAGAATAATTTCTTCTTGACTTCTCTTTTCGAGCAATTCTAGAGTTTTGAGAGCTTGTCTTGATCTTGTAGACTTAGAATATTTTCTTTGCTTATTTCTGTTTCTCGAGTAATTTTGGAGGGACTAGAGCTCAGCCATGTTTGTGGACTTAGAATATTTCTTAACCACTTCCTGTTTTTTGAGTAATTCTGGAAAAAATCTGGAGCTTCCACTACGTTTTGTGGACTTAGAATATTTTCTTGTAAGTCCTAATTTTCGAGCAGTTTTGAGTGTCAGGGACTTGGAAACTCCTCAAAACGCCTCGAAAAGTCATCAATGTTGTGGACTTAGAATATTTTCTTGCTAGTTCTATTTTTCGAGTAGTTTTTGGTGTCAGTGACTTGAAAACTCCTCAAAACTGCTCGAAAAAAACCTTCAGTTTTGTGAACTTTGAACATTTTCTTGTCTTTCAAGCAGTTTAGAGAAAAATCAACAATGTGATAAAAATCTTTTAAAATAGCTCGAAATATGTTCCTTTTAATAAAAACTAAAGGTCTTAGATGCTCTTTCAGTATTATCTTATGTTCAGGCCTATTTTTTTGCTCCTTCTTAACTCTCAAAATTTTGTCAAAATGTAACTTCTCTCAAGATGATTTTTAACTTAGAAAATTTTTCTTATCCCAAACAAAAACACGTTAACAATTATGTAAATGTAAATCTAACACAGAAACTAGATACATAAATTCATGACCAATTAAACGTGAGTTTCATGCGATGAGTTGTGGACCTTGTGGTCAAGTTCACTATATTTTTGTTCATATATGCGTACCTTAAATAGAACTGCATCAGCCTTGGGAATCGATTCAAACATGTCCCCACCAACATAAGTCAAATTGTTGCTTCCCAACAAGTTCTCTACAACCTGCGGACGATCAAACACACTGCATTTCAATTGAGGAAATGCACCACAGATAATCTTGGCTGTGGTTCCAGTTTCACCACCAATATCCACAATAGAATCCAATCCCTCAAAGACCAAATGACAATATCTCAGTGCCAAGTTTATCATTTGAGAATCACTAGCCATTGCTTCATTGAATAGCATATTACATGCTGGGTTTCATCAAGAAACTTCCAAAAATGTGATCCTAAAGAGACGCCAAATAGTGTGAGATCTTTCTCATAAATCCACTTTTTCAATTGATGGTATGAACCTGAAAGAGTTGGGTCAAGAACACACTCAACCATGGGAGCTATAAGCAAAAGTCAGTGCCTTTAACAATTAGCTCTGATGCAACTGTGAGAGCATATAGTTCGTTTTCTTCTTTGTTATCATGGATTCTTACTATTTCAAAGAAAGCTTGGGGTGCCATGTAGAGCATGATACTTTGCACATTACCAAGTCTTGAAGAGTAATGGGTTGGCCATGGTTGTGGATTATGTTTGGTATGTCAAGCTCAACGATGCATTTAAGACACAGAGTCTGTGAAAGCAAATATATGTCGGTACAAGAGAGCTTGACCTTGAAAGTCTCGCTCGACGGCCATTGATTGAAGCCATGATTGGCAATGAATTCGATTTGTGTTTTTACCTGTTTTTTAGGATTTGATTTTTCACTTGATTTATATAAAGGCTTCAACTAGCTACCTTATCTCCGAAACTTGTAGTTGAACTATGACTTCTAATTGTCACAATCAAATGAATATTAATGTAAGAACGACTATTATTCCAACAAAGTGGAATATGGCTAGTCGGCAACAAGAATTGAAGTTCGTGCGATAAATACATTGAACGAATGATGCATCTCTAATCTCTTTTCATTTTCACACACCATAGATTACCTAAATTATATTCTACTGATCTGATAGGATGTTTGGGTCTAGGTTATGCTTACTAAGTCCCTGTCTAGTTTATGCACAATACATTTTGTAGTTTTTAATAAAAAAATGCATTTCAATAAAACTAACAAAACAATTCTATTTTTATTTTCACTTTTAATTATAAAAATGTTACCTTGTTTTTATTCGTTTAAAATATTTATATAAGAGATAATGCAAATAAATTTTATTATTTTACTATTTCTTGTATTATTTTAAAAAATAAAAAACAGAATAAAAATAAACGAAAATGACATTTTTATAATTAAAATGAAAATAAAAAAGTAGAAAGCATTTTCTAAACTAAAGAGTCCCTTTCATTCTCTCTTAATTCCTTATTTCTTGGCAATTATTATTGAAAATTGATCCTCTTTGTACTAAGTACTCAATCTTTAGTTTTGAATATGATTTTATTGTGTGAATGTACTATAATTCGTATCTATATGAGGTATTTATTTGAGATTATAATCATTACATGTCTTCTATGTTTGAATATTTAATAGTAAGCAAAATAAAATAGAATAAAGCAAAAAAATTGAAGCAAAATAAAATAAAACATTCCCTTCATTATTGATATGTATTATAATAGAATAAAAGTTTATTTTAATTTCATCACCTACCCTAAATTGAAAAAGAATAAAAGATAATTTTTTAATAAAAGAATATTTCATTATATACCATTTTAAATTTAACAAATTTAAATAATAAAAATATTAAAATTTTGTTTCATCGTTTTCCATCCCATCACTTTTTTCTTATCCAAACACAGCTAGCTATACTAAATTGTTTCAAGTCACGACTTGATACATTGTGGTACGTATTTTCTTTTTCTTAGGTCAATTACTTCATGCTAAGTATATGTGGTCCACTTTGGTAGACTTTTGTGGACAACTTTTGGTAAGGCGTGCTTAAGGTGAGTGATATGGTATAAGAAATAAATAAAAATAAAATAATAATAAAAATAACCTTTTTATATTTAAATAATAAATTAGATACATGATATGATTTTATTTATTTATTTTTGTTTCAATTTTTTAATAAAAAATTACAGTAAAAAAAATTAATATGATAAGATTGTATAAAAGATCAATCTATTGATTGATTCGATAGAAACAATATATATTATTATATTCTCTCAAATGTGTACCGAACAAATTCTAACTGATTATTATATGTGTGTTTTCCTTTTTAAGTTACTAGAAAATGACTAAAATTACATTTTTCCTTTTTTTAAAAAGATTTGCTTATTTCATAAAAAAAGTATTTAACTATTTTAAAAGATAGGCAATTTTTTTAGTTAAAAATACTTTTATTTTAAAAATAGCACAAACAAACTGGCCCTGAAAATTGGTTAGTCTTAGCTGGCTACCTCAATAAATTTGAACATATTTAACTAAGGAAGAAGTGGCAAACACTTTTTCCAAACAAACCAAGGAGTTAGTTTGCGGAGCTAATCTTGTAAACTAAACCACAAGTTTACATAAAAATAAAATTTTCACATTCGGTGTAAAAAAATCATTATTCGAATTCTTAGAACAAAACACTTTCTAGTTAAAACAATACTAAAAGTCTAGATTTTTATGAAGGTAATATTTACTATATACTATCTATCCCCACAATTCAGATAAAATTTGATGATTACTTTCCACTCTCGCAGCTGTTATGCTTTGCTCAGCTTCTCTCCATTTGCTTGCTGCATTTCTCGAACGTCATTGCATATCCAAACTTAAACTTTGATAGTTACATTCCACTTGTTATTAATTATCTTTGTTACCCACAAGAGAGCCACTTCATTAATATGAAAACATGAACGTCTTATATATGCCATCCAAGTATAGGTGCCTTTACATAGCTAAAGTACTCTAATTCACCTACCTACCTACCTAATTAAAAACTTTTATTTGAAGCAATAAAATTTGACATTGTATATAATATTTTTATCTTTCATTTATTTTTATCTTTTTTTACATGCACACGTCTCAAAAATATATCATAAAGCACAATGACACGTCTTTGGATGTCCACTTTTGAATATTCAAACAACATTTTCCTTACTCAAGGGCTTGGTCTCAATCGAGACTCTAGATTGGAGCTTCAGTAAACAAGCATATTAATTCTCTGAAACTAACAATAGATCCAAATTTAACCCAGTGAAAAAGAAAATACAGTAGCTGCCAAAGAAGTAATGGATGTGATTCTTCTGACTGAAAAGTAATTGCCAATATATTTTAATTCAAGGATGTTTATATTACATACATATATAGGCACATCCATGTACATCACATGCTCCTTTTCGCTTTTCAACCCAAATTAACTTAGGCTGGTGTTCATATATATGTTACATCCCAAACACTACAGATAAAATCAACTTGAAACAAAGTTCATTCTGCAGCTAAACCTGCATCATGAATTTCATGTCATGACATAAACACTTTTTCCCTAGAACCAAGTTCTCTGTTGTATATACATGCTGTGGAAACTTCTCCTTCACCAAAACATGTATTTATTCTCCTAAGCTTAAGCTTCCCACTTTTTCAAAGATTCCCAAAACAATCAAAATAAGCCAATAAGCACCTCCATGCTTATAATCAGTACATATTCTTTCAATTTCACTTCTTATTGTAATATGGAGAAGCATAACCATTACATGGGGAGGCAAAACCGTTATATGGAGAGGCATAACCGCTATAAGGGGATCCACAATCATAAGAAGAGCCAGTGAAAGTTGGGGGCACAAGCACAGAAGAAGACACCTTGAACCTCTTACTCCTTGAACCCTCACTTCCACTGGCATCATTGCTATCAGCCCACCCCATCAATTGGTCCAAGAACCCTTGATCACCAACACCAACTTCCCCTATATCCGACCCATCAGAGTCCAACCCGGGTTGTCTGAACCCGACCCACTCAGAACTACAATCAGACATACTAGAACTTTCCCAAGTAGCAGCAGGGTAATCACCATCCACAGGTGGCACAATAATACTAGGCTGCACCACTTTTTCAATGTTTTTCATATCCATTGCAGGGATTTGGTAACTCCTACGATGGAATATGCTAGCAAAAGTGAAGTGGTCACTCACCCTACTCTTTGAGGACTTGTTATCACTTGCTCTAGCCATAATGCTTTGGAGATTCTTGCTCAACTTGGCTTTCAATGAAGCAAAGCTCAAACCATGCTTTCCATCAGACCCAGTTGAAATTAAAAGCCCTTCACTAGAAGGATTAGAACCTGATTGGCCTATGGATTGGTTCACTGGTGCAAAGTTGGTTCGGGCATTTTCCCCTCGTAGTGCACGAGCTGCTTCATCATAAGCCCTTGCAGCTTCTTCTGGTGTATCATAGGTTCCAAGCCACAACCTCACATGCTGAGAAGAGTCTTTGATCTCAGCCACCCACCTTCCTGAAGGCCTTTGCCTCACCCCAATGAACCTTTTGATGATGGGTTTGTTCGATTTGGCTAAATTGTTTGTAGTACTGGTTGTAGCAGAAGCATATTTCGTAGCTTCAGTTCCTGCCATAAGTAGCTAGAATAACAAAAAAAGATACAGTGAGAAGAGAATGAGATTTTAGTTTTGATTAGCTAAACTTGTTTTGGTTTGGTTTGGCTTTGGTTGAGTATTTTTAAGGCAATGATGATGTATGATTGGATAGAGAAAACACATTGTTTGATTAATGATATTGATCTTGCTGTATATATATATATGTGTAAAGTTTTGGAAGTGAGTGAGTATGAACGTGAGTATATAGTATATACCCGTCACCATTTGTAGTTTGTACGTTTCTTCAAGCTTCTAATTTTTAATGTTTGTATTGTGTGCTTTCATGTACTTGCAAGTTGCTCTTCTTGCAGCTTGGATGGGTTTAATTGGCGTAATTGGCTTGTGAAAATGCCACCAGTTGGTATTACATACGTCCATGCATAATTAGTGATTTTAGAAAAATGTTATCAATATTTCTTAAACACTCAAATTAATAGTATTAACACATATTTATCATGTAAGCCAAACATAACTATACTTTGATTTTTAGACAGGCAAATAGTGTCAACACACATTTAATACTTTTAAAATTTTTTTATTTCTAATGTGTATACACTCTGAGTGAGTGTTTAGAAATTAATCAAAATCACATCAAGCCACATTTTAACCTTAAAACTATAACTTATGGCGTTAAAATGAATTTATATTCAAATAAATTCAACATAAATCTAAACATACACTAATTCTTAGTGTTTATATCAGCTATTAAACTCCCCAATTTTACTGAATTTTCAAACACGGTATTTTTCAATGTATAATTGGATCCCAGTAAATTAATAATGACTATAAAAACAACCTTATTTGGTAAGATCCAATGATATTTTACATATATAAAAAAGTATTTTAGTAATTATTTAGCAAGTATTATATATAATCAAAATTTTCCATTGTAATTAATGTACGTTATGAGAAAATTTTATGTTAAATATTAATTTAATCATGCATTTTATTAAAATTTAATGATTTAAGTCATTGTTATGATTTTAAAATTTATATTTTATAAAAAATTATTAAGTGAGGCAGGAGTTTAAATTTGAATTATTTAAATATAATTTTAAATTTAAATTTAAACCTTCATTACTGAAATAAAATGACTTCTTCTTGAATATATTCCTAATCTAAATAAAAAAAAATTGTATTATTAAGATTTGTGGTAATAATAGCGATTGTGGAGGGTTCTGAAAGCTAAAAAAATAACTGAGTCAACATTTGTTGTTTGGGATAGCATGGTCAATATTTGCTAAAGTCCAAGTTGAGCCGTGTTAATCAGAAATAGCCACAAAATGATCCAAACACAAAATAATTTACAACGATGCCTGCAATCTGCGCGCAGAAACAGATATATCGGCCAACTTCGAGTAATGCTGCCTTTGTGATTTTTGTATTTGTAATTTTGCATAACTTATAATTCACTTCCCTTTTAATTTAGTTGACCATTTATACTTTAACATTTTACTTTTCTCTTTAACTTATATAAACATGTACGGTTGAATTTTACGTGCATGCTAAAATCATATATAAGTATAATTAATTTATGTCTGTAATTTCATTTTATTTAATTTTTTTAGTTGGTTGAATTAAAATTTTCAACCTAAATTTTATCTAATAATTAATAAAATTATAATAAAGGTGCATTATTAATTTATATAAACTTATAATATATAAATAAAATATAATAATTGATAGAAATAGAAATAATCTGTAATTATTTCTTATTGATTTTGTATTAAGTGAGTTCTGAATTTAGTTTAGCTATTTACTGTAAATTGATACTAACAGATTGTATCCTAGAATGGCATAATTAGTAGCTTAATTAGTGGCTCTATATTTTTGTATATATTGATGAGTCATGAATGAAATTGACACGGAATTATTTCTTACAATAATTTTTATTTTATATATTTTTTATAAATCTACGTAAACTAATTATATATCATATATTTATTAATTACTAGATAAAATTTTAGGACAAGAGACTTAACTGAACACTTAGAAACTAAATTCAAATAAGGATAAAAAAAACTACACATAAACTAAAGTGTAAAGACTAAAAAGTACAATTAACTGTTATACATATAAGTTAGTACGATTACTTAGTCAATTTGAGAAATAAGCATTCACAAATCAGGTTAAATTTAATAAATCATTTTTAAAAATATTTTAGTAAAAGAAATCATCTGTATGTATATAGTATTAACATTTTCTGTACGTAGACTTGATTTTCTTTTAAATGCGGCGTCTTATATTTTATTAGTAGGATAATTTTTTTATAGTATAGGTTTAACGCATAAAAAGTAATATCTATTTAAGAATATTGTATAAATATTCTTTATCAACACAATTAACCTAATTTAAGGGTGAATATAGTCTAATAAGAGAGATATATCTATATATATAATTTATAATAAAATTATTATTTTATATTTTATTATTATTTACATTAGAATTCTTAAAAGTTTCTTTATCTCTGATTTCTCCTTTTATATATATATATATAGGAGTAAGATTTTTTTATAGTAGTATAAATTTAAAAAAAATTATATTTAATCTAAACTTTTTATTTAACTTATATATAATAATTTATTATTTTACTGACTATTAAATATAAGTTAAATAAAAGAGTTTTTAGATTTGAACTAACATAAAAATATATTTATTTATACATATTGTAGTGAAAAGTGAGTTAAGTGCATTCATAGGAACAAAGGTATTTCGTATGGATGTTAGGCGAGCTAGTGATTAGGTATCAATGCCACGACAGGAAAAGTGAAAAAAGAAAAGAAAAGTTAACTTAGTTTGTTTTGAGTCTATGTTGTAAAGGATATCATCAAAATTACCAATAGATTATTTGTTGCATATTGCCGTTGCCATCTTAAGCTGCCTTAAACACCATATTACCCTGCCACTGCCATCACCCTCGATATCTTACCGCTGTTACTGTATATGTAAATGTATCACTATCATAATATTCATTCATGTTACAGGAAATATCAAAATCAACAGAAGCACAAGCTACGAGGCATGTTTAATGGGAAAAAAATTCCAGTTTAATTAGCCAGACAAATGGGTATTTAATTGCTTGTCCTTAACTTCAAAAGCTAAGAAGTAAACGTATTAAAATTGCTAAAATAGTTTATCTCTTTCAATAAAAGTCTTTTAATACACAAATTATGAATAGAATCCTAGTGCCTGTTTGGTATACTTTTTTCAAAAATAAAAAAATATATATATATATATTTACTTAGTTTAAAAAAAAAGTAAAAATAATCATTCTTTGAAATAAAGTTAAATCAAACACATATTCAATACGTAAAAAAAATTAATCTGGCAACTAGATGAGGTTTTATTGGCATATGAAGTTTATCCATTAGTAGTAGGAAGCTAATTAATGGCAGCTAACTTGGGAGTGGCTAAGCTGTAGCCGAGCAAATAGAAATGGTGTTAAAGAAATACATATAGAATCAGACAAAAGAAGGGCCGTCAAAGTTTGTCGCCATACAAAAGAAGAACGGGTTCGCAACGTTAATCATCAACAAAAGGGAAATTTTAAAATCAATAGAGAAAAAAGCTTTTCTTCTAGTGACGTGTTGGAATTTAGCAGTTGTTAATAGAATGATTTATGGGCCACCCTTTTGAACCCTTGTCCCTTCTTCTGTTTCCATTTACCCTTAATGCTTTCATCATATTTTTATATGGTGTAATTAGGGAATATTATTAATTTGTTGCAATTTGTGTTTAGTGGGTGAAATTAAGATGGCTATTTTGTCCCTTTGTTAAAGACGTGGTCCATTTGAATTGGGACTAATCACCTAAATGTGGCCTTGAGATGCCCCCTCGTTGAGTTACTTGTTAGCTTGGAAGAATGAGATTTGTCCACTAATAAGGTGGATTTTGGGATAATCATGTGTGTAGAATGACACATGGCATGTTTGAGTTTGTGTAATTTTGCTAATGACCAATTATAATCAAGAGGAATAGTTAATTCGCATCAAATTATGAGATTGAATTGAATGATTATGCTTAGTGAGGACCATTAATGGAGGGAAGGAATCCTATGTGGTTCAAAAAAGGGTTTGTGTGGAGCTACTTATTTTATGGCTAATGCAACATGTTCCCCAAAAGGTTAACTCATTCAAAAATTCCAAAGTTTTGTCCAATTTTTAGTGTATGGTAGCAAAATTAATGTTCTCCATTGTCGATGAAATCAACAATTGTACTTCTGCTCGTAGCAATAAAGTTGACTTGATCATAACTTTTTAATTCAGATTTTTTATTGGTTTAGAAGTTGAATTTATAATTTTTTGATAAAGAGAAATATTCGTTGATTATTTGAATACCAATGCTACTTTAATAATTACAAACACAAAGCTCATAAAAAGAAATTATGCAATGAATACCTTACATCCCCTTTTCCATGAGATGCTTCTAGCCACCAAACACAACATGCATTGTACATTTAAAGTTTTAATCAATTAACATGTGAAACTCGAGCACAACTACCAATAAGCTATACAATAATTTTAAAATTATTAACATGACGACAATTAAAAAATTAATAAATATTCTATTAAAATTAACATGTTATTAATATAATATATTTCATGATACTTTTTAATTTTAATAAAAAATATTATGCATAAATTTTATTGTGTATTTAAACACATTAATTAAGAATATATAACTTTATGTAAAATATCTATTTTTGTATCATGTAAAATTAGCTATATAACTGTGTATATGAATGGTTAAAATTATTGTATTTAAATTTTACAATATATTTTTGTTTAAATAACAAAATTAATTTCTTTCATATTTTTATATTATATAAACAATCTTGATTATCTATGTTTGGCATGATGCTCTTTTTTTTTTTTTTTAATTTATCAAATTTTTATGTGAATCTAAAAACACATAATAATAATAATAATAATAATAATAATAATTTATTATTATTATTATTATTATTATTATTATTATTATTATTATTATTATTATAAAAATTATAAAATTTAATAAATTAATAATACATAATATTATAATTTTTAATAAAAATTTATTATTTATTAACTTCTTATCATATATCTTTAAACATACATTAAGAAAATCGTTGTTTTATTTTCTTATATTATTATGTTATCCCTACATTAACAATTACTAACATTTAATATATCTAGAAAATCAAACACACTGCCCTAACCTTTAATATTTTAAGTCCAATCGTTTCGTGGAGGTTTCATGGATTGTAAGCATCAAGCAAGGGAACATTCGCATCATCGCATGAGTTCAGGTCATGACACCTTGCATCCCTAAAACTTTAACAATTGTTTCTTTAGTTCAAAATAACTCTTTTCATAGCATTCTAACATTCTTCTAAAAACAGCCTCCTTTTGTTAGAAATTTTACTTCAATGCCCAACTTATCAATTTTGCAATAAAATAAGGAAAAGTTGATAAAATTTAAGATCAATTTTCACATATAAATTAAAAGAATTTCAATAAATTTTATTGCAAGTAAATTATTAGCAAAATAATAGATTACTGATTGACAAATGAAATATTTTTAATCCAAAATACTATCTCAAATGCACTTTTATCGTAATATCAATTGTTGTAACAAGATGCTAAACTTCTTATAGGTCGTTTTACAAAAGCTTTTTCCAACTTCAAATGTTATTAATTATTTCTATATGTTGGAGATACTTTATAATCCCGTTGGATAATTTCAATCTTATGCGAGTGTGGTTCATATATTAGAGGCTCTTGTTCCGAAGATAGTTTACTAAAAGCTTCTTTATACCCAGAGTTATCTCACCTTCCAATTTAACCACATCATTAACCTTCCACAGTCATTTTATGTATAACACCATATCGACAGCACAAGTTTTGCCAAAACCTATTAACTCTTTAGAGTGAAAAATAGAAGCCTATCAATGCCTAGAGAAAAGGAATCCCTTAACCCAAAGCGATAGGTTGTGGGCTATCAAAATTTAGATTACGAATGTATATCTAGCATATCCTCTTACTCACAACACAAACATTAAATTTTTCTTGTGCTTAACTCTAACCCTATTGAGAACCATTCTAATTAATTATGTTACCTAGGCTTCAATTAAAAGGATAAACTCTATTCACCTCATATTTGTTGGAATACAATGATCAGGTCCCTCTTAATTAACTTTGTCTCCTTTCCAACGAAAATGCTCTACACCTAAAAATAAAAATCTTCACCCACAAATTGCTTTCAATTATCAATCATATTGATATTCAAGCCTATTGGGGACAGGAATAATTGATCATCAATTTATGATAATCGACTATTAAAGTTTTATATTTCAAAATTAGAGTCTCTAACAAGCCTTTCAATAGCTTGGTATATATTACAGTTTTAGAACGTCAAGATTTTCATAGTTTTTGCAGTAAATTTGTTATATTTATTATTATATTTTTTTTACTTTGCTTTATTTTCAAATTAAAATATAAATGAACTAAAATTTTTAATAAAAATAAAAACGATAATTAAAAATGTAAGATAATTTGTGGAAACTATTTAAAAACATTATAAACACACAGATAGATAATCTTGTCATTGTTGTAAATATCTCCGATTCAGAAAATTATATGAACTGGTACCAAAAAGAAGAGTTATAATAATTTTTGTAATTAAATTTTTTCTATTTCTTTATTATATCACCAATTTTTTATCGTTTTTCTTTTTTTCTTAATTTATAAAAAATTATACGAATATAATTTCTCAAAACAAAAATTATTATATACCAGGTCACGTAGATGTTGAAACGAGGGAATTTCTCATTCTTGACGAACAAAAAAACAGGTAGTATTCACCTCCAACGATTAACATCTGATTCAACACCCACCCTCTGAATCCCCATCATCTGATCCAATCTCAAATGGCGTTTCACACGCACACAACCCAACCCCTGAAGGAGATAGCCATCGACTACACCCCCGAAGCATGTTCCCACTGCCCCAACTCCAACACCATCACCCTCACCTTCGACCACCGCGGCGGCGCACGGTGGCGCTCCACCACCCGGTTCCTCCACGGAACCTTCTCCACCCTCCTCCGCTGCCCCACCGGCAACACCAGCGGCCTGAACTTCAACTTCTACCTCTCTTCCCTCGAAGGTGAAAAGTCCCAAGACGAGATCGATTTTGAGTTCTTGGGCAAAGACACAACCCTCGTTCAAACCAACTTCTTCACTGAAGGAACCGGCAATAGGGAACGCATTCACCGTTTGGGTTTTGATGCCTCTGATGGGTTTCATGAATATGGGATCATGTGGGGTTCTGATGTGATTGAGTGGTTCGTTGATGGGAGTGCGGTGAGGAGGGAAGAGAGGAAGGAGGGTGAAGGGTTCCCTCTCAAGCCTATGTTTTTGTATGCTTCTGTTTGGGATGCTAGTTCCATTGATGAAGGAAGGTGGACTGGGAAATATTATGCAACTCATGAGCCTTATGTTTGTATCTATAAGGACATTCGTGTACCCGTGGAGACTGCTCTTGAATGATCCATATCACTTTCAACACTTGTTTCCAAACACATCGAAGAACCCTCTCAGCACCGCTTAAGTTACAGTTAGTAGTATCAAAATACGCATCAATTAACAATTATTTAAATGTGAATTTAAGTACGTTTTTATCATTTATTTATGGTATTATATTTGTTGGAGTAACGAATGTAAGTGAAGAAGTTTTATGTCAAATACAAGATTGATATTACGGTAATCTCCCACAAAGGAATGATCAAATGTGGTTTTGTTAATTTGCTTCGGGTTGTAGAATATGGTATTTTGCTGATCCTTTGTTTTATTGAATAAAGGGAGCTTACCTACAACTTGAAGGACAGTCTCTGAGAGTATTGTTTTTGCATGAAGATATTAGAGTCTGATATATTGAAGAAATTTATTTCAGCTGGCATTAAATACGATGCTAGCTAGGTGGACCTCAACTCAAATTTGAGCAGAGTGAAAAACTGATTTTATTGCTAACGAGAGTAGTAGAACCATATTATCATATAGAATGCTACATTCCAAGTTTCTTATTCTTGTGTTGTTACATTGACCCTTAATGCTTTAATATATCGAGGGTCTACTAGTTTTCTTATAAACTGCTTAATTGTGTTATGGCAGCTTAAAAATTCAATTCAATTCTTTTAATACAAGTATCCTCCCTCGAAGCAACCATGTTGGAATGAAGTAAGATTATTAATAGTTAACAAAATTTTCCTTCGGAATATTAATTCAATTCAGTTTTATAATTAGAAAAAAAATAATAAAAAATTTATAAATAGAAAATGAGAAAATATTATACATCAATCATCCTTTTGGGTGTCAATAACATAATTAAGGTCATGTCTTTCACACAGAAAAATAAATAAATAAAACCAAGCATCGGAAATGAGGAGAGGAAGAGAACTACAAGCTAGAGAAAATCCAGGAGGATAAAGAAGGAAACTCTCATGTCATGACATCACATGCTTCCCTTCTTTTCCTTTCCCACACCTTATAACCTTTACACCAAATCACTCATCCACTTACACTTGTTACAGCTTAATTATCATGTCAGCATCTCTTGGCTGGCTTGTGAGTAACACTGATTCTATTATTTTTCAAAATCAATTTTTTAGAATTATAATTCTAGGACGATTCTAATGAAATCGGGTGTGACTTGAGATAAAGCTAAGTAAGGCGTAGATACTAGTTAAATTATTTTTTTTCCTTCTCTTAATTTTCTTGTATCTATTTCTCTATTTAATCAAAATCATCATTTATCTTAAAAATGTAAGATGTAAGTTTATTAATTTTTTATTATAAATATTTCTTCAAACAATCTACTAATATTTTACATTCTTCGCTTATATTATTTTGAAACACATTACTAAACTTGAGTAGTTTGAAGCAATGAATTGATTTAGGATTGATTGGTTAAAGTCAACCTTTTTGTTTTCTATAAATAAAATGCCTGTAAAGGGCTAAGTTATGGTGACCGGCTACCTCACTACAGAATGTCGTAGCAAAAGGAAGGTTACTTCTTGGGAAAACGACTCTTTTGCTTGGTGTGGCCACAATCTAATTAGCCATTAGTTAATTTATTTTTTTAATTATTAACAGTTTACCACAAGATGAAAGCATTTGCGATTGATTCGATGTGGCTAACTTTGGGTAATTAGTAAAATCAGTTGAATGAATGGTCAATAGATGCAAACAAAAAACAATGTTCAAACTTTTAGCTGAAGGCCCAAAAGGGGTCCTTTTCGCCAACTTTTTTGATTACGTAGAAATGAATTCTGCTGTTTACCAAACATCACTTTTGTGAATATCTTGTCATGAGAACGAACCTAATTATGATTTGGTGCAGCTCGTATTTTGTGTATGCAACATTTTTTCTGAGTGAAATACATGACTTCATCTGAATGGGCATGCTACTAATTTTAAAATTCAGATACTTTCATGAAATCGCAACTTTGTTTACAATGAGAACTTAATTTACCTGATTCAACATATTTTCTCACGTGCTGGTGATTTTGATGTTGCTAGCTGCTAATAGTGAAAATTTTAGGGCTTGTAAAACGAACTTATATATGCATGGGATGTCAAACTTTGAGATAAATAACCCTTAGATACTTTTTTTAAAAAGAAAAAAATTTATACTTGTTCATAAAAAATGTATATTTCTTAAATTAGGTTTTATTTATTAAAACAAATAGTCAAGTGCTAAGAAAAGGTAGGGTTTATATAGTTCAACTCAATTATTATTTAATCATCCAATTCACCTATATATAAATCTAATTACCTCATCCAATTATAAAAATAAAAATTAATGAATAAGCTGAATTAGATCATAATTTATTATTGGATAAATAATTAATCTAAAGTCTATTCATTGGACATAGATCTTTCAGGGACTTATCATAGACTCCATAGTATTTGAATGTTACAAATAATTTTAAAAGAATATAATATACTTTAAAAGATGGTTGAATATCAATCTTTTAAAAATGGGGATCGGACGTACGATTCCCTAAAATAATTAGTTAATTTGTTAGTGTTGTTAAGCTTTTAGTCCATTGAATAATCATAATAATAATAATAACAACTTATTATAAAATGATTGAATAATTTTTCATAAATGGATTAATAGTTTAATTTTGATCCATTCGTTATAATTTAATTCAAATTTTTTTAATAGTTTAAGATAAAACTAGTACTTTATTTATCTAATAAATTAATAAAATAATAATTTGAATAATTTTTGTACAGAAGTTAAATTTTAAAAATTCAACTATTAAATTATGTTATATTATTTTTACGATGATAAAGTATATAAAATTTTAGATTATTCAAATGCTTTTAAAATAAAATAGTGTGATAGAATGTCAATTTATAAAATTATATAAAATTTCACAAACATAAAATATGTTTGGATTCTTTCGTATTCTTGAATATACAAGATGATTGGATCAATTAACATAATTTTATTTATAAGTGTGTGTAAATTACGCTCTTGTCCAAACGAAAAATATATTTAATCATTGTAGAATTAGTTCATAGGTCCAATTCTACTAGCATAAATTTATTTTTATACCCAAAATTCAAACCTCAAACCCTTTTTTTTTTAAGGAGAATCAGTTATTTATAACTTAACTTGAATTAAACCCCCTTAGTACATGACTGTATTATTACATTAATGAAGAACATAAAATATTCAAATCCTTTTCTATTTTATAAAAAAAGAATCAACATAATGATAAAATTAAAAAAAAATATTTTGTTAAAGTTGTGATTTGACTTATTATATAAACAGTTGAAAATAACAAGTTACCTGCTCGTTTGACTTGAAAATTATGAAAAAAAAATGGCATTATATTATTATAATTTGTACTCTGGGGGTATGAAAAGCAAGAAAATGGCAAAATCGTGATTATTGAACATAACCAAAAGTGGCCAAACCAGGGAGAAAGCGAGACAGAGAGAAAGAGACAAGCAGAGGCAGAGCAAAGCAATTTTGAGAGTTGTCAGAATCTCAACCTTAAAGACTCATGTACTTTCTTCACACCGTTAAGATCTTTCGATGCCAATAACATAAGATTCGATAGCCACCCTAAACCGTTTGATTTGTCGTTTGGTTGGTCAAATCATGACATGGACCCCACCAAGAATACGATTCCAAAGCCATTCATCTTCCACAACTCTCTCCTCTCTTCTTCACCATCCATCTTCCCTTTGAGTCAGACCAAAGCCACTTTGATTCTATAAAAATAAATTTTGTTTTTTTCTTATTTTTTCTGAAGAGTTTTTATTTGGGTCCTTATTATTTTTCACATTTCCTTATTTATCATCTTATTTATGTCTTTAAGAACTTGTGGGGGTTATGCACTCATGTGATACCTAGGTGCACTATGCTCTCACTTTCTATCTCTAAAGTGGGTTTCATCATGTTCTTGTGATTATTTTCCTCTTTGTTTTAGTTTCTGGGTTGGTGATTGTGGAAATTGGTTTTGCTCAGCGTGGGATTGTGTATATGAAATGGGTTCGGGAACCAATTTGGTGACTACAGTCATTGGGTTTGGAATGAGTACAACTTTCATCGTATTCGTTTGCACCAGAATAATTTGTGGAAGACTGCGAGAACGTCTGCGTTCAAGAACTATATATGAGATTGAATCAAGAGCAGATATAGAACGGGTAATTAATTCTTCACCTGTGATTTCCACTTCTTCATATGTGTTGACTGTACTAGTTAACATCATTAGAGGATAAGTAATGAAACAAAATTAAACTTTATTTGGTTAAGTATGAAGTGATCGTTTCTAGATTATTGTTCTTTATTAGAGGAAATATGCGATGAAAATTTATGTTAAGTTCTAGCTGTGATTCGGGTGTCATTCAATTTTGTAGAAGAAACGTGTGATGAAAATATATTAATGCACAAGAAAATTTTCAATCAGATTAGCATGTATTTTCAGACTAAAGTACTTCAGATTTTAATTTTTGCATTGTTTACCTGATAGCCAGAACATCATGCTAATGACTCTGAACCAGCTTTTGTTGCTGCAATCCCCACTTTGAACTTCAACCAAGAAGCCTTCAGGTCCATTCAATGTACACAGTTAAGTCTAGTTTGTAGTCTATAATTTGGAGGTCACAGAGAATGTTCTTGATTATTTAATTAATTAATTTTATTAAAAACACTTATCTTAAAACAGGCAATTTGTAAATAGGAGTCAGAATATTGATAACTTATTCAGTTTGCTTTTACAGGTGTGTGATATGTTTGTCAGAGTACAAAGAAAAAGAACTATTGCGCATCATACCAAAATGTGGCCACAATTTTCATCTCTCTTGCATTGATATGTGGCTAAGAAAACAATCTACATGTCCAGTGTGCCGTTTGCCACTGCAGAATGCTTCTGAAACAAAACATGTGATACCAGTAACATTTACCATTACTCACTCTCTTGATGACTCCAATACTTCAGAAAGTAACATAGAGAATGAGAGGCAAGCTGAACCTAATGCCAGTAACTCCTTACAATTAACTTCCGGAGAATCAGAAGCTAGACAGTGATGTAAGAAAGTTAAAGGGGTTGTTGTAGTGTGTGCCTAATATGTCTATGTAAAGCAACATTTTCAAGAGAAATACTAACAATACCACACTCTCAGATACATTTAGACCTTTTGATATTCAAGGTAAAATTGAAATTGATCACAAAACAAGAACTAAAATACTGCATCTAAATTTTAGCAGTTTTTAAAGAATTTTTTTTTAATTTTTATGAAACTCTATTTACACACAAGTAAGCTCTTATTAGGTGGAGTTTATTTAGGTCCCATTACATAATTTTTGTTTCATTTAATGAAAAGAAGTTTAAGGTGTGAACTGCAAGTAAAACTGTAAAAAAGTCCAAATTGATCCTGCCCTAATCCTAATTCATATGAATTAGAATAAAAAGATAATTTAGAGCTTAATTAATTTTTCTAATTAATATAAGAGCAGGATTGAATAAATTGTTCCAGGGTTAAGTAGGACTCAGAGACCTTTTTAACACCTCTTAAGTGTGAGTATTTCGATGTTTAAGAGATATTAGTAATATATTGATTATTTAAATTTATTAAAATTAAAAAATAAAAAACATTATTTAAAATAAGAAAGTGTGAAATTTATATAATTTTTAATAAATTTTAATTAATAATTAAAAATGTGTTCAAAGAATATTTTAAATGGATTGGATTAGTTAACTTTTGGTGTGAAACAGGGCATGCCTGCGTTTACACGAACATTATTTGTCTTCTCTAGTAGCATAGGCAGGCCTATTTTGTCGTCTTACACTCACTGACACTGTAAACTACAGGGCTAGTTTGGTCCACACTCACCATAAAAGTAAATATACAGAAAGTGATGTTTTATTTATTTTGAGTTTCAGAATGTTTTGTTGCATATAATTTAGTTCTTAAACGAGTTAACTTACTTAAAATTTAAGTCGTTTCTCACAAAAATACAGGTAAGATAAGAATAAAATGCAAGCAAAATTAACATGTTCAAAAATCAAATTCTACATTATTATATTTTTATTATAATTATTAAAACGAGTTAGCTCTACAAATTGAGTTCAAAATAAATTAATTTATATAAGTTTACTTTTGAAATCTTACCCATAGAATTAGTGGGTTGGCTCATAACATAAAAATAATAAACAACTTTAAATATGTAAAAAAATTTGTTAAAAAGTTTTTAATATATAATATTTTTTACTATTATTTATTAGTATCTTTTAGTAATTTAATCAGCTAATTATTTTAAAAAATTACCCTTATCTTTACTTAAATCACTTAAGTTAAGTTTTAACCTATTATAAACTATACGTTAAATAAATTAATTCATGAAAATTTAAAATAATCTAGTCTAATTTTTTTTAGAACTCAACTCATTTCCGAAGTAGCTTATAAGTTTAAATTCGTTCTAATGTTTAAGAATTAATCAGTTCTTATATATATATACACACTTTTAGAAATTAAATTATATAAAAATAAATTTTCAAAAATTAAAAATATATTAAAAATATTTTTTAATAATAAATTTATATATAAAATAAAAAATAATTAATTATGATTTGAAATGTCAATATCAGCGTATAACTTTATTCTTTAAGCTAAATATAATGAGCTTAATTTAACTCTAATTTCTAATATACAAAAAAAGAAAAGAAAAGAGTTAAGGTTAACATTAGAAGTGAGTTAACCTATTTTTTTAGAGAATAAATAATTATTATTAAAATATTTTTTTAGTAAAAGACACATGTATTTGTTTATCATTTTTATTAAATTATTTTACTTAAAATAATTTAAAATTATATTTTAAATATAAAAATATATATAAAAATAACTTTTTTATTAATTATATCAAATTAAGTTATTTTTATTTAAAAAATATATATTAAATTAAAATGAATCTAAATTTAAATTTATAAATATTCATTAATTTTTATTAAATAGAATATTAAGTATCATATGATTATAATTTTCATAATAATAGTATGATATTTTATTTATTTAACATATTAAATTTTATTTAAATAAAATATTTTAATAATAAATAACTTAATAAATTTAGCTAACATTGTTAGCTTTATATCTTTTTTATGACTTTAAAAATATTTTTGTTAATGAGATTTTATTATAATAGTAGGTTTAAATTGGTTAAAAATTATTTTTGTAATATATTTTCATTCGATCTATTTATTTTTAAATGTTGAATTATAAAAAAAATTACATACTTGGTGTACATTTTATACGAAACAATTTTATTTGATTCAGACGTAACTGCAACAAAACTTTTCATTTAAATATTTAACGTAATAGATTTGAGAGACTACTAATTAAACTAAAATAAATATATACCAATTAATACATTGATCAGCTGATGATCTCAGAGTATGATTATTATTCTAACAGCTTTGTTAAATGATAGGAAGCATTTGAGTACGAACTCATCACCAAAACAATGGAAATTCTAATATTTATTATCTTTGAATGAAAAAGTAGTAGAGTTTAAGGAAGTTTTTGAACCACACAATGTTTGAGCCCAACAAGAAAAATGGACCAAAGAGTCCTAGCCCTTAAAAAACACAAAAGAGAAAGATCACGTTCTGGAATATTTGCATTCAGGCCTATGAGGTAGTGATCCAATTTCAATATTTATATTAATTAACAATCCTTTATAAATAAATGAAGTTATTGTATCTAATATGAAACAATTTGCTTGAACAATTTTTCTTATGATTTAAATGAATTAACTTGCCAATCCTATATTTCATAGGAGCAATTAAAAAAATACAATAGGGTTTATTAATTATCATTTGACCCCAATTGTATTAGGTTAAGTACACATTTATTTTGTTATTTATATTAACAATGTACAAAAAATGCAATTGAAGTTGAATTGGATGTCTTCTGCCACGCAATGTCAATCAATACGTAAAAATTGTGTATTTAGATCAATCAAGTTGAACATAAACTTTGTTTTGATTATAATAAAACTAATATTTTTATCGATGTAATAATATATAATTGGATGACATTATATATAAATTCGAATTAAATTCATGAACAAGTAACATTTAAAACAAGTCTATACAACTAAATTTATTTAAATAATAAATAAAATCACTTTCAAATGACGAATATAATTTATAAAATCAAAGAACTATACATAATATTATTTTATAAAACTTATTTTTATTTTTAAAATTTATTTTTCTAGTAATGCAAAAGAGTAAAAGAGATGGAAAATGAAGGAACGAAGTGATTTGGGGAATAGTTGGTATTTGGTAAAGGGCGGAACTAAGGGGATAACTGGGGAACACTGCACACGTGGGAGTGATGTCTCTGTCCTTTTCTAGTTGCTTCCCTTCACTTCCACTTCCTCGACTTCTTCGACCTTCTTTCCCCAAAACCAAATCATCACCTTGTAAGTTAATTCATAATAATAACTATCTTTTCTGTTAGTTCAATCCATTCTAGTTTCATGTGCTTAGTTCCAACATAGTACGAGGTTTTTGAGACACTGTCGATCATTACTGAACACAATTTCAAGTAATGTCTTTGTTTTTGCAATTTGTGACAAAGTTTTTGACAATTTGTGGCTAATTGGAGCTGTAATTGAGACAGTTTGTGCTTAGTTTGTAATGTGAAAAGGGTATTATGGAGACAAGTTATGATGATTATATGGCAGCCTTATGCTATGAATTTGTGAAAAATTTGTGTCCTGTTGAGTTATTTAATTTCATAGGGATACATCTTGATCATAGGTAACAGTGTTTTCTCTTCTAAGCTTATAGTTTTTTTTCTTTATTAGTGGTGAGCACGAGCATGAGTATGAGTGAGGATCCAGTTCGTGAGTGGGTTCTTTCTGAAGGGAAAGCTACAAAGATAACCAAAATTAGCCCTGTTGGTGGAGGTTGTATCAATCTTGCGAATCGATATGACACTGATGCTGGTTCTTTCTTTGTTAAAACAAACAGGTATAGAACATCACGTGTACTGTTTTTGGTTTGGTGGTGGTTTGAATTTTTCGTTCTTAATGTGTTGCATTATTTCAATTATCTTGGAGCAAAAGCTACATTTCCTTTGTTTCTTATGTATGACAAGTTTTATGCCGTTGAAAGTTGAAACTCTATATCAGGAGTATTGGACCATCCATGTTTGAAGCCGAGGCTCTTGGTTTAGGAGCTATGTATGAAACTAGGACCATCCGCGTGCCTAAGCCATATAAGGTGAGAATATTAACATTAGTGTTGTGAAATCTACTATTTGTTGGTTATAACTTGCTGGAGGTAACTTGTTGCTAGGAATTGTAGGTTGGATCTCTACCTACTGGTGGTTCTTTCATCATTATGGAATTCGTAGAATTTGGTGCATCTAGAGGCAATCAAGTGAGCTACCTACAAAAATTACTTTTAATTAGGAAAATTTATGCACCTTAACTGTAGTTTATTGCTTTCCAGTCTGATCTAGGGAGGAAGCTTGGTGAAATGCATAAAGCTGGAAAATCTACTAAAGGCTATGGTTTTGATGTTGATAACACTATTGGCAGGTTTAATGTTTTATCATGAAAGTTATCATTGTTGTTGCAATTGTTATTGTTATCAATTACTACTTTTGGTCCTATTTAATAAAAACAAATACCTAATTTATCAAGACAATAAAGTAGTTATATGTCATAAATTTATATTCTATTCAAGATGTATTCGTAGTATTAAATTTTCAAATTGATGTGTTATATGTTAAATGAATGAATGTATCCACGTTCATGAATAAATTATGGGTATCTCATTAACGCAAATCTTACATTAAATAAGGGTATAAAAAGAACTTCATAATTAATGCATTTGAAAAAGAGTCTCTGTTTCTTATATTTAGAACAAAAAAAAATAAAAATATTAGTAGTAGTTTCTTATAAAAAGTACTGAATGTAGTATCATTTATCATGCCCTTTCCATGTTACCTAGACATGTGCTGCATGTTAGGCTATATCAGCAGAATAGCATGTGTCTGTGTTTAGAAGCAATTAAAGTGAATGTTCTTAATAGTTTGTACTAATTGATTTCTAATTATTTTATCTATATTATTCTGTAGCACTCCACAAATAAACACCTGGTCATCAGATTGGATTCAATTTTATGGAGAGAACAGATTGGGTTACCAGTTGAAATTGGCATTAGACCAGTATGGTGACAGAACCATTTATGAAAAAGGTAATTTTTCTCTGGTACTAGTGTTCTTCTCATCAATTAATTTTAGTTGTACACCATATTTGTGTATAGCATCTTTAGATTGAATAAATTGAGCAGGTCAATTGAACTTGAACAGACAGACAGGATGGATACATGAAAGGGTACATTAAGTTCATTGACATTGGGAGAATAGGAAGCTGGTCTTTTCTTGAGGATAGTTGTTTATATGTTGAACTTACATGTATTGACATTTCCCTGTTTTCACCATTTTTCTTGGTGAAGAGCCGGTCTAATAGGAATTATGAATGCAGTACGGTTAGAGAAGAAATTGTTTAGGCATTCTAAATATTTCATTTAATTTATAATCTAAATTTCAGGTATTTAATAAATCACAGAAATGTTGCATAAGAAACTAACAACTAAGTACTGCTATTAGCCATGTCAATCAAACTTGCCATTTATTCAAGATTTTGCTCATTACAATTTTGATTATTTACAAGTGGTGATATATTTATCGTAGACCTACTTAGTTAAGTAATACTCTGAATGTACTAAAATTCACTCTAATGACGCTACATTTATATCTGACTGATTTGTTCTACAGGAAAGAGACTGGTGAAAAGCATGGGACCCCTCTTTGCAAATGTGATGATAGAGCCATGCTTACTACATGGAGATCTCTGGAGTGGAAACATCAGCTCTGACAAAAATGGAGATCCTGTCATATTGGATCCGGCATGTTATTGTAAGTCAAGCTTTTATAAAAAGGTGTTGTATGGCAACTAAAATTTGGAATCAGATTAACAGTTGAAATTTGTATCACAGGATAATTCAACACACAAGAAAGAAAATGAAAACTAAAAGGAAGTTCTTGTTTGAATTTGAATAGTAGTGCTTTTTGATTTATAAGGCCCCACTATTTCAATTGCCTGACAAAATAGTTCAAAAAAAATGCTGAAACTTGAAGAGTAGACTTCTAAATGAGTTGTAGTATCTCTTGATATCTTTCTTAGCCACTTTTTTACTGTGCTCGTCGTTCAAAATTTGAGCATAATTTGATATTTTATCAAATACATTTTGAAAGACCTGTATTGACTAAGAATGAAAGTATTAGGTCCAAAGCTAGGTCCTCTAAATTTGGTTGTAATGCAAATATGTGAGACTGCAATAATCATATATAAATTTTGAAGGAAAATTGGACTGACAGGATGTGGTGTCTGCTTTCTCTTGTTCTATAGATGGACACAGTGAAGCAGAATTTGGTATGTCTTGGTGTGCTGGCTTTGGAGAATCATTCTATAATGCTTATTTTGAGGTAATACTGTTTGCTGCCTTATGATACAAAGGTTTCATAAGTATGTTACACCGTATTTTCTCCCTTCCTGATATTTGTGTCGATTAAGATCTATAAAAATTAGCAATATGATCTTTTGCAAACATTTTGGAAAATTTTTTACCTCAATAATGTGCATTTTTTGTTGGCTTCTTGATATCCTTGTACTAATTGTTTATAGTTGGATATGAAATCCAATCTTGGTATTGGGTTGGCATGTGAAATATCAGTCATACATTAATTTTCTGATGTTTGATTATTTCAAATAATCTTTGCAGGTGATGCCTAAACAGCCAGGATTTGAGGAGAGGAGAGACCTTTATATGCTTTATCACTATTTAAACCATTATAATCTCTTTGGTTCTGGATACCGATCATCTGCCATGTCTATAATCGATGATTATCTAACATTTTTAAAAGCTTAGGATTGCATGCATTATCGACAAGGTTGTATCAATGAGGTTCTTTTCTTGTACATTTGATTACTTACATTTCCCTAATCAGCCCATTCAATGAAATGGAGATGTTATTTATACCAATGCACAGCCAATTATTTTGCTTTCCACAAGCGAGATTAGGCTTACCTTGGGTATGTTTGAGAATAGTTATTAAGCACTTATTCAATACGTTCTTTTTAAACAATAACTTATATAACAAATTTAACGATAAAATTCATTAGAATAAATGAAAACTAGTTTATTTTGATAAATCATAACAAACTAATTATTAAAATAAGCCACAAGAGTCGCAAGCTATTTTTTATAAGTTGTACATAAAATTTTTTAATTTATTTCGTTCAATTTTCCTTACCTTCTCATTTTGATAATGAAAGAAAAATTGTGAAGGGGAGGGGGAGGGGGGTTGAATCAAGACCCCTAACAACTATGCTACCAAAATTTTGGGTAGAAATGAGTTAAAACTAGATAAATTTGAGCTGGTTTATAACATATGAATTGAAACCAAAAACTAAAAGACTGCAACGGATAACATTAACACAGTTATTCAAACATCTAAGTTACCACCAGTTAAATGTGCCTTATAATTTATAAACCTGCATTCATGTGTGACTTTCTAATGTCTTTTGTTTCCTCTGTTATCGGTGTGTCCTTCACTTGCAATAGCAAATTAAAAATACAGGGCTTGATTGTAACGAAGTTTTGCCAGAATTGAAAACTTTTCGCTCTCACAAATTTTGTTTTTAAATTTTCTCTCACTCTGTTGCATGCTACATATAGTATATACAATTAAACAGTCTGAATATCTGATTATTGCTTATTTCAGAATATTTCCATTTAGTGGTATATGGTATCATATATATATAATATCTTCAATTTGTCTGCGTATAAAATCACATTACAAAAAAATAATCATAATTTTATAATATTTTATAGTGTATTCCGATATATACCTAATCGAGCCAGACAAACAGTTCATTTTGCCCTCTAAAAATCCAAATCAGCTGTTGGGTCTGACGAGGATCCTCTCATGTTCAAAATCGAACATGACCGTCATGTTCGTGTAATTTTTAAAGTGATTAAATTTTCGCTTAAGCGAATGTTCAAAATTATACAAACATGACCGTCATGTTCGATTTTGAACATGAGGGGATCGCGATCCCTGTTGGGTCGAACTCACCACCCACATACGACAAAACTTCACTGTGCTACCAATAACTCTACTCAAAAAGAGATAAAGATAATAACAGAAGATATGGGGGTAACTTTTATGTAGGAAAATAATTAATATAAAAAATAAATAATTTTTTAAGTTAGAAATAATTTATAATTTTTTATTTTGTAAGATTTCTATAAAAAATTATCTAACTTAAACTAAAATTAAGGAGAAGTGTAAATAGAAGGAAAAGAAAAGGAAAGAGAATATACAGTTTCATTTATTAGTATAATTTTTGCTTTATATAGTATATTATTATGTCATTGTTGTATCATACGAGAAATGTGAATCTTATTACCTTTAATGTTTTTAAAATAAGATCCACGCATGGTTCTATTAAACCAATAATATAAAAAGAGTATCGGGTAGACAAGGGCATAGTAGTATGAGTGATGTGAGAGTATATGTCCCAATTTGGTACATGTGATGAAGATAGTATCAGACAAATGTGGACCCTTCACATTCATTAGAGTCAACTCAATTTGTCTTACTAAACGACATGCTTCCACTTCAATCACCCTTCCAACCTCATCCTCTCTGTATAACATATCAAATTCTTCAGAGAACCATCCACGCGTCTACCCTTTTTTGTCTCTTTCCCCCCCTTCATAACCCTGTTATTTTAATTATAATAATGCTAACTTCACTTTAATTTTAGTAATCAATAATAATAAAATTTTATAAAAATATATTCACGCTCAAGAAAGTGAATTTTTTTATTTTAATATTTCACAACAACCAACCACTAGTTAGTCCCTCACTACTTCACATCCATTTACAAAATTCACCTACATGAAGTACCTCTATTTATATCTATATCTACATTACCTTGATGGATTGATTATTGAGATCTCCACCTAGAAGCTACCTCTCTCCTTCTTATCCTTCACTGAATTCTCTCACCCCTTAATATATATTCAACTATCACACTCCTCAATTCTACAGCAACCCCATTATTTCTATTCATTCAGTTTCCTCCTATCTCTTCTCTTTACATAACTCTCTTATCTGTGTCACCATTACCATATATTATTACATCTCATTTTCAGAATAAGCATGCAGGTGCAGCTAAGAAGGTTCAACTCAATGGAACGCAGCCCTAGAATGCTGAAGGATTTCCTAAGCGAGAATCTAAGTTCTTGTTCCTCAAGTGGGTTCAAATCTCTTCCAAGAAAACCAAACAACAACACCATGCAAAGCCTCATAGAAATGGAACTTAAATCATCATCAAATTCAGCCTTTCAAACACTGATGAACACCATAAGAAGCATCTCTTTCTTCACTTCAATTAGGAAATCTCCCTCCATGCTTTCTCTACCAAGGAGCCTCTCACGCAAGATATCATCATCATCATCAAGAAAAAGAAGAAATCAATCATGCAAAGGAGGCAACGAAATCAACATCAAAACGGTGAAGATCAAAGATATCATACGTTGGAAATCGTTTAGAGACATTGCAGAAGAACACCACCAGCACCAACCTTCTCTTCCACCACCACAACTTTCACCATTGGATTTTCCCTTTTGCATGATGGGGTCCACCACCACTACCACAACAACTACTACAACCACCACTTGTTGTAGCAGTGACTCTAGTTGGAGTGAGAGTGACTTTTTTACCTCTGCATGGGAAGCACAAAACGACAACGTTGAAGAGAGTAAAAAGTTTTCGTTTTCACCCCTTGTTGTCGGCAAGGATTCCATGGCCACGGTGAGCAATTATATAGTGCAACGCATCTTTAAAATTTTTTGTGTGTCAGCAGTTGAGGGTCTATTGATGACGTGTTTGTTAACATATTGGTTGGTCGTCCTTTGTTTTGTTGATGTTTCATTTTGGAAATTCCCTCTTTATCTTTTATTTTTCATTTGTTTTACCTATTATCATATAAAGACAGAAATAGGAGTTTGCTAGGAAATAAAGCTAAGGAATATTGTTTGTAGACAATGTTTAGTTTATTTTATCTTCTGTCGGTGGGGGCAGCTGTGCACCACTTTTTTATTTGGGTTTTTATAATTTATGGTAAAGACAATATTTTCCAGTTTTGTTTATTTCATTATCATATTTTAATCGTGATCTTGATGTTGACATGCTGATTTAGTCCGACATAAGCATATATTCTTTTATGAATATGTATTGCTAATTACTTTAAGAACCTTCTGAAACATCTTAAAAATTTATCTTACTCACAATTGTCAGATTTTCCTTTTCTTTAATGCAAGTTATACATGTTAATTGGCGTTAGTTGCAGCTTTTGATCACAATTAATTTACTTTAATGCTAATTTTCATACAAAATGTTTATTGTTTTACTGATAAAAACCAGTGTATGTAATCTTGACAGGAGGTTTTAACTTGCCAAGAAGACGAACAGAACAGTCCAGTTTCAGTTCTTCAGGTTGGAGAAGATGAATTCTCACTCTTTGATCAAAGCCTTGCCAATATTCAAAGTAAGTTCCTAATTTCCCTTCAAATATGTCTAAATCATAATTCATTTACCAAGTCATTATTTAGACCAATAATCAATATATAGTCACTTGATATATCTACAAGACTAAACTAATTAATTTGCCATGGATATATATGCAACATTTGTAGCTACTGTCTAATTGTATAGACAAATGAGCTTTTTATTTTCTTTTGAAACATAGCATAATTGTAGTATCATATGAGAAGGTCGCTAATAATCGTTGACTTTTTGAACAGGGAGAAAACAAAAGTTCATGCAAACCATTGAGAAATTCGAGAGTCTTACAAAATTTGACATTGCAAACTTAGACCAATGTCTTTCTTTGGATGAGGACTATGGCTATGATGAAGAATATGAAGATGATGATGACGACAACGATGGCAAAAAAGTTGAAGAAAAATATTGGATTGAGGAAAGGGCAAAGCAATTGCTACATTGTGTTAAAGCAAGAGGTTCAGTAGAGGACTATTTGGATACACTTTTGTTGGATTTTTTCAGGGAAGAACTAACAGGAAGTAGAAACCAAAATAAGAATAATGAGGAGTTTGAATGGGAGATATTGAGAATAGCTGAGGATTGGATAAACGGGTCATTTGCTTATGACATAGGGCATGTTAATAAAGATGCTTATATCAAGGACATGGATAAGAGATGTCAATGGAGCAGATTTGAGGAGGAGCAAAAAGAATTGGCTTTTGAAATTGAGACAACTATATTGCATAGTTTGGTTGCTGATCTTCTTGAATTGGATGGTTAATGAACTGTTTGGTTTATAAATTATTTTAGTTTATTTTTAATTACTAAATTATCATCTTATTTTTATTCTGCTTTCAAAGATTTATACAAGAAATAGTGAAAATAAAATAAAATATTTTCAATGTTTCCTGTACAATTTTTAAAAATAAAACAGAATAAAAAATAAATGATAATTTTATAATTAAAAGTAAATTTTCTCTTTTCAAAGTTCAAACCCAAGTTCTATAAGAACTATTGGCCTTTGGTCTCACTTCTTAGCAGAAATTATTTGGCCTACTTTCTCTGTAGCACTTGAAGACCAATAAAAAAAAAGTAGGTATCCTGCATCAGCACCCATTATTCTTAACAGGGACAGAAGTCACAGATTGGTGACTTTTGGATACACTCTTGAATGGAGAGAAAATGTATATGAGTAGTGAGTACCATGATGGATTTGTACATAAATTTAGTTGATGGCTTAGATTTTGAAATGTAGCAAATTAATTGGTGGATTTGAAGGCATAACTACTCATGCCTACTTTTGTTGAAGTACAGGTACTTAGGAAGTCTTTTGATTGTTCCACATATTTGTAAAGAAGTCAATATGTGTTCACTAAGTATATCTCTTTAGAAATATGTGTTCCAGAGTTTGGATAGAATGTTATTTAACTATTATTTAATTTATAAAAATGATTTAATCTCATATGTAATTGTGGTTGTCAAAACTAATTTGATGATATGATAATATAAATAGTAGTATGATAAAAAAAATTTACAGTTGTGTTAATCAAAATTAAATCCTTGAAATCTCCCTAAAATTTGATGTATGAAAAGAACATACACAAACATAAAAAAACAAGCTTTAATTAGAGTGTTTGTTATGAATATTTACAACATTAAAGGATGGAACAAGTTTTTATTTAATGGTATTTAATATATTTGGCAACTCCAATTAAAATGATCTTGTTCTTTCACTGATCCTACCGAGTATAAAATGAAATAAAATGTTTGTAGAAATTAGAAAATTAAATATCAATAAGGGGAACTGTAAAATGATATAGTCATACTATAATTTATAGATTTCTTTGGTTTGTTCTAACCAAGCTCGGTTCTAAGGGTAGTTTAGAGGTGCGATCACCTAAGGCCCAAGCTTAAAAGAGGGCCTAAAATAAAAATCGTGTTCTACTTTCACTTGAAAAAAAATTTAGCTCTTAGAGTTTGCAGTTGAAAAAAATAAAAAAGATATTTTAATTCTTTGTACCTCACTTGCTATAAACGTAATCGACTCATTGACTTTTATAAACTCAAAATTTCATTTAATTCTAAAATTTTACTATTATTAACATTAAAGCTCATAGAGAATTTTAGTTTTCTCCAAAAAATTAAACAGTTATTAAGTTTGTAAAATCTACATATTGTTATCTAAATGTTTTAATTACTTATAAAATTTTTTTTACGGTCTCAATGACTATATCATCAATTGAAAGAAGTTTTTTAGAGTTAAAGTTAATCAAAACCTACCTAAGGTCGTCAATTTTACAAGAACCATTGAATGGTCTCATAATTTTATCAATTGATAAAGAATTTTTAGAAAACATTAATGTTAATATTATCATTAATAATTTTGCATCTCAAAATGCTCAAAAAACTATTTTTTATATTTTTTTTGTGTTTTTGTAGTTAATTATAATATAGGAGTTATTTGAATGAAAAATTATTTTTTTTTTTATAATTTTATTAGAAAAAATTATAGCCACTTAAAAAAAAATGTATTATTTTAATAAAATTATTAATATATGTTTTTATTTTGTTTATTACATTTTATAATTTTTTTAAAGAGTCCTAATTTCCTATTTCACCTAGGTCTTAAAAAGTCAAGAACCGTCCTAGTTCTAACTTTGTCTTTTTAACAACAAAAATTGATAAAGCAAGGCTCCAATATAATACTATAGATTTTTTCTGACATTATAATTTGATTTTTTATTAAAAGCTTCGCTACCACAGCCCATAACAATAAATTTCTTTTTTTTTGGTCGATCATAATAGTAAATTACTTGTATTTAATGAAATAACATGAAACACAATTTAAGTGATATAACATCACATAACTTTTGCAAATAAATAATACACACTTCTGGGCCTGCCCATGCGTCGAAGGATAAAATTGGGTCTAACAAAAGCTTTGACGAAAGCTATAAATTTTATTTTTTTGGTGTTTGGCTCCCTTTGCCTTTTGTTTACTAGGCTTGTGTTAATTTTATGTCAGTTCTATGATGACTAAATTATAATTTTTGTTTTTCGAAATTCAATTTAGGTTTCATTTAGTTTTTATTTACTTTATTTTCTAAATTGAATTTAATTTTTAAAAAAAAAATTGTCAATTTTTTTTCTAATTTTGCTTTGTTTCTAAATGACAATGTTTTGAATTATTTATTTTTCTCTCTACACTACACTTTTTCTTCATCTTACTATCAAACCATCATTCAAAATTCTTATCCTATTGCAAAAAAATTTCTTAATTTTTTTTCAAATTATTTCTGACAAACCATTTACTTATGCTTTTTCTTTGATCTAGATACCTAACAATTATCGTTAAGGTATTTTACCATCCAAATCTCAAATCTATGTCATCATCATCACTATAATAATAATTAAAAAGAAAAAAAAGTTCTGGCTTGAAAGTAAAGTTGTTACAATTCTTTAGAAATAAATCAACTCATTAATTATGTGTGACCTCTTTGATTGTGATTTTTTTTAATTTTTCTTTAATTGTGATTGACTAATAAAGAAAATGGCATTTTTCTAAGAAATCTAAAGAGGGAAATAGTTAGGTGGAAGGTAAGGTAGTAATTTGAATTTAGGGATGAGGCATGTCATGGCTTGGAATAACTATGACTAACGTGTAGGAGTAGTTAAGAAAAATATAATTCACTACTCTTAAGAAAATTCATTGGCTACCTCTTATTAATTATTGTTAATGCAAAACATTCACATATTTTTTATTATATTTTCATTTTATTATATAAGGAGTGTTTAAATTCAATTAAAATCGTTCCAAACTATTGAATTAGCTAAAATAAATAATCAAATTACTAACAACAATAAAAATTGAAATCAATCTAATTTGAATTGAATCACACTTGTAATGATTTTAACATTTTTCTTATTTTATCCCAACTGAATTTCATCTTTATATACTTTTAGAAAACCATTTTATTTTAATATGTAATTTTTACAAATTTTTAAACTTTAAAAATAATTATACAATATAGATTTAATTTTTATTCAAAACAATATTTTAATTTAAACATATATGTAAATTATTGGAAAAAACCTTACTAGTTGAAGATTAATTACATGTCTAAAAATAAAGATTTTAAAAATTTAATCATCCAATAAAATCTAAGTTACTTTGATCATATGAGATTGGACTATATTTAATATTATTTAAAACTAATTCAAACTAAACTGCATATAATTTTTATAAATAAAGTTGATAATATTTTGCGAAAAAAAAAGCATTATCTAAATCGACTTATGAATATATCCTTGTAAGGAAAATCTATTCAAACTTTTCCTACTTTTTTCATTGAACTCCCTATCTCAACTTTCAGTTTTAAAAATGGAGAGTGAAGATATGAATTATTCCATCATGCTATCCCTCAGATACTTATTTAATATGATAAAAAAAGTCTTCAACATTAAATAAATGATTGTTTTTATTCAATAATATTCATTTATATTTCTAACAAATGTCTTCATTCAATTATCAATTCCTAAATATGCTTTGTTTTTGAATTTATCAAGAATAATACATAAACAAAGCACTATTGATATTACTTTATGGGGTTGCCTAATCTAGGGATGGTAATGGGTAAAGTACCCGATGGGCACCCGCAAAATTTACTCACAATGGGTAGGGTATTTACCCGCTATATGGGTACGGGTATGGGTATGGGTAAAAACCCGCAAATTTTAATGGGAATGGGTGCGGGTGTGGGTATCTAAGTACCCACCCCGTCCCATACCCGCATATATATATATATATATATATATATATATATATATATATATGCTTGAACTTTATTATACAATTATGAATTAAATTTTTGTATTATTATATTACTTATGTGAAGTTATATAAGATTAATATAAAAATATATTTAATAATAAAGTAAACCAAAAAAATTATTTTGGTTTATATTTTTAATAGAAAAATTTATTTACTATTTTATATCATTTAATTTGGCTAACACAATTTAATTATTACATAGTTAATATGAGATTGACTTTTTTTAAAATATTATTTATATATGACACACATAAAATATTTTTTACACAAATATTTTTGTTAATAAAATCATATTGATGTTTTAATCATAAAGTGAATGATAAATAATAAATATATTATAAATATTTTATAAATTTTACAATCACCTACTATTACCGTAAACTAATTATTTATTAATAATATTTAAATTTTATTTTTATATTTTAATTTAAAATAATATTTTTCTATACAACATATGTATTACAAGTACAACTATAATTTATTGAATCTAAATAATATTATTCTTACTATTTATTCACATTCAAAGAAGTTTTTGAAAAGATATAAATATAAAAAATTATTGTTAATTTTTATTTGTTAATTTTTTTAAGATAAAAAAGTATAATTTTTTTAATATACACGTATATTTCTTTATTATAAAATTTTATTGTAACTATTTATCTTTTATTCAAATTCTTTTTTTTAAATTTATATACATTAGAAATATTTAATTCACTAAAATAATTTTTTAAAAATTTATATTTTTGATAAAATACTTTCGTATAGTATATGAGTTAAAAAATACTAGTATTAATATATATATATATATATATATATTAATTATATTATATTATTTTAATTAAATCTATTATTTTTCTTACAATTTGAAATTCAAAAGTTAAAAAAAATATTTTATGTATCAATTTTCTATTGTTAGTATTGAACTTCTCTACTCTAACTCTATTCTCATTCTCAATGTCTGTCTCACTAAAACTTAATAACTATGAAATGTTATTCATTAGAGTTAGTTGTTAATGCTGTCACAAGAGGTTACTAAGTGATCCCACACGAAGGGACAACCATTGTACAGATCTATTTCGTTATCGTTCTGACATTACTAATCAATCAAATCTCACACAAGATAGGATTATCACTGACAAATAACTTGTGTGTTTAATTTTGCTTATTATTTCTAAGAATTTTAATTTAGAAAATTATTATATTAAGATACATTTAACATTTATGATCTTTGAATATTTGTTTTTTTATCTATATTTGTACCTTGTTTGACAACTACATATTGAATTTTTGTATTATTATGCTACTTATGTGAAATTATATAAACATATTTTTCTTTATAAATATTTTTTTCTCAAACAAGCGCGGGTAATGGGTACAAGACGGGTATGCGGGTACCCAGAGGGTACGGGTACGGGGATTAATGTTCATACCCATGCGGGTATGGGGCTGGGTACGGGTACTTTTTTAAAATGCGGGTATGGGGATGGGTACTGTAGTACCCTACCCATTGCCATCCCTAGCCTAATCCCTTGCCCAATATTCTGAACACATAATTGAGTTAATTAAACATGATTTTCTTGAGGGATTCCAGCACTCTGATTAAAGAAGTATTATACAACAGAAAATTCCAACTTAAATAGTTATTTCTTTAATAATGAGATTATGACGTTTACCAAATATGAAAGAGTCCCATTAGCAGCGCAAGGCAAGTGGATGATCCTATCATTACTACCAAAAATCATTATTGTTGCCTAATTATATCTGTTATATTAAATAATAGAAATTTAAGTAAATATATTATATATTTAAGTCAAGTTTACATAATTTTAAAAGACATCATTCAAGCCAATTTATTGTAATAAAATATATCATTCCATTTATTTCTTAATATATTAATCGACTTGTACAAATTCATTCTGCATCCAGTCATTTTATCTATTTTTATGCTATAAATTCTAGTTTTTACTCTTGAAAGATATAATTTTTAAAAGATAAAATTTATGTAAAGTGTGAATAACCATTGAGATGACCACCCAAATAACAATGAAATTATAAGTAATTAGGAATATATAAATTGCTTTATTTTGAAGACAGAAAATAAAAATAGTGAGCCACTGATGAAGTGAAATAAAATTTTCACATTTCAGTCTACCTTTATTTTAGTCTACTATATTTCAATTCATTCAAACCGACACTTAATTCTTAGGTTTTTTTTTATTTTATAAAATATTATTTCAATTAAACAAATTTAATCTCTATATTTTATTTACTTAAATATCCTAAATTTTTTTTTTTTTCCAATCGTATACTACATCAAGGACATTTGGAAGCCGTTTTTTTAATAGCATTTACCAATGTTTTTAAAAAGACCTAAGTTTTGGTGAAAGTTAACAATGATCAGAACTATAAAACATTGGCCACAAAATTATGGGATTGGTACAGAATGAATAGACCTTAGCTATAATTCCTAAAGAAATTTATATAAGCATTCCAATATTGGAATAATACATAAAAAGATGTGCATGAATAACTATGAGCATCAGATGAATTAATACCCACATTTTAAAAAAATTATTAAAACCTACACCTCAAGTTTTGGCTTATTCTTTCTCTTTATCCTTTACAACTTTCTTATAAAAAAAATGGTATGATTATTAATGAAATTAATTTTAAAATATATATATATATATATATCTATCATACAATAATATGAATTTAACAGATACAATCATGTAATTTCCAAGATAGCAGCAGTAAACATTACGAAAAAATCCGGTGCTGCTTAGTAACAATATTTCAGACTTATCAAGGAACGTGAGAAAGTGAAAAATAAAATAATAAAACAATAAATAAATAGTATAATTAAAAAAAATGAAAAGGGTGGAAATAAAATGTAAAAAAATGGAGTCTAAAATATTTTTAGAAAACTTTAATTTAGTTGTCTAAAGATAAAAATGTCACCAAGTAAGTCCTCTAAAAATTTATGTAATTAAATGGTCAAATTATTCTTTTAAGAATTTAAATCATTATCACATTATTTTTTAAAAGTTTTTGTCACCAAATTATTTTTTTAATACCATTATAGTCTTCTACAAAGATTAATATGATAATTTTTAATTTAATTTATCATTAAAATAAACTCTATTTTTATTATTTTAAGTATTTTTAAAGACTAATATAATGATATTTTAAATTTTTAGAGACTAATTTGATCATACATTAAATTTTCAAAAGTTAATATGATAATACTTTAAACTTTATAAATATTAATTTGATTGACTAAATCATTAAAAGATCAATATTTCATTTTTAAAGTAATAATTTGATATTTCTCCAAAAATGTTATTATTTGGTATTTTCTTTGGTCAACATTATTCATACAATGACTATATATTGGACAAATAAAGCCTACTCTCTTCGAAAAACCTTTTCACAAAATTTCTCGCAATATTACACAATTTTTAAAAAAAAATTATTCGTGACCTTTCTTTTTCCTTCTAAAATAATAATTATAATGAAAAATAAAAAATGTATACAATAATCTGTACTCGTGTGAAGCGTGGAATGCAAACGGACATAACTTTGAATGGAAAATTCAGTATTATACATTCATTAGGTGCAGTGGGAAGAAAAGACAGAAAAAAAATATAAGATTTATTTGTTTTCCCATCTTTTAATTAAAATATATACCCTTCAGTAAAAATATATAATTTAAATTAATTTATACATATATTTGAATCATATTTAATAATTTAAAATTAATTTTATTAAAATTAGTTCTCCTTAACTTTAAACCAAAATAACTGATAAAATGAGATGAAAAAAAAAAAGTGGTGGAGATAGTGTGTATGAATATCATTGCTGACTTAAAATACAGAAAATGTCTGCAAAGTTTAACAGCAAAGTAAACTTAAAACAATAAGTTTTTTTCTCTCTGACTCTGACACCATAATACGAGAGAAAATGAAAATAGAGTTTTATTTTCTCTTCTCCAACTCCAGTTTTTCCTTTGTTTCATCATCACCATCAAACTTAAATACTATAGCCATAGTCACAGTATATCATCAACCTTAACCACCATTTTCCTTTGCTACAAGAAATATTTAGCTTCAGACGTAATTCGTCAAAAATATAGCTTTCTTGTAAAAATATAACTTTCTTGTGGCATGTTAACGTTATTAATATCTTGAATTCACATTTGTAGTATTTCTAAACACACATTTACTAGGAAATGTGGTTGAAATTTCTCACAGAAATCGTGACCTTGACGTCTATTTCTACTGCATCATCATCATCAATGAAGAATATAGCTCCCTTATGTGCTTCCACCTTCCTAATCTACAACATCACTTTTACCTTTCTCTCATTAGTAAATTGACATCATCAAAATAACCAGCGTAACAAAAATAACCAATTATAATCAGGAAATTAATGTCAATAATCATAAAAATCAATTCAATTCATAAGTGTCCAACACTGTTATTCTAAAGACAAAACTTAAATCTATTTATTAATTAAAATTAGAGTTTTAGGATGGCCGAATTGAATTCAATTATAGAGTAACATTAAATATAAATATGTTATTCTAGAGTAACATTTTCTTTTGTCTGGAATGTTTGTTCAGTGGGAAGACAAACAAAGTTAAACATGCTAATTTGTCACACTGATATTCTTCCCAGTTCATTTCAACAGTTTCACTTTTATTGAATCTACGTTTTGGAAAGTGCAGTGACTTGTGAGCTCTTGAGCATAGCAGGAGACTTGATCATGTCAAACGCTGAACAATCTCGTACTTTATTTGGAATTTCTCTCTCACACAGACCCACATGGCAACAATTCATCATTTGCTCCTCTGGCTTCTTCTTTGGGTATCTTGTTAATGGCATCTGCGAGGTAACTATATATTATACATAATACATATAAAGATATATACACACAGACGCGCGTGTCCTTAGTTGGTTTTCTTCAGTGTCCGTTTGTTTGGTATTGTAAAACTACAATAAGCTTTGGTTTTTTGGATGTTCTGGAATTGGATACACGAGATATGGACATGACATGGTAGAAAGAAAAAAAAAAAGAGTTTATTGTTTCTTTCTGTCAGTGGAAAGAGTTAATTTTTTTATTGTCAACGTCTATTTCTTTTCTTATTTCATAATCAGTGAGTGGCTCAGGGATTAATTATGCTGGAAATAAATTTTCTGAAGTCCTTGGCTCCAATAATTTTTGCCTTTTTTTCTTTTACTGCTTTTGGATTTCTTATTGGAAATTTGGGCTTCAATCTTACAACTTAAATCAATCTTTCAGATAAATGACTTGTTGTTCCTTTTGGATTTGGTTGCTGCATATGAATTATTGCAATTTGTAAGTTTTGGTATGTGAAGTTGTCCTGGAAATGAATTTAATATTTGCTATTAATTCATTCTCATATGCTTTATTTTCAGGAGTATGTGTATAACAGGCTTCATTTTAGGTAAATTGCATAACCTTGGTATATTTTTCATTTTTTCAAAATTAAATTGATTTGACATTTGAGATGATTGAGGAATGGTTCTATGATGAAAAATGGTTGACTTGGTTTATTATTTCAGCTACGGTTGGTACTTCACATTTGTTCAAGGATTTGTATACTTGTTTCTAATTTACCTCCAAGGCTTCACAAGCAAGCAAATGGTGAACCCGTGGAAAACTTATGTGAAGCTTTCTGCTGTTCTTATGGGTTCCCATGGCCTAACAAAGGGATCTTTGGCTTTTCTTAATTACCCTGCACAACTCATGTTCAAATCTACAAAGGTAAGTGAAATATGCTCAAGGGAACAAAGCCATTGTCACTCTCTCCCATTTAATCAATTTCATAGTGAATTCCGCACATAATCACTCCTTTAGATAAACGTTTAAATGCCTCTGGATCCACGTTTACTGCAATACTACCAGTTGTAACTTATGCGTTGAGTTCACAATTACAGGTCTTTCGACTTGAACTGTCTCCAAATTAACTAATTTGTTCCGGAGAGTCTAACTTGATCTTTTTTTATTTCACCTCAAGCTTTATTATTTTCGGAATATTCAAATGTAATGTGATTCAACTTTGTTACTTTAGATTCTTCCAGTGATGATAATGGGTGCCTTCATACCAGGCCTAAGAAGAAAATATCCATTTCATGAATATGTATCTGCTGTACTTCTTGTGATTGGCTTGATCCTATTCACACTAGCAGATGCACAAACATCACCCAATTTCAGTGTCATTGGTGTTCTTATGATATCTGGGGCTTTGGTCATGGACTCCTTTTTGGGAAATCTTCAAGAAGCAATCTTTACAATGAACCCTCAAACCACACAGGTGATTTAATTTCTGTGATGCTCCTAATATCCTCCATGTACATTTTTCATGTGAAAAGAGGGCATAAGTGTAAAATTTGTGACTTAAAAAATGTTATATATATTAGCATAATAGATGAATTTCTTGTTCATTGTTAATACACAGATGGAGATGCTCTTCTGCTCTACCGTGGTGGGTTTGCCTTTCTTAATCCCTCCCATGCTTTTTACAGGAGAGTTATTCAAAGCATGGACTTCATGTTCACAGGTAAAATTTAGAGATTGGAATAACATAAGTTGCTACTTTTTCCTTGACTTTTTGCTCTCTTAATAAAGTCACTTTTTCTTGTACTTATAGCATCTCTACGTGTATGGAGTGTTAGTTTTTGAAGCAATGGCCACATTTATTGGCCAAGTCTCTGTGCTGTCACTCATTGCCATTTTTGGAGCTGCCACTACAGCCATGGTAAATTGCTATCACAAGTTTTTCCTGATTCCATTATGTCTGTTTGGACTTTGAACCTTCATATGGCTCTTAATATTAGTAAGTCTCATGTGGCCTTAATCTTGGAAATACATTTTAATACAATTCCTTTAATGACTCTTAATTATTGACCGAAATTTATTAAAAATTATATAAATATAAATATAAATTATTAAATTAAGAGTGAAATTTATATATTTTTAATAAATTTTAATCAATAATTAAAAAATATATTAAAAAGTGTGTTGTAACAATGAATTTGAATAAAGTTGATTTGAAATAGCGAGATAATCCAAACTTATAAATGATAAAGCTTTGATGAGATTAAATAATATAAGGACGTATGCATGTTGAAAATTATTTCATTGTTAATCTCCTTCTGTCGTACTACCTTTGTTCCCCATTGAATTTTATCACAGATAACGACAGCAAGAAAGGCAGTGACATTGCTACTATCATACATCATATTTACAAAACCATTGACAGAACAACATGGGACTGGACTTCTACTCATCGCTATGGGAATCACATTGAAGATATTTCTTGACGACAAATCCAATAAAAAGGCTTTAACCTCTACTCCCATTGCCAATATTCCAAAACCTTCTGATGATAAAGAACTGCGAGCACAAACAGATTATATAAGAGAAGATGAAGAAAGGAGATCATTGGTCTAGTATGGGCTGAAATTTCATATACAAATTAATTTCTAAATTTAGATAATAAAATGTGTCACGGCGGTGGTTTAATAATAAATTAAATAATTAATAACTAGCAGGATTAAGAATTTATATTTTTTAAAATTAATATTTTATAAGTCACTACTACTTAAAAAGTCCATACTTTCTTTCCATCTTAGTTTGCACACTCAAAATCTTAGTATACATGAAAAAGAAAAAAGAAAAATTCATGATTGTGATTTATTTTTCTGTTTCATATCATTCATTATGAAGAATTCTGGTTTTATGTATTTAATTCAATGTAATACTTTTCAAAATCTTAACAAATTGACTTAGTCTCAAGGAATTTGGATGAATGTATTTATTGTTGTTTTAATTGATAAGAAAATGTCAATGCAGTGATACAAACATGATAAGACAACAATATGATAAGACAACAATAAATAAATAAAAAATATTTTTCAAAATTGCAAGAAAAGAAACATAGAAAAAAAGTAAACACAAAAACTATGAAAAAGCATGTAACTGTTAATGTAAAAAATCTTAGAAAGTAAAAAACACAAATTATTCAGATTAAAGAAATAATTAAATATAATCAACAAAAGATATAAAAAAGTTTCCAATAAAATTAAAGAAAGCAAAACATTATAACTCTTGTTACCTATAGGTTAAGCAAGAGTAACAAGTAACATTATTATTTTTTAAAATTTTTCATATCTATAATTAATGAAGTTAATTTTTTAATATAATTTTGTTTTTTTATGCACACATATACATGAATACACTCTTCATTTTATAAATGTTTAATAATAATTTTTTATTTTAAAATTTAATATATTTTCTAATTTTTAAAAAATCATAAAAGTAATTAATAGTGTAATTTTTTTTTTATCAATTATCATAAAAAATAAATGAGTATTTTAAAAATATTAATATTATTAGAAAAAATGTTTAAATCAAACTGAGATACCTTTTCAAAAAATATTATATAACATCCTTCAAAATATTTTAAACATACCAATTATATTTATAATATTCTCAAAAAAATAAATTAAATAAATATATGATTTCTAAGAAACACAACTCTAAAAGACTAATAAATAAATCTACACACAGAAAACTCCTTAATCTAATCTAATCAACTTGAATAACTCAACAAAGTATGTATATTTGCCAAACAAAATAAAAACTTTGACTTGATTTTACTCTATTCAATTTGTTTTAACCTAAATAAGGGAAGTTAAATAGTTTAATATTTTTTAAAAATTTTAATATTATCTCGTGTATCTTTATTTTAAAATTTTTTAAATCAGTTAAGATTTCTTAAATTGGCGTGACAGATTTTTGTTTTTAAAACAAAAACTTATAGTTTAAAATTTAAATGTTTATAGTTTATGAAAAGCTCCACAAAGCAAGTAAGAAAATTATAAATAACCACCTACTTAAATACTACAGTCATAGTAGTTGAAAAAAATCATAATTGTTCACGATTATTTTGTATATTTTTATTTTTAAAATATCAAATTTGTAAAGATTTTTTAAATTGCAATACGATTGCTATAAAAAAAAATTATTTGTTTTTATGATATGATTTTTTAAATTGGTATTATACATTTTATTGTTTTTAAATAAGAATTGTGTCATTTAATGGCTTGATAAATTTATTTTTATTGATTTTCTACTTACTTATATAAATGAATTAAATTTGATAAACAGGATTTAATTTTACAATTCCTTTTGTCAAATATTTTCTTATTTTGTATTAGTCACTAACTGGACTCAATGAATTAAAATTACAATATAATTTAAATTAAGTATTTTATTTTTATATATTTTGTAGATACTCACTCTGAAAAAAGTAAATTAGTTAAACTAAGTTATAAAGGATCTTATTCAACAATAAAAAATAATTAAAATTGATCTTTATATTATTATTTATTTATTTTAAAGATAAATTTATTTTAAAAGAAAATTAATTTAAATATGAGATTTAAAAATATTATATATTAAAATATAAAAATTTAAAAAAATATAGAAATATGATACTTAAAAATTGTCAACAATTTTTAAATAAGATAAATTAATTTAAAAATTTGATAATTTTTTAATTCTAACAAATTAATTAATTTTAAAAAAAATATTTTTAAATTTTAAATATTTTTAAAATTAATAGTTATTTTTAAATTTTTATATTTTGATTATTTTATCAAAACTTTCATATTTTAATACATAGTATTTTTAAATACTATATTAAAAAATTACCTTCCTTCTAATTTTTAATATTATCTCAGATATCTTTGTTTTTAAATTTTTTAAATAGTTAAAATTTTTATAAATTGATGTGACAATTTTTTTGTTTTTCAAAACAGAAACTTATAGTTTAAAATTTAAATGCTTGTAGATTATGATAAGCAAACAAATAAGAAACTTATAAATAATCACTTACTTAAACACATCAACCATGTTTTCTGATTTAGAGAATTAGAAAACCTTATTCTCTTATCTTTTAATCTCTGATTGTTATAACAAATCACAAATTGTTAGGCTTTTTCTATTATGCAATTAAAATAGACTCTACATGATTTTTAGGCAAATAATAATAAATACAAAATAGAAAAAGTAAACAAAGGACACCAAAATTATTAATCATGAATGAAAGGTAAAAATCTACGAGACATAGTCTAATAAAATTTTTCATTAATAAATTTAATGAGTACACTACAAATGTTCCTAGATCAACAAAAAATAATACAAATCGGTAAAGTAGATAATAATATAATAAACCCTTGTTAAGTATTTAACTATAACAACAAAAAAGAAAATTTTTGTAACATTTTTATTTTATTGTTATTTTTTTTTTATTTTTTTAGACGACTTCTTTTTCTTCCTTTTCGTATGAATTTTTCAACTGCACAACTGTAACCATTTCATTGACTTGAAGATCCTTCCATTCTTAAGCCAGCCAATCTCGTCAATAAAGAGGCGAAGCGGTGTGAACATGACCTCATTCTATGATGAGTTAGAGGAGATAGCAGGTGGCGAGGAGCCATCCTTGAGGAATAATTACATTAGATGTGGACCATCATAGTCTTTTTTGTATTAGATGTGGCTTGTTGAAAATTTGTTTTCTTTTTTTACTTTTGGTTTTTACTATTAGCATAGGCATGCTTTTATCATTCCCGACAGATAGCGCTTTCTTATGTGGAATCCCTCATATAATTATTATTTTGATGAATTTTTAACAAAGTGGATTGAGGAATCATTCTTCTTTTATCATTATTCAATTTCTTGAGAAAGAATGACTCCCTCTGTACAGAAACACATAATATACAGAAACACATAAAGAGAGTCTTTCTTGTATAGAGTAGTAACAAAAAAACTTAGTTGTTGAACAAAAAATATGGAAAAAAGACCAAATCATAGGGAAGATCAATATACCGAAAAAGATAATTAAAAAAGCGTGAGACGTTCTTTTATAGATTCATTAATCTCCTCCTTTTTTTGGGTTCATTTTTTTTAAGAAGAAATACGTTGGATTTGTAATGGTATCGTTTATAGTAGTATAGACAATTTGGTTTTAGCGAGATAATATTATTTTTCATAACAATGTATTAAATGTTAGTAAAACATTTGATTTCTTAGAAGTTATTTACAATAAGAATTTTAGAAAAATCGATTATAAATGTGAATTAGATTAATGATCTTTTAACATTTATTATTAATTTTCTTTAGAATTGTGACAAGTTAGAGTACCCATTATACTCTAAATTTATCTTTAATATGATGTTAAGAAAAAAATAATAATAAAACAAAATATGTATATTAGCCAAATAAAATAAAAACTTTTACTTAATTTCTCTATCCAATGTGTGTTAATCTAGTTGAAGGAAGTTAAATAGTTCAATATTTTTTTTATAATATACTTAGGTAAAATTTTATAACAAACATTTATTTTAGGTAAAAATAACACAAATTTTTAAATATATAATCAATGACAGATATAAAAATCAAAGAAAAGAGAGTTATAAATAAATTAATTTCATATATGCTTTTAAAAGTAAATATACAATAATTAACTGTATATATATATATATATATATATATATATATATATAACTGCTGATTATTAAATATATAAATTAATTAATATAATTTTTTTGTAAATTTTAATTATAATAAATATAACTATATTAAATACTCTTTAAAATTTTATAATTTATATAACCTATACTAAATTTTTATGTATATTTTATGAGTTTTACTTTTTAACTTGAGTGAAATTTATATATAAAATTTATTTTAAAAATTAAATAAAATATATATATATATATGTATTATTAAAATATAATAAATAAATACTATCTTTATTTTATTTTTAATTAAATAGTTTAGTTTAGTTTAGTATTCAATAGGCCAATTCAACTCAAAAAATTTCATTAGTAATTTTTAAAACCACTATTAATGATTTTTGAATTTCAACGAATTAATTAATTTTATTTAAAACAATAAATAATAATTTTATATTTTTGTAAATTTTTTCAAAAATTTATATTTTAATGTATATTACTTTTAAATATTATATAAAAATAGTAATTGTTCTTGTTCTAATGATTACTTTTAAATATCATTTCTGATATCTTTATTTTTAAAATTTTAAATTTACAAAGATTTTTTAAACTATAATATAGAATATTTTATTTGTTTTTCATGCTAAAATTTTTTAAATAGGTATTATACGTTCTATTATTTTCAAATCTGAATCATATCTTTTAATTGCTTGATTAATTTTTTTCATGGACTTTCCACTAACTTTTATAAATGAATGAAATATGATAAAATTTAATTTTACAACTCCTTTTTATCAAATTCTTTCTTATTATTTTTTAGTCACTAACTGAATTTTATTAAATTTAAATTACAGTATAATTTAAATTAAATAAATTTTTACTTATATACTTATTAAAAAAATTTAAAAGTGACATTTATATTATTATGTATTTACTTTATAGATAAATTTACACTAGCAATACTTTCAAGTGAATTCAATTATAGAACTTTAAAATATCATATATTAAAATATACAATTTAGAACATATTAGAAAAATACGAGACTCAAATATTATTATTAACAATTTATGAATAAAATAAATAAATATTTAAATTTATCAATAACATTTTTGAATTTTAATAAATTAACTAATTTTTTTCAAAAATAATAAATAAGAATTTTTATATTTCTATATTTATTTTAAAATTTCATATTTTAATATATATATATATATATATATTATTTTTAAATATAATATAAAAATGTCATTATTTTTATTCTCACTTTTATCTCGTGTATTTTTTTTAAATTTTTAATTAGCAAATATTTTTTTTAAATAATTTAATTTAGAAACTTCTTTTGTCAAATTCTTCCTTACCCTATTTTAATCACTAACTAAACACGATAAATTTCAATTACAGTATAATTTAAATTATATATATATATATATTATAAATACTCACTTTGAAATAAATAAATTAGTTAAATTAAGTTACAAATGATCTTATTTAACAACAAAAAATAATAAAAATTGATCTTTATATTTTTATTTATTTATTTTATAAATATTCTAAAAATTATTTCAAAACAAATAATTTAAATATGAGATTTAAAAATATTACATATTAAAATATGAAAATTAAAAAAAAAAAAACAGAAACATGATACTTAAAAATTGCCAACATTTTTTTAAATAAGATAAGTTAATTTAAAAATTCGATAATTTTTTAATTCTAAAATTTTAATTAATTTAAAAAAAATATTTTAAAATTTTAAATATTTTTAAAATTAATAATTTTATTTTTAAATTTTTATATTTCAATTATTTTATGTAAAAATTCATATTTTAATACATAGTATTTTAAATACTATATTAAAAATTTACCTTTTTTTAATTTTTAATATTATCGTAGATATTTTTGTTTTTAAATTTTTTAAATCGGTTAAGATTTTTTTAGCAGACTTTCTGTTTTACAACAGAAACTTATAATTTAAAATTTAGATGCTGATCATGGAGCAAATCTATAAATAATCACTTGCAGCCATAAATAGGGACTTAGAAAACTTTTTTCTCCTATTTTATACTCTCTAATCGTTCTTATCTGATCGTGATCGTTGTGTGAGGCTTTTCGCTGCGTTTTACTCACTCAGGTTTGCTTCTTCTTCGTACCCAAAAATAATCTTCGTGTTAGAGTTCTCTCTCTGTCTCTTTTACTATAGATGATCTGCGAGAGTATAGGATTTCTCCCATCTCAATAATCTCGTTGAAGTTCTGCGTGCTTCCTGGGTGCAAATATAGGGTTTGGTGTAGTTTTTGGTGTCTGTGTTCATTGTTTGCTTTACAACTATGTTACTGAGTTTTGTAATGGAAAATTTGGGACATCGGCTTGTGGTTTATGGAGGATTTATTGATAGGATACGGTGTCTGATTAGAGATGCAATTGGAATATTCGTGTTTTTATAGCATTATGGATATAAGGGTCGCGAAAAGGACGGAGCAATTCGGTGGGACGACGTGTGTGTATTGGCAAGCTGGTAAATGCAACAGAAATCCATGCAGATTTTTGCACGGAGAATCACCACTGCCATCTACTCCTTATCACGATGCCAGAAGGCCCAATACTGCTTATCGTTATTCAAGGAGGCTCCATCTGTCTGAGAACACCTCCAAGAGTAACTCAAAGACAGTATTGATTAGAAAGAGTGCAGATAAAGAAGATGGGACAAGTGTTGCCAAGAGTTCTCAGAAGCCATCACCAATTATATGTAAATATTGGACAAATGGCAATTGTGTACATGGTGAACGGTGCCGGAATTTACATTCATGGTTTTATGGTGATGGGTTTTCCACTTTGGCAAAGCTTGAAGGCCACAAGAAGGTAGCTGACTCTAATACCCCTTTTAATATTAAACACAACAGAGTTTTCTATAAAATTCTTCTGCAATAATTCTTTATTATTATAATTTAATCTAATTTGATCTGTGACCCAAGTTTTTATTTGATGTTATAGTAGTTACTAGTTACTGATTAGAATCGTAGAGCATTATAGTGTAACTATATGCTGCTATCTGCGTGCCTCTCTTTTATGTTAATATCTTTGGAGTAATTAAATTTAAGCTTTTGACAACAGGTCATCACTGGGATTGCCCTTCCAGTTGGGTCTGACAAGCTTTATTCCGGCAGCACTGATGGGACAGTTCGTATATGGGACTGCCACAATGGTCAATCTGCAAATGTGATAAATCTTGGGGCTGTAGTTAGCTCTTTGATCAGCGAGGGGCCATGGATTTTTGTTGGTGTGCGAAATGCTGTCAAGGTATGCTCTCTTTTTTCATTGTGTGATTATGTCTTTTATATAGGAGTAGTGCTTGTAAGCTGATTACATGGATGTGGTTATTGTGAAGGCTTGGAATATTCAGACTGCTTCAGAATTTACTCTTGATGGACCTAAAGGACAAGTCCTTGCCATGGTTGTTGGCAATGATACACTTTTTGCTGCAGCAGAGGTAACTAACCGTACCATGGTTTATGGTTATTTAATTGTAATTCTCTCTTAAACATTTCTGTTCTGTCATCAAACGATTTATGTATCATCTGATTATTTAAATTGCAGAATGGTGTAATTTCTGCATGGAGAGGCAGCTCTAGCTCTGAAGCCACGACCCCTTTTGAACCAGTTGCTTCACTCACTGGCCACACTAAAGCTGTTGTTTGCCTGGTTGTTGGAGGCAAAACGCTGTTCTCAGGGTCCAAGGACCAAAGTATAAAGGTATGTATATTGCTCCATGTGGAGTTTTTTAGAAGATATGTACTTTTTTTGAACTGGAGATTGTTCAAATATGTAATTTTTGATGAACAGCTCTTGATATTTTGTTTTCTTCAGGTTTGGGACCTTGATACATTACAGTGTAAGATGACACTTAATGAGCATACTGACATGGTCACATCCCTTATTTGTTGGGACCATTATTTGTTATCAAGTTCATCTGACTGCACAATTAAAGTCTGGGTTGCCACTGAAGAGGGAACTTTGAAGGTGACATATACGCACCGAGAGGAAAATGTAAGTTACTTAACAACTAAAACTTCTGGGAATATAGAATATAATTTGATTGTGTTGTCATTTTGTAGACATCCAGCTGATATTTTGCTTTTATTGTAGGGTGTTGTTTCACTTTTTGGGATGACTAATGCAGAAGAGAAGCCAATATTATTTGTCTCATGTAGAGACAATTCAGTTCGCATGTATGAATTGCCATCATTTTCAGAGAGAGGTCGTTTGTTTGCAAAGCGAGAGCTTCGATCTATGGAGTTAGGTCCTGGTGGTCTCTTCTTCACTGGGGACGGTACTGGTTTGCTGATGGTTTGGAAATGGTGGGAAGAACCCAAGATGGCTTCCTCTTAACTATAGAAATTTGAACGATACAATTTGAATGATACTGTATGCATCTGCTTCCTCTTGATGCAGTGCTCAGAGCAATCAATTTATTTTTCACTGAGCTGTATTGAACAATGAACAATATCCATTGTAAATACAATATATATATATATATATATATATATATATATATCAAATTGAATTTTGCAATTTCAATTTTTCTCTCCTTCACTTTGTTCCATTTTTACTTCTCTTGCTTTGATAAATGTGGTGAGCGTTTCCTTGTATTGCACATTGCTTTTATATCCTTTCTTAATAAAAATGTGGAAAATAACAATTAGAGGAATTTTCAGAATGCCCATAACAATCTGATAATTACGAATGTAAAATTATCTAATATTATGGATTTCTTTTTATTTTTCAATAACTACAGATATTCTTTTTTCATTAAAAAAAGTATCGCTCCCCCACCGTCTGAGAAAGTGTTTTGGATGAAATAAACATCATTTTTTTTAAATTACTTTTCAGTTATTTAATTGTTTGGTTAAAATAAAAAAAATTAGAAGCTAAAATAATATAAATTTAGTTTTTTTAAATTTGTTTTTAATAACTTCTAAAAAAGCTGAAATTATAAATTTTACTAAAATAAAAAAAATAATTTTTTATAATTTTAACTAACGAAATACATTTTTTATTATAAAATATCTAAAAGTAAATCACTGTATATATTTTGAAACTCACTTATTGCCAGGTTTTTTTTTTTCTTTTAATAATGTAATCCTGATAAAAATTTACAAGTAAAGTTGCTTGTTTGCTCTAACAACATCCTTAGTAAGAGAATCAATACAAGCGTTAGAAGTTAAATATCTGATAAAGATGTCTTTATTTGGCAAATTTACTTGTCAATTTTTGGTATGATTACATTATATTAATTATTAAATAGCGAGCGAATACACATGTTATATATATGTCATTGAAAACAATAATAGAAGGAGTCCCTATATTTCAATAACCAAATACATTGACAATAGATGTACTCTGAATAGTAAACAAAGGCCTATCTTCAATGAGGAAACTAGCAAGTATTACAAAATTAATTAGAGGATGATTTCGTTTAATTTTTTAATATACTTTTCTTAAAGAATGACATGTTATTTTTCTCTTTCTTAAATTTAATATTCATATTTAATTGACTATTCATAATTACATCTGCATTATTATTTTAAAAATTTTATTTTCTCAAAGTATAATGTTTGGATTTTATTTATTTAATTATGTATATATTTTATAAATTTAAATATGTTTGTTCTAAATGTACTTATTTTCTTCTCTTAAATTTGATTAATGTTTATTAACTTATTGAAATTGTCACTATCACAATATATGCAACATATTCCTCAACCAAAATTTATCTGTTTCTTCTTTGGGTGGCGGAGGCATATCCGAAAGCACTAAAATTATGACCCCATAAGCTAGTCAACAGCCCACCATTAAACATGCATGACCGCGGTTTTAGCCATCATTAAGCCCTCTACCAACGTTCACCCAATCCAAACCGTTCTTCCATTCATTTTTCAAGACATGCATCATTGCATTTCTTTTCTTTTTATTTTGTTTTAAACCCATTTACCATCACTTGCGACTCCTCACTCATTCACCCAACTACTCACTAAACACCTGCCAAGAAATGAAATTTTCATCAACCTCAGCAATGTAAATTATCCAAGACTTTCTTAATCTCACTAGTTCAGAACTTAGTAACTTAATACAATATAAGATGTTCCAATCATTCGTCAAATATGGGTTTGTTTGAGTTTTTTTTTTCAAATAATTTTATTAATTTACTTAAGATGAAATTATTTACTCTATCAAGTAACTTAAACATACCTTTTTGGTATTGCACAAGTGCTTTATGCATGATTTCCTCGTTGAGTCATTTTTAGATGTTCCATTAGATTTCCCTATATTGTGGACAAATTTGGCAAACAACTATGATAATTCCAATGGAAAAAATAAACCCCCCAGGTTCAAAAACCACATGAAGAGAATTTTCTAAAAACTAGAAAGGACTAAGAAGGGTAGTTTTGGGCGAAAAAGAGGGTGATTGATTCACGTAATACCATCATCCCCACTCCTAAATAACCGCCAAAACTGACCCCCTCACACCCAATTTTTTCTTTATAACTTCTAAGCTCTCTTCTTTCCCATACCCATTTCTCTCTCTCTTTCTCTCTCTCTCTCTCTCTCACACACACGCTCACACAAAGTGATGGCTTTCAACCACAGAAACAGAAAGGGACAAGTCTTAGGTTCAAAAGCCATAGCTGATGCAGCTTCATGGTACTGTGCTTTTCTCCTTGCGGCCCTCTTACTCCTAAGCATGTTTAGAGACAGCTCTATGCTTCCAAGTCATGCCAACTTCACAAACACCCAACTCTTGTCACGCCCATGCGATGAAATCTATGTTGTTGGAGAAGGTGAGACACTTCACACAATCAGTGACAAGTGTGATGACCCCTTTATAGTTGAAAACAACCCTCATATCCATGATCCTGATGATGTCTTCCCCGGCCTCGTTATCAAGATTACACCTTCACATCGTACCTAGCTAGCTACACGTCAACGGGAACATGAAAATAACCTTTCTTTTCATCACCCTTTTACTTTCTTCGTTGTTGTATATGTCTTCTCAATCAACGTGAAGTTGTTCGAATCATGTTTTTTTTTTTTGTGTATAAATAAATATTAGCAATTTTAGTTATGTTTTTCTTAGTTATTGCTTACAAGTTATAATGTTCTTCATATTTTTATAGATTTTTTGGCGAATTTATGAAAGTTTTGTTTTGCGCTACGCTATATAAGATTCATCAATTAATGTTGAGAATTCGTTTGTGTAATTGTCGGTTGGATTAGCTAGATTTTCTTGATGTTTTGTGTACCTAGCGGTTGGAACTGTAAACACTGAATCGTATATATGAAGTGGCCTAATGTTGACAATACTTGTAAATAGTGCATGCGGTTGATGAAAAGGATGAAGAACAAGCTTCCAAAGCTTTCATTGTCAAGGAAAATTCTCAGCTTCAATTGAAGATTTTTCTGAATCCTTGGCTGTATATATATACATATACTTAGTCTCTACGCATGAATCCTTGAAATAATTACTAGAGGAATGTTAATTGAGACCGATACATAATACGAATAGTTATTTGAGTACGAAAACCGTATGAATTCATTTGATTAGTGGAATAGTTAATTAGAAAAAAGAGAGAGAAAAACTTGGCAGAAATCAAGGGCGTTAGTCATTGTAATGTAACTGTAACTGCTAGCTTTAGTTATTCGTCACTATTTAGAATTTTTCATGTTAATTACACCTCCTATAATGTATTTTTTCTGATAATTTTTTATTTATTAGTAAAAAATTATTAAAATTACAAATATATGCATGATATTAATACATAAATTTATTTCATTTCGTGAATCTTAATAACGTTTTAATCAATAATGAAACTGTGCTTAAAAGAACGGTATTGTAGGGGCTGATGTAATAGATATTATTTATTATAAATATTTTATTTTTATTTAAGATTAACTTTAAACATTGATGTTAAGTGTTAAAAGAATATATACTTAATATTTTTTAAAAGAGACAAATATTAATAAACTTTTTAGGACGTTGGTTGATTAATTTTTTTTTTAAAATATTATCAATCTATCTTTACTGTATTTTTTAGTACATTCTTACAATGATTTTGAATAACTTTTTTCATTAATTTATTTAGCAAGACAAAGAATAGATATGTAAACTTGATGTTGGAAAATGTGTTCATGTCTCATATCGATTGATTTCATTCATGTTACATTTTCACCCAATACTCCTTTTCACCTGCTTGGGTCCAAATGATGGAAACTTCCATTGAATATGCAAGCGTTTCTTGTCGTTTTTGTTGATACAAATTCGATTTTCCCTAGTCCGAGAATTGTGATTGTCATGTCACGCATATTTCCCTCTGTTAGTGGAGTTATCCTTCACTCTTTGCACATGAATATATATCCTTTGTACCTCAAACATGTCTATTTTTTTGGGTCAGTTATGCTTGATTCATAAAGTTCAGGTGTGCAATTTGTGGGAACGAAGTCTTAATTATTTGATTTAAAAAGTCTATATTAAGAATACGCCATAATTTGAAAGATTTTGTGAAACAAAATTTAAAAAAAAAATGTTTACAAGGAAACTTTAAATAGGAAATCTTAATGCCTAAGGAAATATAATTATAAATTGAATTTGATGAGCTAGATGTGTAGTGAAAGGAAAAGAGAAGAAAGCCACTCTACGGTTCTTTTAGGTTGGTTGCTTTGGATATAGGTTAGGTTTATATTTTACTCTTACAATGAAAATTTTGGATTTATTTATCTGATAGGAAATGTATCAAGAGAAGAAATAAAAATATATTTATTCTTAATTTAATTAAAATACTTCATATATTTAATTCTTTTCAAACTAATAATTAATAAACTTTTACTTATTTTACACATTCCAACACTTAGGAGTCACGTCTCCCTTTGAGGTAAGTTTGAAGCTGTAAAATGTCAAATTATATAATATTTTCTGCCTTTGTGCTTATGTTGTTATTTTTGTAAATTAGATACCAAAGTAGTTGAAAGTATGTTTGAAGTTTTGAGAGAAAAATGTAAGAAATTTATGAATAAATAATAAATCTTGTAAATATAATTCCTTTAGTTTAGACGTTTTAAAATCTATGCATTATAACTATTAAAGTGTTCATAAAAATAAATAAAAAATGTTTTTAATAAAACTTTTAAAATATAATAATTATAATATATTTTCTTAAATGAGAGGATATAATTAATAGGATAACGTATAATTATAATAATTGTTTAAAATTAGAAGCAATGATGAATTGAATTTTAATAACTTCAATACAAATATTTATTTAATGTAATTTTAATTTTAATTTTTTTTATTTTTTCTCAACAAAGGGCCTTAACATCCAACAAACACAAAATTACACCATAAATCTAAGAAAAACAAAATTACAAGAGTCTAAACTTAAAAAAGGAAGCAGAGATGAGAAAGGGTTAGAAAACTGATAGAAAGGAAAGGGCAAATCTAATCCTAGTTTGATCAAGAAATATGCACAAAAATTAACTTTTACAAACATGAGACAACTTTAAAAGCTTTTCTAATCTTACAGATTAGGAAAAATAGAGGATGAGAATCTGGCTATAACTTCAAAATAAGCACAATTGCTTCCTTTAAATCAAATTCAATCTATATAATAGAAAGGTTAAGTTGAGCCACCAATTGAATGCAAAAAAATAGACTATAAAGCTCGGCAGCCACAAGGGTGCAAAAGTAAATTATGCCGTTGAAACTAGTGATACATCTTTCCTGGCATCCTAATCAAACCCCCACACGCAGTAATACCAATAGTTTTAGAAATGGCTCCATCCATATTTAATTTGAATTGATAAGTAGGAGGGGGAGTCCATCTCAAATCACAATAGGATCTCAATTGATTAGGATAAGAGAATAGCTTTTCTTACAACACAAGGAAAAATAATCAACATCATACAAAGTCTTTACAACAACATTAGCAAGTTTGACTAATTGATTATTAAAAATAAAATCATTTCTAGCCCTTCACAAATACCAAATAACAATACTAAAAATAGACTTTCAATTTTGAAACTTGTGATGGTTAGAAGAAGAAAGATTATTTAATAACCAACTAGATAGTCCAACACTGAAAAATTTTACCTACTAATTAGCAAAAATAAAGTAACTTCACATAGCTTTTACATAAAAACAATCTCTCAAAACGTGCATTTCCTGATTAACACTACACCTATAACATAAAGGAGAATCAATCATTTTTCTTTTAAATCTTTCTTCATTAGTTAATAATTTTTCATGAGCTGTTTTCCAAAGAAAAAAGACAAATTTGGGAGGACCATCCCATTTCCAGATAGAGCCCTATTAGTCTGCCTATTTTGGCACAACAACAAGTAAGCATATTTAATAGAAAATATCCCATTGCTGGTCAAAAGTCAACACACAGAATCCTGGCCATCAAATCTAACAGGGGGTCTAATTATTTTAATAGAATGGCAGACCAGAGGAGGAAGAATAGAAGAGATTCTACACCAATCCTATTCTCCATTAACAGTAAACATAGCCACTAGGAGATCAAAAACAGAGTCAGAGATTGGGGACTTTGCAAAATTAGATAGATTATAGAAGTTAGGGACCCACTTATTTGTTCAAAATTTGATTGACATGCCATCTCTAACAACCTAACCCAGGCCTTTAGAGAAATGGGACCAAACAGACATCATTGCCTTCCATAGGTGGGATGACTTAGTGTTATTATTCCTAATATGAATCTCACTCCTAAGCCTAAATTTATACTTTTGCATAAGCACTTTGGCCCAAAGGTTAAAGGAGGAATTAACCAACCTCCAACAAAGTTTCATCATGTAGGCTTTATTAAGAGTATTCAAATCTCCGAAACTCAAACTCCCTTCATTTTTAAGAGAACAAATTTTATCCCTCTATGAGATGACACTTCCTTCCAGGAGCCCCAAATAAACTTCTTACAAATGTTATTAATCTCATGACAAAAAGAGCAAGGAATGCAAAGGGTTTGCATGATATATGAGAGAATACTCATACTATAAGATTGACCAAGAGTCACCTAACCAGCTAAGGATAACGAATTTATTTTCCATAAAGATAATTTTTTTTCCTAACTTTATCAATCAAGGAAAAAAATTGGTTCCTAGTGAGTTTATATGAGACAATAGGTATTCCAAGGTAATTCTCTATATGCTTACAAGAGTTAATACCTAAGCAATCAGAAATAGCATTACTAATTGAGGGATCAATATTTTTAGAGAAGAAAATAGATGTATGAGAGAACTATATTGGAATATGAGATGTCAAGGTTCATTAGTTACAACCGTATCTATCCTTTCTTTTATATTTCCCTTCTACTAAGTGAAGGGGGCTACTCTTAAATCTCATATCCTATAGATCAAATATATTCAAGCAATATGCAAACTCCTTAATTTAGGTAAGGTTAATAGGTTTACTCTCTAACTTTTTTGTTTCAAACAAAACGGAGTTAAAGTTCTCAACTATACACCAAGGACATTTATAGATGATGAATTAAACTCAAATAATTCCTTCTAACAACGCACTCTCTACCTTTCTTGAGAACTAACATAAATAGATAAAATGATCCAATCATTTTGACCATAATTACTTATTTTTAAGTGAATGGTATATCTAGTTTTTTTTTTTAAATAAAAGCTTTAATTTTCCTAAAGTTTCAACAACACTAAATGCCACTTGAAAATCCAACAATATCTACCTTGACTAATTCATCTAAATTAATTTTTTCAATAATTCTATTAGCTTTTTTCAAATTAATCATAGGCTCAAATAAAGCAATAAAATTTAGTTTCTAAACAACTATCAAATCATTTATTAACCTAGTAAAAGTCTTTCTCTCAACACCCTAAAATTTTAAAATAGGCAATTCATAAATACTAACTCTAAAATTGAGGAGTGACAACATCCTTAGAATGTTGGGATATATTATTATAGTTTCAAAAGTTGGGCATCACTATAGGTTGTATAGTTATCCTTAACTAAAGTATCTATCTCTATAGAAGGATTACTATCTGGAGGTCTATCAATAGGAGTATTATTGAAGAGGTGTTGAGTTTTCTAATGGAAGGTAGGTTTGAGACCAATCAGATTCTGGACAGAGTTAACATATTCATTATATCCTGAAGGTCTTTATGAATTATAGGGTATCTATATTATTATTATTATTATTATTATTCCATTGGTTATTCAAATTATTACATGACTCATTCCGAATTTCAGTTTGGAGATTATCCTCTTTATCCCTATTTATATTCCCAAATTTAGACAACTGATTATTTTTAGCCATTTTCTTAATATGATGGGTATATTTACCCTTGGGCCACTATTATATTTATAATTTTGCTTAAGAGGAGATAATTCATGTTGACTCAACTCATTATTAACAAAGGAAATTAGAAGCTTTTTAGACTCAAACATCTTATCCTGACCCATTTCTTGAGCATAATTACCTAAAATATCAAATTAGAAACTAGAGAATATTTCTTTCCTTTTCCCATTACTATTAGGAATACTAATTGACTGAGAATGACCTAATTTCTTCTTAAAGAAATTTTTAGTTAACATCCAAAGACCAAATTGATCACGTTCATTCATATTACCCCTATCCTGACTAATGTAAGTTTCCTACTTATTAGTATTCTCTTTAATACAAGAATCCCTATGTTGCCCATGTAACTTGGAAAAACAACTTGTCATATGATTATTATTATCTTGATTAGGTTCAGTTCTTTTAGTACAAATTTTTTTGCCTATATCCATATTTTTCACATATGAAGCAAATGAGATGTAATTCCTTATATTCTATCTTAAATTCTTCACCTAAAACTTTAAAGAAAAAAAATTAGTTTATTTCTTGTATCTATCTCTATGGAGTTCCTAACAAATATGTTCCTATAAAGCAAATAGGTATGGAGTCAATTTTTAACATTGACCCCACACAAGATCCAACTTTCCACAAGAACTTTTCATTCTAAAGATACGTCATGGATGCATACTAGGGTAACAATGTTTTCAAGGCTATAATTTTTTAGCCTAAATAAAGGCCTCCATATTTGGACAAGCAAATAACAATTTTTGCCCTAAATATTACTTAATTTTTTTATTTAAGTAGTAAAAAATAATAAATTTACCTAGAAATTTAACTATTAGGACAAATTTTTACTAGGAGTACCAAATATCATGTCCTTTGATAGGATCTCTAGGTTAGGACATAGATGCTAAGTTTTATTAAAACTAAACTCTCATTTTAGTCCTTGAGAGAGTTTGGGTTCAGCATTTTAGTCCTTGAAAATTTTAAAATATTTCATTAGTCTCCAACTTCCTTCTCTGTCATTCATTTAGTCCTTAGACTCAAACTCCGTTAAGAAACTATAATAGAGAGTTGATTTGTCATGTTAAATGCCATGTCAGATGTCCAAGTGGCAAGAAACGATGTTGTTTGGGAAATCAACGTGGCAAAATACCTTTAATTGTCAAAAAATGGCGTCGTTCTGTGAACATAAATTTAGGTGATATTCTAGGTGAGATTTTGGCATTTTCACTTAGGGTTCTTCACAAATATAATCTTAGATTTCAAATCGTTCTACTTCCTAATGCTAAAGGAGAAACGCTCATTCATGTCGCTGCTAGGTATAGACACTACAGCATCGTAAGGTTACTAATTGAACATGTCAATCATTTTCTTCTTGACATTGAGCATGGGATAGAAGCAGACAAGAACTACATTAGAGCCAAAAATTACAATGGAAACACTACATTACATGAAGCAATGAGTAATCATCATATTAAAGTAGTTGAGGTTTTGCTACAAATAGATCTCGTTACTCCTACTTTACTAATAAGTCCTTACTATTAGACCGGTGCTACATTTTGTCGAAACAAATTGGGGATTCCTTACACTTTTGAAGTGATGGCACTATTGAAATTTCTTGGTGAGTTGAATTAACGTCTCTGAAATTATTGGATCTGAGTGGCAATAACATTTCTCCTCCTTTGCCAGAGTTTAAGAATGACTTGAAATTTGTTGTTGTGGGAAACACTCTTTTCAATGGTCACTCTTTCCTTAGGGGGCAACAACCATTCAACCAAAGTCATGCAAAATGACGTCGTTCTTAACAATTAAAGTGTTTTGCCAAGTTCCTTTTTCAAACGACGTGTTTCTTGCCACTTGAACATCTGATATGGCATTTAACGTGACAAATTAGCTCTCTGTTATAGTTTCTTAATGGAATCCGAGTCTAAAGACTAAAATAAATGATGGAAAAAGAAGTTGGGGACTAACGTGATATTTTAAATTTTTTCAGGACTAAAATGCTGGACTCAAATTTAAAAAATTATTTTTTAAGCTTCTCAATTTTAGAACCAATATTAAAATTCTCAAACTCAAACCTAAATATTTCGCTGTCCTCTAGAACGAGATATAAATCTTTAGTCTCAAGAACCTAATTTGATTTATGGATTCCATTTGACCCATAGTTTGTGTTTATCTATAAAGATTTTGAATTTGTTCAGAATGATCAAATTATATCTTGTTTTATTTTCACTTTTTCAATCATTTTAGATGCCATTTTTAAATATTAGATTATTTGTTATTTAAATTACATATATCTATGAGATATATTCAAAACAAACAAGCTTAAAATTAGGTAAAGATTTACAAATATATTTTTCTATATGCACTCACTCATACTCTTATGAGCGACTTAGTATCTTATTTTACTTTTTTTATGCTTCAAGCTCTTCCATTAAACGTTTTTTTGCTTCAAGATGATCCATTTTAAGGGTCAAATCTCTAAAATAGTACTACGTTCATGTTTAAATAAAAACTTTAACAAAACATGAGCCCTTTTTTTTTTCTTGAAAGTGAGATATTATTTTTGAATTTTATGGTATTTTAATTTAACTAACATGTATTAAGAAGAAAAAATTAGTTATAATATAAAAATACTAAAATTATTTATTTTTATATTTAATGGTCAAATGACATATTTTCAACACTAGACAGTGAAAAACTGAGTTTTGTTATAATTCTTTAATTAAAAAAGAAGTTAACTGATTTAAAATTAAATTAACTTTTGAAAAGAAAAAACAGAATATGAAGGTTTAATCAGGACTTGGATTTGGATTCATACTGAAAAAGAAAAAAATAAAAAGGGAATCCAAAACCAAATTCGCAGGTTCGTTTCTTCGGTGTTGAAACACTAACTTCAATCTCCAATCTCCATCATTGTGTTTCTCTTTCTCGTGATTGGTCGAAGAGAAGGGTGTGGCAATGGCAGATCAACCAGAAGGAACGGTGCAGAACATTCTTGAGCAAGAATCTCTGAAGTGGGTCTTCGTAGGTGGCAAAGGTGGCGTTGGCAAAACGACATGCAGTTCCATTCTCTCCATTCTCCTCGCTTCCGTTCGTTCCTCCGTTCTCATAATCTCCACCGACCCTGCTCACAATCTCAGCGACGCTTTTCAACAGCGTTTCACCAAAAACCCCACTTTGGTTCATGGCTTCTCCAATCTCTATGCTATGGTACCCTTCATCCCCATCATGTCAATTTTCAACTTTTATGAACCCCTTTTCTAGGGATTGATTTTTTCTTTTATTTAATTGTTTTGTGTTGTTGTGTATTGGGATTGGCTTTTATAGGAGGTGGATCCTACCGTTGAACAAGAGGACATGGGTGGTTCTGATGGGATTGATAGCTTGTTCTCCGAGCTGGCTGGTGCAATTCCTGGAATTGATGAGGCTATGAGCTTTGCTGAGATGTTGAAGTAAGAATGTTTTGACCTTCAATCATGTTCACTTCAACGTGGTGGTTTTTATGGTGTGTATTGTAATGTTTGTGATAGGATCAGGGAAGTGGTTTAGGTTTGAGGTCTGTGGGAGGGAAAGGGGAGAATCCTAGAGGATTGAGTTTTTGAGTGGACAAAACTTCTTTAGGTGCTTTTGGTGTTGTTTTCCTATCAAGATTAGAGTTTCACCTTGTTAACTGAGTAACATGTGACAACGTTAAATATAAATTTGAGATTCCTAGAGGATTGAGATTTTAGGAGGAATAGTTCTTAGGTGCTTTTGCTGTTGTTTACCTATCAAAATTAGAGTTTCACCTTGGTAAAAGGTATTTAATGTTGTTGTAACTCTTAGTATTGTCATGAGCTAGCAAAGGGATACCCTAAGTTTAATTGGAAAATAATACTAAATACACCTAAGAAATTACACCCCTATTTTGTCCTTTTTCAGGATGACTTGACAGTTTAAGATAAAATATGGTTGGTTGGTGATGAATTGATGATTGTGTGTGATCTTTCAGGACGTATTTATTATGAGAATTTTTTAAAAACCTTTGTGGAAACAAGTTTTGCAGAAGTTTGAATCCTGGAAATAGATACTTACGTAACAAGTGTTGCCATATTTACTTGTCTATTTTTCACGTTAAGTATGAAATTGTTTGTATATTTCTTGCAAGCATATTGTTATGCTTTTGATGTGCGGCCTCTTTGGTTGTCACCTCTGCCAGTAATCTGGTAAATACTCTGACTTAAGTTGTAGTTCTTTAGCTGTTTCCTCAGGATCATTTCATCACTTAAAGAAAACAAGCTAAAGGAAACATCTTAATATGTTGTGATACTGATTTTCATATTTGTCATTTGTGTAAATTTTTGGAGATTAGTTTCAAAGAGCAGAGAAAATATCTTGCTAGTTGTTATAGCCTGTTACCTGGAGCCTTTAGGTTAGACCAATCTTGAGGTTTTACTTGGGATTTTATAAGCAAAATTCATAGCTTTTGACAAGTGTTAATTTCATACCACCACCACCACACGCGCACCTGCACCCACGACCATCAGTGTCTGGGCTGATGGTGTTGGTGGAAATATTGGTATGCTGTGGTGGGATGGCAATCAGTTTCTCACGTCTCAGAAAACTGATTTTAATGGAAAATTTGAATGCTGGGAGTCCTAATTTAAATCTCACATGAAATACTGTTGTTAACAGAAAATCACATTGAAGGTTTTATACAAAATCCATCTAACATCCTGTGTAGCAAATGATGATTTCTCAGTTTCATTAGTGAAAATTAAAGTTAAGAGTATCCTGGGGATATGGTTCGTAAGGGTGCTGTTCCTGTCATGTATGTAACTATATACTACCTTCATACTTGATGATGGGTCAATAGGTCAAAGCAAACATGTAAGGGTAACTATTGATTTTATACAAGAAAGGGGTGAATCTTATTTCCTCAAATGAATCAGTATGTGGTAATCTCTAAATCTAAAGCTGGATGCATATTTTGTATTGCACTGAGCTATGTGGATATTATTTTTCATTCAGTGTTTATTGATTTGCAAAACAAACATAGCTATGTTTGGTTCATCTGGAAATCTTCTAACCAAGTATATGGTGCTCCCATTTCTTTATTTTTGTTTGAAATATCACTTCCAACTTTTTATTTTATTTTATTCTTTTTTGTGTTTTGATCTATAATAATTTTACAGATTGGTGCAGACAATGGATTATTCTGTTATTGTATTTGATACTGCTCCCACTGGCCATACACTCAGACTATTGCAATTTCCAACAGTTTTAGAGAAGGGTCTTGCAAAAATGATGTCTTTAAAAAATAAATTTGGTGGTTTGTTTAATCAGGTATGAACTTGAAACTGACATTTCTTGCATCACATGATATTTTCTTGCTAGATTAATGTTCACTAGGCTCAGTTTAATCTTTAAATTTAATATTTTTAATTTTAACTAATTCTCTTCCATAGATAGAAGACTGGGGTCTGGGGTCAGTGCAATATAGCATATTTTGTTAACATACATAGAATACTTATAATTTATTTAGTACCAACTAACAAGTTTTTGATCTTCCATCGATTTTTATTTTTTTTTACTGCCTTAAGTTGATGGTTCTCTGGCAAGTCAACCAGAGTATAAAAACATTCTCATTTCATTTAGAAATCTTACTGTTTCTGTTGCAACTTCCCATCATTGTTCTCCATTCCATTCTTTGATGTAATTCTTTTCCTCCCAGATGTTTCATTCCATACAAGAAGGATGTATTCTGGTCCTGTAAGTGTGGTGATCCCACACTAACTAACTATTTTGTCTGTCTTTGCACAACAATTCAAGATGGAGTGTGTGGATGTATGTTGTCCATCATTTTAGAATTGAATCACCAGAGATCTCTTCGATATAGTCAAAATCTAGTGACCAGTCTCAGTATCATGGTTGCATTCTTCATTCATTTAAATGATCATCATTTGATGCATTCTGATTTACTTCATGTATTACTGTCACTCTTGTCACATTTGATGTTGGAAAATGGAAATAACTTGTAGTTGTTTTTACCAATGTGTGCATTTAATAGTCCAAGCACTTCCATGCGAAAAATCAACTGATCTTGCTCTTCTGGGTAATATTTACATTGTTCTTGTAACATAAAATTTTTGCACCTAACTTGGGAATAACTTCTTTGATGATTCATCAGATGATAAGTGTTTTGTTTCATCACCTCTTGTGTAATTGAAGTCATTTCATATTTTCACCGCAGATGACTCGCATGTTTGGCATGGGTGATGATTTTGGTGATGATGCAATTCTTGGGAGGCTTGAAGGCATGAAGGATGTAATCGAACAAGTTAATAAGCAATTCAAAGATCCAGTAAGAAATACACATAATTTCTTTTCGGTGTTGTTTTGAAAATGACTATTTCTTGTTTACTCTTCTGTAAATTGTGGCTTATATTCTTGCAGATTAATTTAACTGTAGTTTGTATGTTCATGAAAGAATTTCTCCTTTTAATTAATAGTCCTTGAAAACTGTGAATGTTAGGATCTAACTGCTAGGACAACATACCCATTTATGACTTTTTATTGACATAAAGCCGGAATTACTTGGATAGGTTCCTTCCCGTGAAATGTTATATCTATCGTAGCAGCTGTTATTTTCAGTTGTTAGATGGTGTTAACCATAGAAAATTAAGATCATATCTGTGAGAGGGATGAAAAAATTAAGGTCAATCAAAGCATTCTTTAACTGGTGTTTGGATTTGATCAACAGCTAATATAGGTCCCTTACTGCATATTGCAAAATGGATATCTCTGTAAATATTTTATAAAAGGAATGGACTTACTTTCCTTCAGTTACTCTTATATACATCCATGTTTGCTGTCTCTCAGGTGCTACAATTTAAAAAAAATAAAATTCATGAGCACATTTTCTTTGTTTAAAATTTCCACATTTATGAAGTTATGCTCAAGAGGTAGGTCATTATATTTTTTAATTTCATGGTCTTGTTTATCTTCCCTTTATTTGTTTAATGACAATCAAGATGTGTTTTTTTTGTCTTTGAATTTATTCTTGTATTTGTATGGTCTTGATTTATTTTCTTTTGTGTTAGTTACCCCAGCCAATGTACCAATCTCCTTCCGATACCTAAATTGTAGTATTTCTCTACTTACAGGACATGACAACCTTTGTCTGTGTGTGCATTCCTGAATTCCTCTCACTATATGAAACAGAAAGATTAGTTCAGGAACTTACAAGGTTTGAGATTGATACGCATAATATCATCATTAATCAAGTAATCTTTGACGATGAAGGTAATGTGCTTGCTATTCCTTGATATCCATTTTTTATAATTTCTTTTCTTTATCTTATATTATTGTCTGCATAAACTAAGTCTATCCTTGTAGATGTTGAATCCAAGTTACTTAAAGCAAGAATGAAAATGCAGCAGAAGTATCTGGACCAATTTTACATGTTGTATGATGACTTTAACATTACCCAGCTGCCATTGCTCCCAGAAGAGGTAAGTTGTGTATTCTTTTGATATTCAGAGAAGATCCATACATAAGTACTACATATATAATAAATGCAAATTCTCATGTTTGTGTCCTAGTGATGGTAAAAAACCTTATGGTTATTTGTAAAACTGTTGAAACCAAGTGAGTATGCTTTTCTTTCACCCGTTACTAGCTGCCTGCTTGTTTGTATCAGCTTTTAATTAGCCAGTGCAAATTGATAGGTTACTGGGGTTGAAGCTCTGAAAGCATTTTCAAGACATTTTAAAACACCATATCAATCCTTATTTAGTAGAGGAGACCAAGTGGAACGGTTAGAGCGTAAAGTATCAACACTACAACATCTGTTAAAAGAGGCTGAAGAAGAATTGGAGAGAGCAAAAAAAAGTGGATAGAAAAGGCTTGATGGCATCAATTAATGAATAATGCCATTTTGGTTCACACATTATTTTTTAGCTTACATCTGATAAAGTATCCTTTGCTGTGTTGGGCAGCCAATACAAGTCATTCTCTATTTGCTTTTATTGATTGATGTTACAATTACCTTTCTTATGCATCTCCCCCCCCCCCCCTTCCTCTTTCTCCGAAAAACGAAAGAAAAAAGAAACAGAAATGCTGAGGTTAGTGTAATTTGTTTCATGAATATTCTTGTATCTTTCAGATTTTGTGTCGGATAATATCCTTTATCATTAGTCTCTCTTCCTTGTTTTTTGAACTTTCCACCTGAAGGTATGTTAAAAGTGTTCAATTGTCAACATCATGAAAAAATTTTGTTATTGGTGTAGCTGAGTTTGGTACACAATATCTCGCCTATGTCTAGCTTAACACAATTATGCTATAGGTTTGTCTGTGTGAAAGATAGTGTGTGCCTATAAATATTCAAATTCACTAAGTCAAAAGAATTGGTAAGACGTGCTCTTGTGGGATCACATAAAAAAATCTTCCCGCAAACAAGTAATAAAAGTAAAATATGGGTGATAACAGGTGATAATAATGTGTGATGGAACTCTAGTTTATTTTTGCAACAAAGAAATCAAAAGTGGAAAAAGTTGAAGAGGTGCCAAAGAACCGTAAGCTTCTGTCATGAGTAGTTTGAATTGGAAACGTAAAACTTTTATGCTAACTGTCACCTATTTATCTTGAAATATTATCGATATTGTTATAAACAATTTTGCAAATAAGTAGCGTGATCTGATTTATTGATAGTATAAACTACTATATAATTATTAGTTTTTAATGTGAATGTACATGCTCTTAAAACTTTGGACTGTTTGTTTCAAGTTTTTAGTTATTTTAGAATATCTAAATGTGAGAAAGAAATTTTCATATTGGTTTAAGTTTTTAAAGAATATTCTCAAGAATTTATTTCAAAGAAAATAAAATGCCCAATTTTTTGTCTATTTTTTATTTTCACATAAGGAGTTAGGTTTTTTCTACTCGACTTTTTCCATATATAAAAAAACAAAAACCAGGAACTTTTCTTATAGTACAAGAAAGCCTAGTCTTGTGTGGCCATTACCTCTTGAAACATAGCAAAACAAGTGTACCTGCAGCTTCTCGTAGGAAAAAATTATTGGGTAGTCTGAAAATATGCAACCCCAATTACACATATAGCACCATGTGTCAGTTTTTTATAATTTATGAGAAAAAAAAAAAATATATATATATATATATATATAAATGTTGCAATGTGATTGGCTGGAACTATATGGATTGGATTCATAGGAATTTTTTTTCTCTTGTGAGGGGGTCTTCCCTCTCTTTCATGAGAGGGCTTTTTATCCATTTTTGGTGATTTTTTTTTCTTTTTTTGTGGGAGCTTCTCTTTCTTTGATGAGAGTCCTTCAGCTTTCTTCTTCTACCTCCTTTCTTGTGCTTCCTTCCTTCTATTTGGCTTCTCTTGTCTTCACTCACCTTCCTTTTAGTTTTATTTTTTCTTTTCGATTTCTACTCCTCCCTTTCTAGTTGCTTATGTTTCACCTTTGTTACCTATATTTCTTCATCTCATTGTTCTTTTTCTCTTTTCCACCACTCTCACTATCTTTGTTTCTTTTTCTCCCCCATGTTCCCCTCCTTTGCTTTAATTATTTTGACTTTTTCATACTTTATTTTCATGTGACAAATTTTGCATCATATTTTAATTTATTTGAAGTACAACTAAAAGAAAATCTGGTTTGATAAAAAAAAAAGAAGGTAAAACAATGCAAAGAAAAAAAAAATTGAGTTAGCACTCACATTTAGAGGAAATAGGCAGAGCTTTGGAGTTCTATTTTTTTTTCATTTTATGTTGTTGTTTAGTTTGGGGACATGTTCCACTTTTAATAATCGAAAATGCTTAATTTTTTATAGTATCGCTTTTGTACGGATTTATTATTTTTCTAAGTGTTGTTGGTCTTTAAATTTATACCCAGAAAAATAAAAGTAATACATACTCCTGCATTCCAACTATTAATCTAAATTATAAATCAATTAACACTTAATTTTACAATAAAAACCCTCATTATGAAAAATATGATTACAAATATTTTTTTTAATTTTTTATTTTAAAAGTAATTAAAACTTTTAAGTTAATATAAATAAATTAATAAATATATACATTTTGTTATTAACACCAAAGTTGAGATGGCCGAGTTGGTCTAAGGCGCCAGATTAAGGTTCTGGTCCGAAAGGGCGTGGGTTCAAATCCCACTCTCAACACAACTGTCAAAAAGTTTTGCTATTTAAAAGATGTTTACAACATAAAGCATTTCGTTCATAATATTAAATTATTATTTATGCCATTATAATTTATAAATGGGATTCGATCCTTTTACTTTAACTGACATACAATATTTACAGAATTCCATAATAAAAGTGCTTTTTATTTTACAAAAGTGAAATTAGTGTCCTGATGTAAAATTGCAATATTTCTAATTGAAAATTAAGGACAAAGTTGGTTACACAAAAGAGTTAGAAAAAAAAAAAAAAAACACTAAACAATAGAAAAAACTGGGATTTGAACCATCAGTTCCCTACCATGGTTTTTTTACTCATTTCAATTTTTTTATTCAGTGAAAACCCATTGAATAATTGCCAAAATAAAGTGTTGTTTAATTTCAAATATCTTATTTCACAATGTGGTTGGAAGCGTATAAATAAACATTAATGAAGGATTGTCAACTGCGTATTTCTATAAGCAGTGGTAGAACTCCAATTAGATTTCGCATGATTTCGTATACGCTACAATTCATTCAAACTCCAAAGCTAACATGGCCATTTCTAAAGCTTGGTGAACTATTAGCCTTATCATGGAGCTTATAATTCGCCGAAAGTCAAATATTTTTAACTAATAAACCAATGAATCCAATTGAATAAGAGAAAATCACACTTTCGGTCCCTCAGATTCAATAAAATTTTACTTTATCCCTTTTTTTTCCTACCTTACACAAACTTCTCTTAATTTATGTAATAAAATAGTACCTTATACCTTTTTCAATTACAAAAACCATTTTACATGATTATATGAATGAGGAAAGATCAAACTAATGTGAAAGAGGAGATCTAAGAAATTTTGTTAAACTAATTACCCAATAAATAAAGCAAATCATGAACAAGCGGATCAGACCTCACAACATTACATGGTAGCATAACCAAAGGCGTAAAAGCAAGTTTACTTTGTTAATGTCAAACAAATTTCACATCCTTGCAGAACATGGTGAAGTGTAATACCGAAATTTGATTTCAGTGGAAGTATAGGCTGAATTGCATATGGCATACTAGGCTATGTAAGTAGATACACCCATTTGATTTCCAAAATTTAATTATCATGGTTCACTTGATAATATTTGCTTCATCAAGCATTTGATCACACCTAAACCCTACCCACCATGCAGGGTTGATATAAAAACCACCACATCTTTCTCTTCCAGTGTTGTGTTCAGTTGACCACTTAGCTCCCAATCACAATCATTCACAAGGACAAGAACACCAGGTCTCCTGCATGACAAAACAACGCAGCCAAATGTTAACATAGTTCAGTAATCAGTACTATAATATTACTATAGGTAATCTTAAATTAACTTAAGCATAAACACTCCTTTCTTTTTTAATTTCTCCTTGTCCACTGAAAAACCTTATGTGGGTGTTAATGAGGAACTTGACTAATTATTACCAAGGAGAAGATTCCTCTAATGTAATTTGTCCCTAAAGTGAGCAAGAATGTATCTACATTAAATCATTGGTAGTGTCTTGATACTGTCATGTGTTAATTGTCACTTCTATTAAGAAACTTTTATTTAAATATCTTTATTACTAATTTGATTAACAAAGACAAAAACGGCACTTTATATGAAATTACATAAACAGGAGTCGCAACAGACAATTTGGAGAGGCAATAGACACACCATTTTAAGTTTATGATACACTAGGACTAAAACTAAAATAATGGTAAATATACCCTTGCTCTTGTCATAAACAAGCTAACTTTAGAAGACCTCCTTCCGATTACCAATGCATAATTCAAATGTAATTAGATAATCAAGCTTACACAGTATCTCCTTTCATGAACATTTCAGGCCTCTCCTTAATCAAGTTCGTCCGTACCCAAGAAAGCAAATCTTTCATGGTTAACTGAGAAGTAAGAAGAAACTTTGATAACAATGTCAAGCATAAAATATATATCAAAGTTCAATAACATTTAAAGTTATATATTACCTCGTCTTCTCCATTGTGTTGCTCAATATTGACATTATGAATCTTCTTAGAGTCACAAAGAAGCTCCAATCCCCCTCTGCATGTTTCAGCCATTTTAACAAACCAGACAAAAATTTAAGGTTCTAAATCTCATCAGATATATGATAACTAAATAAGTAAACTAGTAGAGAAACTTAAGGTTTCTCAACACTCACTTACGAGGAACCTTTCTATCCCTATTATGATAAATGCTTTATCAAATAGAGAAAAGAAGTGATACAAAGAAGATGCATTTTATAATCCTCAATAAAAAGAAGGGAGATATGAACTTGTTTTCCATATTATGTTAGGAACCAATAAATATTTCCGAATCATACACTGAATGATCACTTCAATTAGGCTCCCTTAGTTACAAATCAAAATAGATATTTAGAGGAAAAGACTTTTTCCCCACCTAAAACATAGTTCTAGCTATAAAATTCTCTCTCTTTTGGCTTATAAGCAAAAGTTTCCGAACCAGTTATGCTTATGCATGAATAAATGCGATCCAAATACTATAACATATAATGAACAATGTCAAGAGAACGGAACCAGATAACATGAGAGACCATGATGAGTAAACATTCGCAACAGATGAAGCGTTAAAACTCTACTCAATGTTAAAATTCAGATTCTCAGCCAAAAAAAAAAAAGGCAAAAAAGACAGCTCTTTATTTTTGGTGAAAAACAGAAATTAAAATTTTACCGAAGCAACATTAGAAGCAGTGAATTTCGATGGATACAGCAAAACCTTACCCGAACTCAAGTGTAAGCTGCATATTTAATAATGTCGGAAAACCCAAAACCCTAGAGCGAGAGAGAGAAGTGAAAGAGGAGAGAGAGAGAGAGCCCCAAACTCTTCAAACTTCAAGCCCTGAACTTTTATTCCTACGCAACACTAACATCAGCATATATACCATAACTTGTTAACGGCATGATCAAAACATAATCACCAAATCTCAACCGTTTATCATCTAAGGGTAAACACTCTCTCATCTAACGGTACATAAGCTAGAAGAGTGTACAAATCAACGGTTAAGATCAGATCGTTCTATTCATCAAGATGTGACACGTCATCGTATCCCTCTCTCTCTCTCTCTCTCTCTCATATTGAAACCCATCTTCGATTCACGAAATTTGGGTAGAAAGTTTGCATCTTGACCAACTGGGTAGCTTTCAATACCTGCAGATTTTGTAAACGAGTGTTGGAATTGGATTTTGGCGCTTATTCTATTGCTGTTTTGTATAATTTGTGAGTTTCTGAAGCTATGGAGGCTTATAAGAGATGGGTGAGGCAGAACAAAGACTTTGTGCACTCCTTGGAGTCTTTGGCTAATGTAAGGCTACTTTTTGGATTAACAATTTCATGTTATTATTTTTGTTAAATTAAATGTTATCATTCCGTCGTTACAAATTTATCAGCCCAAGTGAATTTTTTTATTAAGGTTATGCTTTTGTGTTGTTACTACTCACAAGTTGCAACATCTATAACTGCCCAGGAGTGCACAAAAATTCTGGGGAAATGGTGATTTTGATATGAATTTTTCGGCTTTATAATTGGCTATTATTGCAATAAGTGGTACTCTTGTTTTGCTTTTTTCATAAATAATAACGATTTGGCTATATATCCTTCATAATATCTAACAATTTGGCATTTGGTAATTATCAATATAAATAAATTTTCTGTCTGTTCAAGTATATGGAGGACATTGTGTTGAAATATAGTTTGTTATACAGTGTTTGTCATTAGTTATCTTATTGGGGGATTGAAAATGTTGACAGGGATTGACATGGCTTCTTCCTGAACGATTCTCTGAGTCTGAGATTGGACCAGAAGCAGGTTTTTGTGAATTTTTTATGTCTTTTTGAGTTTCATAATACCAGAAGCTTGAGCTTCTATCTCCAATCATTTCTTCACGTTGATGTTTAGAATGCTAAATATAAAGTAAAAATAAGTTTACTTTGCAGAGCCATGCGTTTTCCTAGATCTGTATCGCAAATTTCCGAAGTCATGTTACATTCTTCTAGTTTATCTACATTTTCTTTAAAATTTAACTACTTCTCTAATTTTTAGTTATTTTCTCCTATTATATTTGGCTATAATTTAGAATTTGGTACCTTACTGAAAAGATCTATGATTTCATGCAGTAACAACCATTTTGGGAATTGTCACTGCCATCAATGAACATATAATTGATACAGCTCCTGGCCAAAATATTACAGGCTCTGTTGAGCCCTATTCATTTCCTTATCCGTTATGTTTATCTGCTTTAAAGGATTTGGAAACGTTAGTTGAAGTTGTGGCACAACATTACTATGGTGATGATAAGAAATGGAATTTCCTTGCTGTTACTGAAGCAATCAAGTAAGAAGCATGATGTAATTTAGCCTATGGCCTTTCTTAGTATCTGCTATCTGTCATTATATTATACCTGTAGTCATTGATCCATTTTTCTTTTTATCTTGAGTCACTCTCAATCAGGGCACTGGTTCGGTTATCTTTGTTTCGGAAGAGTGGATATAAGATGCTCCTACATGGAGGGGAGACACCTAATGATGAGGTGAATTTAGATAGTTTTACTTCACAATATCAAGTAGGCTTAAAGCCTGATGGGCATCATAGGTCTGGTTATCTGAACAACAATCTTGGTGCCAACCCAATGAATCTGGAAGGAAGAGCGCTATCTGCTTTAAATAGATTTGGGGAAAAAGCCAGGATGGTGTCAGATCCAGCATGGTTACGGAGGGTTCAACACAAACAAGCAACTATGAAGCCTACAAGTAATCTGTGTTAAAGAAATTTTAGCATTACATAGTAAAGTAGTTGATTATGATGCTAGAGGTATTCAACTAACATTTGTTTCCCACTGCATTCTTACAGATTCAAGGGTAGATAGGCCGACACTTTGCACCATATTGTCCAAAAAGGGTATTTTTGGGGCTCTGTTTTTGGTTGGAGAAGTTCTATTTATTAGTAGACCACTTATTTATGTTTTATTTATTCGAAAATATGGCGTTCGATCATGGAGCCCTTGGCTCCTTTCACTTGCAATTGATTGCATAGGAAACAGTATTCTTTCACTTGTTACGACATCGTTGGCTGGTGAGAAGGAGCAAATGTTTCATTTGTCTGCCCCAGAGAAGGATGAGGTTTGTTTTTCTTTAGACTTAAGAGCCATACTGCATAAGGTGCACTGGACTTAATGACCTTCTGCATTGAATTTTGGCCATTAAAACTGCATGTAGAACTGTCTTATATCCTAGTAATGTTCAACCCATTATAGAGTTAGTGCTGAAATAGTTCTGCATCAGGTTAAAAGACGGAAGCTGTTATTTGTACTTTACCTAATGAGAGATCCATTCTTCAGCAAGTATACTAGGTAACAGTGAACATTTTGCTCTCGTTCTTCTTCTGTTTCACCTTTTTGTGTTTTACATTTTGCAATCAACTTCTAAGTTGGAGGAAAAATGACACTAAAAGAATCCCTCTCTAATTTGTTTAGGCAAAAACTTGAAAGCACAGAGAAAGTTTTGGAACCTATACCTATCATAGGATTTCTTACAGGTAGGTGTGCTTGATACATATTTGTTTCCTTTGTAGTCCAATTTCTGCCTTGGTTTCTTGTCATCATCGTGTCAGGATTGGCAGACTACACTCAGCATCTGATCTGTTTTTCTAATATATGTTACAGCAAAAATTGTTGAGCTTATGATTGGAGCGCAAACACGATACACATACATGTCAGGATCATGATACGAATCCAGAACAAACACCCCGTTGCCCTCCAAGATTGTGGGAAGATAAATATTCTTACTCAACTGCCGCACTATCTCCTGTTCCATATCTTTCAAATCACCAGGAGATATCAAATCCACCACTTTTATGATTGAAAAGTAGGAAACCAAGCAAGATAAACATTTCTTTTGCACAACACTCCCACACATAGAAGGTTAGGCTGCAAGCCATGTGTGGGACAAATTGTTTGCAATGATGGCTACACTATCAACTACTGAGTATAAATTGGATTGGAATATTCCTTTGGGAGATTTTGTTCTACTTCTACACAATAGAGATTACACTTGTGGCTCTGAGCATCAATTGGCAAGTTACCCTGTGATCCTAGAACTAAGAAAATTACATTCTGTTCAGACATGATTAAGTTTTATGCTTCTCTTCCATCAGCATGAATCAGTGGGCAATTATATATTGAATTATGCTTCTTACCCTAAAAGAAGGAAAATGAACAAACTTTTGTAGAAGCGATGCTATATATATATTTTCAGCTTGTTATATTAAGTTTTGTTTAGTGTCCATCAGAAACTGTGCCCCAAAATTACGTATCTTACAGTTTAGCATTACTGTAAAGTATCTAATAACTTTGTAATCTTATAGTTGTTTGATAATCAAAGATGTTCATTTAGTCATTTTATACTTTCATGTCTTGGATCCTCTTTGAACCTCATCATAGTGATAGATACAACTATAAGCATCTAAAAATGTGAGTCCAACAATGTCACCAGTTAAGAGACGTGGTAATTTTTTGGGATACTATTTTTATCGCTTTATAACCCACGCCTAAAAGACCAAGGTGATTTTCAATTAGAGAAGTGTTACTAATACATTGGTTAACTCTTTTTTCAATGCACACTATTATTGAGTGAAATTAATGTAAGATTATTGTATAGATTTCATTTCTTATGTAGTAGAATTGAATAAAATTTAACCAATAATAAAAATGTGCTAATAATTAATGAATTGTTTTTTTTTTTTCCTGTAAGGATGTTAATGGATGACAGGATGAGACTTTAAAAGGGTATTGGAGTATTTGCTCATCGACATGTATTTGTTTTTTTGGCAAATTAACTATGTTCGAGTGATCATGCGGACGGGTTTGCATAAGTCTATCTTAAATGGGCCGTTTTATAGAGGCTGGCATTTTACTCAGTTGTACACTGCATCTGATTGATGGTTTGGCCCAACTAATTTTGAGCCAGCCCACTTTATGTATAAATAATTTGGAGGTATAAAAAATGGACCTTTTCTATACCTCCCATTTTTTACACAGTTTTCGTGAATACTCACTTAATCTAATTGTCATCTTGATTCAAGAATTATACCAAATGTAAAATTTATAAGAAAACATACATTTTTTATTGTATATTTAAGGTGTCTTTTAATATGAGGTATTAATTTATATTTCAACCAATATATTAGTGTATATGCGTCGTGAATATAACTTCTCTGAACTAACATACACCGCAAAAGAAGAAAATACATAGTGATAATTGTTGGTTGAAAACTTAAAGAAATGGATTTTTAATAGCTTCATAATTTGAAATATACTTGCATGCTTTTTTGTCATCATAATATCTACAGTTTAATCTTAATTAATAGTCATAATTCTTTTCCTCTAACATTATCAACTTAGATGAGCTGATTTATTATCTTATATATTTTAAATTTAGGAGATGGAGGCATGGAATTTAATAATAATTCCTTGATCACTCATCTGTGTTCAAAACAATGCATCACTATTTCAGAAAATAAAACAAAAGCAGACAAAACAGAATTCAACTTGGCAAAGTAGTTGGATGAGAAGAAGAAACAACAAAACTTTTCTTTGCTACATGTTCTTAGTATAAACATTTGTTTGTTAGACATAATCAATTGAAAATTGAAGTTAATATTGAAAGAATCTTAGTAAATTTTGTTTGTTTTATTCATAATTAAAATATTCTAATTAGTAGGTAAGCATTCATTATAATGGAAAAGATTTTGTTGGAGTGACAAATTTCACTTCAATGATCTCTATGTTTTGAAGGGAACAATATCTACCTTTTAGCCCGAAAAATATCTTTAGTATACACTAAAAGAATTCATTAACAAAACTCTTTAATTATTTAGAGTTAAGTTTAAACATTTAAAAATAGTAAAATTTATTTAAAAAACATTTATCATACTTTTGTAACATTAACATCTAAGAATTTAGATTAATAAAACATAATATTTAATTATTTGTAAGTAATAAACACAAGATATACCATAACAATATTGCTAATGAAGTTTCAGACAAATAAACGAGTCCTTTAAACATGTATATGTGTATATAAAAAAGATTTCACAAGAGACAAAATTTCCTTTTCATAATCTATATAGTTAAAATGGGATTAATCTCTTATTCTCGAACGAAAGATAAGTTTAGCGCATAAAAAAGACTAAGATCGTAATCAAGCTAACTTTGTTGTTTATATTGAATATCACATAATTAAAAAACATGTAGATAAATAATAAAATTGAGAGTATATATAAATATCACTGATATGTATAGTGTTTGTGGCTGTGATGCGGATTCATCTATCACGAAGGACCAATGAGGAGATTCCAACAAGCATCGTGGATGAAGCAAAGGAGGGGCCCTCTGTGAGAAAGAAAAAACGAAAAGGCATTGTGATCCAATGGAACAGTTATTTCCACCATTGACAATAATAAAGAAACAGTAACGAGGATGAGGCAAAGGGAAAAACTAAAAGGAAAGAATAAGGTCATTGGCAGTAGGGAAAAGTTGGTAGGACAATAAAGAATAAAAAAATGAGAATTTATTTATTTATTTAAGAAAAGGGAACACTTGGAGGAGAGAAGTGAGAGTCCATAAGATGGAGGAAAGAGGGAGGGAGGGAGGGACCCACGAGGGAAGGTCCCCCATTCAGAAGGGAGTAGAAACAAACAAGTAGGGACCAATTCACAAAATGGGAGGGTCCCAAGTCCCAACCAGAGACCAATTCACAAAATGGCTGGGTCCCACCGTCCCACACCACTATTTTCTTCTATATGTGGTCCACTTTCAAAGCAACCCAGCAAGGTAATCGCCCTATTTTTGGGCCGTGGGGGCCCACCTCCAGGGAACGTCGAGAGCCAACCGTTCGATTCACAAATCAACTGGCTCCCACCTCGTCAGCGTACGGATGCATTGCAGTGCGCAGCCAGAGCCATACATGGCGGACTCACACTCATTTGGAAGATAAAGTGGGCCTACCTGTGTGGGCTGTGGCCCATGGGTACCATCCCAGCGTGCGCGCCGCTGCCTGTTGCCGCTACCACCACACACTCTATGGGCCCCAAACCCACCCCTCTCTTGCCAAATACTGGACCCACCCATCACTTTCTTCATCATCCATACCTCTATAGTCAGACAAACTATCACTCTTCACCTGTATTTTTCTCTTGCTTAATTATTTCTAAGGATTCATTTTAACTGAAAATTCCCTTGCTTTAGTTTTAAAAATCATTCATAGTTTGCAAATAAAATATAAAAATATATTTTGAAATAAAACCGTCTTTATAATTTTGAAAGATAGTAGAAACGTTTTGAACCATTAGTATGATGGGTGCTCTCTACAAAACACACATGCACGCAGCACACGCTCGTAGTATTGACTTTTGATTTCGGGTCTTCGTCATTGCCCAACTGTCTTTCATTATTTTGTTCTTTTTATTGTGTGTGTTTTTGTTTTCTTTCACTGAATATAATTTGCTTGACAAAAACCCTCTAAGACCAAAAGTGGAACAATTTGCTGCTCACTGTGACATGATGTCATTTCTTGTTTCTTCTTCTCAATCTTCTAAGGCAAAGGGAATTTCCCTCTGCTTAGGCGTCCATTTTTCATTTATTTTATCTGCTTTCACCAACTTCGTTCACATAACCTTATTTCATATGCCATCCGTTGTTTCGGCTAATTGTGTGGTTTTTCGTGTTTTAAAATCATTCTCTCGTGTTGTTGGCCATTTACATGTATGATTAATTAAATGCATTCACGCCTTTAAACTAGTGGTGGGTATGGGCAATGCCCTTCTTTTAAGATGTTGGGTACGTGTCTATTCCTTCCAAATCTATTTAAATGAGTGTTACTCCTACACTACCATCGTTTGCATGCAAATATTATTTATTCAAAACAATTCCAACTAGTCAGGGATCAATTATATATGTCTCACCTAGTGTTACGATTTTAACTCCCGTTTTTGTAATATTTACACACACATGAGATCATTCAGTATGTATGAGGTCCTATAAATAAATATTGATTTATCCAAATATAAAGTTTGTATATGTGAAAAAAGAATCATTTTCGTTATCCCCAAATAGTTTATACCATCATCAACTCATCATGCGAGAATCTTATCAAGTTCACTTCCATACTCTCTTTTTTTTTTCATTTTCTTTTAACGTTACCAAATAAGAGAAAAAGATTGACCAAAACTCCCCAAACGCAATCCCTTAAGATGGGACCCATCACGTGCAATAGTCATACTCTCGATGGGTCCAACAACGATCACCGTAGATTTCTTTCCATGTTAAAAATAATGGACGGTAGCATTACAAGGGCCCCATCACCTATTTACCTCTCTCTCTATGCAACAAAACGAACCCTCTCACTTCCTTTGCTATATATACATTCACACACGCACACTTCAACTCTCTCATTCCAAGCTAACACAAACATTATCTTTCTTCTCGTTACTATCTTTAAATTAATACTTCCTCCAACGTTGTTGTTCATTCATGGCAGAAGAACCTTCTCAAGACGTTGATCTCCGTTTGGGAGAACCCAAGGGACCCAAAGAGGAACCGGAGACGGAGGAGGGGTCGCCGTCGACGGCCGCAATACGCGTGATGCCGGTGGCGGTTCACGTGCCGGCAGGGATGTCCATGTCCATGCAAGTAAACAAAGCCTTGGCTCAGGCCCAAGCCCAAGCCCAACCACAGAAGAGGGCTTCCACCAAAGACCGTCACACTAAAGTAGAGGGCCGAGGCAGGAGGATCCGAATGCCCGCCACGTGTGCGGCCCGGATCTTTCAACTGACCCGAGAACTCGGTCATAAATCCGACGGCGAAACCATCCGGTGGCTCCTCGAACACGCCGAACCGGCCATCATCGCCGCCACCGGCACCGGCACCGTCCCCGCCATCGCTATGTCCGTTAACGGAACCCTGAAGATCCCAACCACTTCCCCTTCCTCAACCAACAACAACAATAACAATAACAACACCGACCCGGAACCCGGTGACCCACCCGAGAAGAAGAAACGTAAGCGACCCGCGAATAGTGCCTACGTGGACATAAACGACGCCGCCGTTTCGGTCTCGGCGGGGCTAACAACCTCGAACCAAAACGCAGCGACAATTCCCCAACAAAGCGCGATTCCGTTACCGCAAGGCATGGTCCCCATGTGGGCCATACCCTCAAACGCCGTCGTTCCAGCAGCAGGCGCGTTCTTCGTCGTTCCCCAAACGCCGTCGTTTCAGCACCAGCCTCAGTTCTTCACCATAGCTCGACCTATCTCCGCTTTCGTCTCCTCCATGGTCACACCCGTTCAACTCCAACCAACCTCCGCCTCAACAACAACCCCCTCCTCCACCGCTCCAGCGAGAGCCACCGTCATGGCTCCCACCACGACCGCGACCACGACAACCAGCACGACGCAGATGCTCAGAGATTTCTCCTTGGAGATTTACGACAAGCAAGAGCTTCAGTTCATGTCGCGCTCTTCTTCGAAGCATTGAGAGAGAGAGAGAGAAGAACGTTGAATCGGGTTGAGGTTGGGTGTGGTTACGACGTCGTTCGGAGAAAGCAAGAGCACGTGCCCACGTGACGTGGAATTAAAAATGGTGGGGACCACATGCGTGTGGGCGTGGGTCAACACCAAAAGTGGAGGGAGGGGAAAGAAGGTAGGTCCCACCCAGTGGTGGTGGTGCTGCTCCGTGGACCGTGCAAGGGGGGGAGCGGGGTACCAGTACTAATCTGCTAAGAAATTTTTTTTCCTATTCTAGGACCAATAATAATAACACCACTTAATTAGAATCACAATAACTTTATTATTGATTTTAAGTTCCCAATCCTGAAATTTATGTAAGTGTACTTTACTTAAGATCAGTGATAAATATCTTTTTTTATTTTATTCTTTTTCATTATTAATATTAGTACTTAGTTGTTTCTTTTCCTTGTTGGTGATGCTGAGGCTGGGTCCACCTCATCCCATGGTCATGCCAGGGACCCAAACACTGGACCCTACGGGACCGTTTTTGCACCGTTCTCGAGCCGGCCTTTTCAAAGTGGTCCCTCCCATGAATCCAGAGAGTCCTTAAGGACACGTGTCACCTCCTTGCTCGCTCACAGGTGGGGCACACCTTTTCAGTTTGACACGTGGGGCTTTTCCCGGGCCCACGTTGCTCTTTACTGGTTTTGCTTTGCTTGGCCCGAAGAAAACGTGAAGCAAGATCAAGATAAAGATATACATATATATATATACAGAATAAATGGTATCGGATGCGCAAAATCTTGTATATTAACTTTGTAGAGTTTTTCCCATCATGATAAAAAAAAAACTAACACATTGTATGAACCATGTGTGTAGAGTTGTTGTTGTTAGAGTTGGATCGTGTTATATTATTCTTCTTACTATGTTATGTATATGTATTGCCCCTTGAGGCTTTGGGTGCTAAGATTTTGCACCGTTCACAATAAATGAACATGTTTTGTAACGTCTTTTCTTTCATTTAATTTTTGGAAAATAGTTCATTTGACAATGATACATGATCAAAGGAATTGATTTCGGCTCCTCTGCCATTTTCTTAAATGCATGTTTATTTGAAAGCAAATTAAATTTTCTTATTTTTTTATAAAAATTTATCGTATTAAACATGAGTTCTGAGATGGGATGTGAGTGCATTGTTTCCTACATGTTGCTACTTGTACCGGTGACATATTCTCTCAAAGGGCACATTCTTCATACAATTGGAACTTGCGGATGCTGCTAAAAAATGATGATGTTAATTTGGGATTTTGGTTCCTTTTTGCCCATGAGAGAAAACAAACACAGGTGTTTCCTTTGTCTTTCTAGTGGCAGATAAGACCAAGTACTCCGATTAATTTTAGATAGAGACAGATAAACAAAGAATTTTATTTTTTTAATTGTTTTCCAAATTTGAGATATTTAGTGACATATTATGTAGTATTCGTGTTAATTTAGTTTTCCTTTTAATTAGCTAGAATATTTATCATTACCCTTTGTTTACCAAAAGAGCTTAAGGAAGTGATCAAGTCAAGTTTTAAAATTACTAAATGAATTCTCAATTTTTTTATGATATTTATGACGACATTAATGTCTGCGTATAAATCCGTGTACATTAGCTTATTTGGTAAACAAAATAAAAAAAAATTATTTTTTCCCAAAAAAAAGTTGATAATTTTTTTAAAGCTTTTGTCATGCATGCATTAAATGTGTGTTTAGTAAATATTTTTAAATTTGATAGAACTTAAAAAGATAATAATTTCAAAAAGTTATCTTAAAATTAAATTTTAATGTAAAGCACTAAAAGCTATCCAAGATTTACTTTTATTCTAAATTGATTTTAGAGTTAAATTTCTAGTTTAGACATAATGGCAACTCATGTTGACTGTGCTGAATAGGTGCATCTTGTTGAGTAAAGAAACTTTAAGAAAAAGAAAGAAAGAAATAATTCATTTGCATTCTTTATTTATAGAAAAAGCACATCACGTGAAAAAATTAATAATTAAACCTTTTTAAATATGTATATTTTGGCAAATTCGATGGTTTATTAAGCCTAAATTTGTTAAAAAGTTATAAATGTTGCAATGTTCTGTTACATATCCAATTACTCTTTCAGAAGTTAAAATATTTGTTTTGAGGACCCAGTTAGAAAATTGGTTTTTCATTAAAAAAATAAATCTTTTTCTTTTTAAATTAGTAACAATACAATTGTTTTTTAGGGTTATATACATATGGCACACTCTAGTAAAAATACTGCACTTTTTGCCTAGTTTACTTACTTCTAACTTAATTTTATTATTTTGTAATTTTTAAATTAAAAAAATTACTCAAATATCTAATATACAAAAAAAGAGAGAGTACATGTTATTATAGTAAAATAAAATAAAAATTATTTATAACATTTTTCTACCTCTTTTTCTTGAAATGTGTAACTTACATAAATAATACACTTTACTCTAAGAAATGCCATCCCAACATTCTTACATGATTGGGATTTGAAACTAGCAAACTAGCTGCAATAGAAAAATAATAACAATTTCTAGAGAAGTAAAGCTTTAGTGTATTTAGTTTGGGATAAGAAAGAACAAAAAAGATATACATTTTTTTTTTGTTTTAATTTCTATGAAAGTGACCTATGAGTATTAGAAAATTAATTTTGTCACAAGAGAATCATAATTTCAGCTTCTGTGGCATCTTTTTATTTTATCAGTTTGAGTGGGAAAGATGGTTTGTGCATTAAGAATCAGGTTTAAAAATTAAAAACATTAATTTGGGGAAGAAGCTGGGAATAGCACCATTAATAAATGGAACATCTTCATTCTTCTGCAGATTCCTTAACATTCTCAATTTTATATCTTAAATGTGGTCTATTTTTAGCCTAAAAAATAACTAAATTTTATATAATGTTTTTAATTATGCATCAAACACTTAGATATCTATCAACACTTTTTATTAGACCCACAGAAAAGGATGGCATTTGACGGTGCTTTAATAAAAAAAGTTCAAAAGGTAGATTTCATTTCTGTCAACTATTTTATTTTTTTTAAATAAAATCCGTAATAGTGACAGGAAATAGCATAATAATCAAGTAATGATAAGCATGAATAAGTACCACTCATTTTGGATTTTGATGCAGTATATACAATATTGATTTAAGTTCATTAAGTAATTTAATTTAATTTCATTTCATTTTTATATTATAAATTTGAATTTTTACTCTTAAGTAGAAAAAGTTTAAGATTAACTTGCACATATAATTAGAAGTTACACGAGTTTTTATTAATATCTAATATTCCATGTTTGTTTTTCAAACATTGTTACTTAAATTTAATCAATTTTAATTTATATTTAAATTTCAAAATTTGACACATTATATCAAATTAAGTTGTAAACATTTAATTTCTTTTAAGAAAAGTTTTCTTTAAACTTTATACATGTAAAAAAATATGTACCGAAGGAGTTAGCTTTATTATCATGTGGAATTTTTCTAGTGGAGGAAGATTAGTTCCTACAGAGAATTCTAATCAGAGTAACATATCTATGTAAAAACAAACACAAAACTACAACATTCACTCAATGTTAACCAATGATCTATAATTTGCTTTTACTTTATACTATTGTTGTGTAAATATAATATTATACTTTATAATTTCTGTAATTATGATCAAAGTAATAATGTCATGTAAAACAATAAATTCAAAAATAATATGTAAATGAAGTTGAGACCGACGTAAGAGAAAAGATGAAATATTTATTTTAAAAGGTGAATTGAAGTTTATGACTTAAGTTTAATTGTTAAACAGGAAAATTATAGAGATAAGAGGTTTAGAGAAAATATGAATCATATGTTGTTGTAAAAATGTGATGATGACAAGAAATATAGTGTATAATTTACTTATTATTATATTTATTAATTTTTTTATTGCAGATTAGTGATTTGGAGTTAGATTTAGTATAAGTCCTACGCAAGATTAGGTAAGTACACCGAGAAAAGCAGCGGTATTTATTTAGCATTTATTGAAGATAAAAACATATTGCATCTTTTTTCTCATTGTGGTATCTTCATAAAACTATAATACATGATGTTTGAATAGTTCAATGTCAATTTATGTTTGTCTAAAAATTTGCACGAAACGTTACTAAGCATTTGTGAAATCTAATGTGAAAAAAAAAAGGAAGAAAATTGTATAGTATGATTTGTGGTAGTGTGTCAAATATTAGTAAAATGTTTGATTTTATTAAGTATCGTTTTTAGAAGTGTCTGCGGTGAAATTTCTAATAAGATTAATTATGTATGTGAATTGGATGAATATCCCTTAATATATATTGTTAATTTCTTCTAGAGTTATAATGAGTTAGAGTATTTCTTGTACTCTAAATTTATCCTTAATAAAATATTGATATTTAAAATAAAAATTTTGAGTAATAAAAAATGTTCATTAAATAAACAGTTAAACTTCAAAATTAAAATTTAATGAATAAATCAAACATTTTTGAGATAAAACCTGACCCAAATACCATGAAACAAGACAGAATTTCCTTCTTTAAATTTCTTGACATACAATTTGTCTTACGTTAACCTGCAACACTAAAGATAATTAGGTGTACTGGCCCTCTCATTTTGCAGCATTCACTTCATGCTCGAAACAATAAATGGTTGACCAAATTGCAAAGTTGAAAATTGAATTACAATTTTTTAATATGTATTTAATGAACTATAATAAAAGTTATAATAATAAACTTTTATTAAAAAATTATAAGATATTATTATATTTAATATATTATTTTTAGACAATTAGGAATGAGTGGAAACATGTAATTTAAATAAATTTTATCTCTTAGATAGATGAAATTTACTTAAATTAGGTCATTTGTCAAATTATATCACAGTCACCAAACAAAATTAAAAATTATTTTTATTTTTAATTTATACTATGATAAATAATTAACTATAATTATTAAATTTTCATAATTTGTTTGAAATAAGTTGAAAAAATTGAATTTTTATCTTTCAAGATTTATTTGTCATTGAAGAAAGGTCAGTAGTATTTATTATAAAATTATATTCATTAATTTATTAATTAATGAGGTTTTAATTAATTTATTAAATATATAATAAATACAAACATACAAATTAATAAGATAATTTATGTTTATTTAATTAATATATCATCATCCTAATAAGTAAATTAATTAATTAATATTTATTTAACAATTATAATTAATCATTTATTATAATATAAAATAAAAATAAAAATAATTTTAAATTATCTCGTATCATAATCGTTGAACAATGTGAAACATGACCTAAGCAAGTTTTACTTTCTAAAGATATCAATTAATATTATTTTAATAATTTATTTTTTAAAATATATTAAAAAATTAAATAAGTTCATAAAATTTTAAATTTATCAAAATGGTATAATTTATCATATCTTTATAATTAAGAGAGTTTAATACTCTCTTACGTAAAAAAATCTTGACCGATAATTTTAGATTGACAAATAATGAAAGTAATTTAGTAAAAAACATATTAATATTTTTTATCTTTAAAATATTAAAAAAATTATAACAATTAATTTAATACTTTCTCAAATTTATAGTACTACAATAAATATCTTTAATTATTAGTTGAAAAGTTTTTATTAAATAAAATAATATTATAAAATTTAAAATAAAAATAAAATAAATAAATATTAAATTTTAAATAATTTATCTATACATGTTTAAATTGTTTAAAAATTGATAATATAAAATACTTTAATAGTTAAATTAATTAATTTTATATTTTATAAAATGTTATTAAAAGATGGAAGTATATAAATTCAACATCACAATAAATAAATTATGAGTAAAAAAATGATAAAATTATTGATTTATTATGAGAGAAAATAGAAATAGGAGCGGGACCCAAAGAAGAAAGACTTAATGAGCAGAGGGATGTGTGGGTGGGGCCTAGTGGCCTAACACAAAGTGGACCCCTACGTTAGGAAAGGTAGCAGCAGATAATGAACGGACAGGATCATCTCCAATTCCATAGTATCAAATGATTGACATTTTATTCATTACATCTTCTTTGTTGTTGGGAATCTATTCTGGCAGACAGTGGATATCTTGCACAAGTGACAATTCCCACCTTCAACCCTCTCTTATTCTTCTCTACACAAATCACATTTCTTCAAATTCTAACACTAATTCAATTCAAAGCTCATCCATTCTAAGAGTAACTTTGTACTTTCACCCAAAAGCTCCTCCTTTTTCATTAGCCCACTGTATTACACTCACCCAGTTCAACCAATGTGATTAAGTTTGTTAAAATGTAAGTTTTAGACTTAAACTATAAGTCTCAATTTATTTTTTTGTGGAGTTTGAAAGTTTTTATTTTATTTAAGTACATAAAATATGAATTCTAGTGGAGTTTGAAATTTATTTTATATTCTAAATAAAAGATAAATTTTTAAACTCAATCTAATAGAATGCAAAGCTTTAATCGGATTAGTTTGAACTGGGTCAAGTAATTTGTTTTGTCCCTTATAATAACTATTTTTTTAAATTGTTCCTTTTAGTTAAATATTCTCTCATTATTTTTAAATTGTTCCTTAAAGTTGCTCTTATCCAACAACTAAAGTATTTTTATTTTTGAAATTTTTTACAAAAGCACCAGTATTGAGATATCACATTGAATATTCACTAAATGCAAGTCTAGTCGAATAAAACTAAACGACAAAATCCTATGCAAAGGGAGTTTTTCTTTTAAACATAAGAGGGAGTTAGTTAAAACTTTAAAGTCCTAGCTAGCTGCCCATTTTGCCAGCAAGAGCTAGGAACAGTACAACACACTCTTAATTGTTCTTAGACCGAACCAATTTGGTATGCCTCAGATCTGCAATTGCTTCCAAAGGGGCAGAACACAAATTAATTTGGCGTTTGACTGTTTGATCGGCTAAAATATTACAGATTTTTGTTTGTTGGGTCAGTGGCCTAAATTGCATGAATACAAGCACAAGTATAGAGTAACAGTATCTACAAAAAAATTTAAATCTTCGGTATGTGGCAAAATATATCATGTAGAACTATTAGAAAAAGGCATAATAAAGTAATTAAATTACCAGATAGATATATATTTTATAACATTTCACTTTCAGTTAGCAATATTTAAAAATATAAAACACTCATAAGATTGAAAGAGTGAAATAGCAATGTTTCAATTAGTATCAAAGTAAACAATTCAACAACTGATTTATGTCTTGCATGGTGGTACTGGTATAGTCTTAATTGAGCATTGGGTAAGCACTAATATAATATATAGGCATAAGTATAAGAACCATTCAGAATACCATGTATGGTTAATTGCTAACATATCACATGCAGACACCAGATTATCCTTTCACACAGAACTATAGTCAGACCAGAAAGTTGATCTCCACTTTCAAATTGTGCCTATAAGTTCAACTGTGATGTCTTGCTATAGCAAACATTGTCAGGGTGCAATAACGGTGGTGATAAGAGACCACATGAATGATCCTTTATTAGTGGAACATGCTTGAAAATATTTTGGCTAATTCAATTTATGTGGGAAGAGATGCTCAAGTTCTGACACAAACAATCCTTACATTTTTCCCAAAAATTTTATAACATAAGATAATCAAAACCTCTGCCATATGCTAGAGGGGTCACAAATCCTTCAGGAATATAGAGGCAATTATTCAATATCTGCAAATGAGAACACTTGTATTGCCTTTGAAGATTAGTCTTGCAATTGGTTGTTTCATATAAATTTAATAGAATGGCCCATGTGGTAGCAGAGAATAATATGCTGGAAAATTTGCAGCCACTAGATTGGTCACGGTATCTTCTTCACAAAGTTTCAATATCAGGGAAATCATAGCAAAAAAGACCCTAAAGTTAATATTGGTCATGTGGCACTCTCTGTTCTTACCCAAAACACTATAGAATGAAGTGTGGCCCATCTTGGTGGATGAACTTTGGGTCCATGATGGAGATCTAGATGCTAGTAATACTAATTTGTAAGGTTATATAACCCATAGTTCAAGAATTGTGATTACTGATGCATTTCTCAAATCAAGAAACAGGTAATACTGATACATCACTGGAGGAGTGACCCTTATCAAAGATTCCAAATCTGCTGTTGAGCCTTCAGACCAAGATTTTTATTTTTGTACTGTTGAAATTGCAAACTAAAACTCATTCCTTGAGCTTAATGGAGTTAGCATTGTTTTGAACATATCAATTCTTAATGCATAGAATTTGGATTGATTAATCCGAGTCAGCAGGTTTTGCAAGTGTTTTTTTACTTGGGAAAGAATATCAGCATTCTTTTAGGAAGTAAAATAGAACTCCAATGGCAATTGATTTGTGTCTCATGCTTCTAGCTTGAATGATTATGTATGCTCATTGTCACGGGAATCTGAATTCCTTATTGTGAAGTAGAAGATGCAAAACCATAATAAAACCAGAGAAATATGCAATTTTTATACTCTTTAAGAGAAAGAAAGTGAAGTGTGAGATAAAATTGAGAGATGTGAAGGAGAACGATGTAAAGAAGGGTAAAAATTATGTTAGAATAATTTAACTTGTAATCACTAAAAATCGATGATATAACAAAATTCAGATTAGGAGTTCAGGCAGGGAATGGTTCCATACCAAACTTAGGATTATTTGTTTTACAATAAAAAAAATTATCACTTTCTTAAAAAGAGCACATACTCTAATAAAAATACGTGATTCAGATTAAGTTTAACAAAATCAATTATCAAAAGGTTTACAATTTTACAATACATGATGTTCCCGGTAGTATGGTAGCCTGATAGACAGAGGAGTTTGGGGTGACAATCTGGAGTAAGTCTGGTGTGTATACAAAGAAGAAAGGAAAGGAGCAACCTTAAACGATAATTTTATTTCTATACACTGGACCTGGTGTTTTTTCAACTATCTTATATTTCAAAATTGTATAACTTGTATTTTGTTATTTACGTTCATCCTATCCTAATGGCAAGCAATGTGAATGTAAACAAATAATCAAATGGTTAAATTCTCCTGAATGGCAATAAATGATCCTACTATCTTTCCTCCTACATCTGGGAACTCTTCATGGCCAGGAAGGGGTCTAACCTTACCCTTCCGATCAACCTCGACTGGGTACTTGAGCAGATGACCTCTCATCTCTGTTATATCATTTGCAGAAAATTGTTTCCAGTTATGTTCACCCATTGTTCTAACCCTTCTCACACATTCCAGGCTCTCTGGTTGTAAGAAGCAGTCTTCAATTGTACCAGTATGTTCTGCCCAAAGTGACATCCTATATCCGTGGATCTACACAGTTTAGTTTCACAAAGAATTGCAGTCAGTTCAGGAAATGTGTTAATATTACTAAAACGTGAAAATAAGATAGCATGAAAACAGTGTTGTAGCTATTCACAATCCATATTCTTTCACAAAAAATACATATTAGTAAACCAGAAGCTAAATTCATAACTTCTAGGGCCTTAAAAGTAATGCTGATAAATGAATATTTGTATTACAGGGAATTAGAAAAACCAAAATAAAATCCAAGATATTGGCTGTGGCTTGATGGTCATAAAGGCCTGGTAACCCGGATTTGACTACTCTACAGTAAAGGGTAACATTTCAGACTCTAAATTGCTGAGCTGTAACTGTTGAGCCATATTAAACCAGTTAATAAAAATAGACCTTTAGAAAAAAATTTTAAAAAAAAAGGAGCACATATTCAAAAAACCTAATACGGTACCAAAGTCTAGGTAAAAAAAATGAAATGCTCAATTTTTTTTAAGAAGGTCAATCCAAACTAGTAAAAAAAAAGAGACCTGTGGCATTAGAAAAAAAAAAAATTCAAGTAAGCGGAGCACAAGTCCAGGTAGAGGCCCAAACTATTTTAATTGAACTCGAGGGAAAGTATTAAGATAATTAAGTCCTCCATTGCTACGTTAGCAACAAATTAAAAATTATATAAGCAAGATGGTCATGAGCTTAAATGATCCAAGTTATTTTAGAAATACAAGTCACTCAAGCTTATAGTCCATCTTTTCCCTCAATCTTGGATCGGGTTCACATTCAAAATCTTAATAACCCAAAAATCAAAGGAATGGATTTTAACAACTGTATAATTTGTTATACATGTGCTTGTAATTGATCACAACTTTAGCTAATGATTTTCAAATCAACAGATATCACAAAGGCTTCTTAAGCAAAGATGAGAAGCCAATTTACCTCTCCCCGTGGATAACAGTGATTCCTTGCCCAGGTATAACGGGGTTGGTAGGCTCCCATTGCAATTTCAGTGTCCCTTGTTCCGTCCATGGAGCGCTGGTTGATGTTTGCAGACCCCAATATAACATATTCATCATCAACTATCATGCCTTTTGAATGAACATAAATCATGAAACGTCGATTATTTCTGCTAATTGCCTGGACAAAGAGTACCAGCACACAAGTTTACAAATACATTTACTAAATGGAGATTGCATGCCACAAAGCAAAGGATTAAGAAGCTTATAATAACAGTCAGAACACTTGTTCTACTGATAAGCCATGCATCACACAAATTAAAGTAAATTAAGACACTTGGCTACAGAGTCGCAGGGAGCAATTTACATGCTAACAAAATAATGATATATCTGGAAGCACCATTTTTTTTTTCATTGGCACTAGATATCTATAATTTTACATGGATTCACTGCTTCAACGGAGGTTTATGGCATTATGACAGCAGAAAAATGTAACTGGGAAGGGAACAACATGGGATGGGAAGCATAGAATTCATACTTGTGGACTATTTGCTGGAGGAGGGGTTCCAGACACAGTGATATTCTCATGCATATCTACAGCCTCCCGATTACCAAGACAGAAGAAGTTCAAATAGTCTTGCGGAGAGAAAGCTGCCTCAAGCCCAACTTCAACCAAAGCCTTGTAAATTGTCTCGTACATCATTTGCATTGTTTTATTCTGAAATATTTTAAGAAAAAATACATATTGAGAAATGTTAGAATAATATGAAAGTTTAATCAAATTCTTGTCAGATGAAAAAAATTAGCCTCTATATTGTATTGTGAGTTGAAGCATACCTGCCAAAATAGAATTCTTTGGGTGGCAGCCCCTGTTGGAACACCCTCTGGCCACATTGGAATTACGATATACACTGCAAATCGCTCATTTGCCCTTATCTTTTCAGCAATCTTCAGTGCAATTTCCATAGGAATTAAATTATTGGCACCTGCAAAAAACGTGGGAGTTTTGACATTAAAAGCAGATATTTGAAATAAATCTAATTAACCACATTAGTTATTCATCTTCACCCAGTAAGTGATAGAGAAAAGTCACTACGAATGTCTAGCAGTGAGGAGTTCAGGTAGTTTGCAAGAGGTCATTGGATAAAACCTCCTTGCCATCAATGTAGCCAAAGAAAAAGAACACAAAGAAATATAGTTGATGGATGAAGCTTATTATGAAGGTCTAAAATACAATTCCAAAATGTTAAATCCTCAACTATTAGCTTTTAAAGGGAGTTGCAGGATTTATATTTGTGTAATCTTTGCCTAGAAACAGTTTAGCAATATGAAATACGATGTATCAGACTATCAGCTATACCATACTGATATGTATTGATATATATAAAATGCATAAAATAACATACACCATAGATTTGAAAGGAAATGATCTATTTTCCATTATACAATTTCTAGGTCAATCAATTTAATTAGTAAAATATAAATTTATATTGAATTCTTGAAGGAACAAACAACACATGTTCAGAAAAAAGGAGGTCCGTACCAAGGTCTTTATGTTGATTCCAGTTATAAGAAGACCCAATGAAATATTGATTCTCTATATATATGTAATGTTGTGCAGCTCGAATGGCCTTCACATATGCATTATGTATGCTCATGTCAATCAGCACATTCTTCCCACATACTAGGTTCTGTAAAAACACAGCAACATTTAACATTCCCTTCGTCACACATAAGGTGGCTCATGTTGATTGATTAAATCTACCACGAGAAGAGAAAATTTAGAAACATTAAAATCTTTAATTCACCATGCTTGATGCATTTTTTGCCTCCTCTGAAAATCCATCAACAGAATTTGAATCAATTGAACGGAATATCTGAATTGGAAAAGATAATCAATAGTTTCCTTTAACTAGTGTAAATGAAAAAGATAAATTGCTTCTAGAAATTCTAGAATCTACTCAGTATAATTGATTAAATACCTGAACATGCCATGCTTCAGGATTATCATCACCAACAACACTAGGAGCATTATATGCACTGATAATATCTTGAATTCTATCTAGCTTTAGTAGTGCATCATCATATGAACTCTTCAGCTTTTTAATCCCTTTAGGTTTTGCAGCTCTTAACCATCGCTCCTCAAAGTTGGTCAAAACATCATAAGCTGCTGGACCATCAATTTTAGAATGTAAGTCATGCCATGGCTCCCTTGGACAACCACCAGTATTACCCTGTCATTCAATAATCCACAAGATCAGAACAAATTGGTCTTCTTGATTCAAATTTTGTTTCAAAATTGAAGCTTATTGGTTCCAATCTACTTAATTCCATTATATTTAAGTTGCTTGATTCTAAAGCTAAAATAGGAGAACATCTCTGTCAAAAATTTGCAGGAAAATTTTACATGTGCTTGAAATACGGAATAATATTTTACATTCAAAGGGGCAGCTGGAAAGCAATAGCATCTTATAAAATGGGTTATAGATGTTGCAGGCAAAGCTAGTTTGACAATTCAAAATATGCTAAAATGAACAACCTCATGAAATTCAGTTCAAAATAATCTCTTAAATCTTCCTTATACAAGAATATGGAAATATTTCTTTGTTGTCCTTTGAATTCCTCTAGAACTACTAAAACTTGGGAGTTATATACTTTTGTGGCTTTATTCTACTTACACTGACTGGAAAAATCTAGTGATCAATATCATGCAGCCTGTTGAATTATAGGAGGAAGAGAGAAATAGAGAGCTGGATAGTCTTAGACAGAAATATATATTATCCATTAGAGATGTGGTAAGGTTATGCAAGACATCCGTATGCAGCTATAGGCTCTTAATAGACTTACTGGAGATTATTTCCGTGGTTAATATTAATTGAGTGCAACTTCCTAAACACTGATATGCATCAGTAGTAAATGCATTTATTGTGTGATACATGAAAATACTATTTCCTAGGTGCATTAACTAATACTATTTCCAACACAACCAAATGAAAGTCTGAAAACAAGAGATTACTGTGAAAGTAGGGTTGTGGTAGTCATCCTTATGCAGCGTCTGCAGCGTCCTGAAGAGAGGATGGTGAGGAGTATCATATCGCCCGTCACACAAATCAAGTCCACCAACAAATGCTACAATTTTTCTTTTGTTATTTCCAGCATCAGCATCCACAATTACAGTTTTCTGATGATGTGTATATATTGTTTCAACTTCCTGATAATTAAAAGAAGAAAATTAAAGCAGAAGCAGCAGAACTCTACAACTGAAACTATAAAAGTATGCAAAAACGAATTTAGAGATCCAATGAAAATAAGTAGATTTAGTAACAGCTGGTAAAACTGAACCATGTCACAAATTCTAACATTCATGATAAAAAGTTAGGAAAGCTACCAATGAAATCACCCAATTGGTAGCAATATGTGCATCATAAAGTATACCAAATTGGGAAAAGGAGAACATCATTCAAAATCTTAGTTCACAGAGTCAAGGAATGAAGTAAATAACAAATTTCAATAAGTAAAGTCACTGTCAAACCAAACCTTTTGTTTTGCCCAGCTATGTCGTTTTCCTGCAATGCGAGGACAAAGCAGCACTTGTACAGAAGAGTGCTTGAAAAATCGTCGTGTTTCCTCATCATGAGTTGCCATGACCCCATCCTGAATGTAAAGCAAAAGAGTTTTGCATATTTAAAACAAAAGAGTAAATCATATCCACAAATATTAAAAAAACAACTAAAAGAAAAATTCATTCAAGTCTCTTAATCTTACGTGGTGTAAAGGAAACTTTATCTATCATACTATAAAATTTATTAACACGGGACAAAGGAATGGCTTTGCTAGGTCACATACAACATCAAAATAATCATTCAGACAAGAGTTAACTATTGTTGGTCATGACAGATTATAGGCAGATAATTCTAGACGGGGAAAAGTTCACAAGCCAAGAAATAAGAAGTTCCAAATTTAACTGTAAACAAAATTTGGTTTGAAGAAAGCTCTGATTTATTTAGGGCAATTGTCAAGCCATTGGAAATACAAAAACAGAGTTTTTTTAGGAGGCACTGAACTAGTAACCTCACTCACCCTTATTTAAATATACAGTTGATTCCTGAACAATTAGTGCCAAGTTTCTGTTTGCAACTGCTTTTTTTTTTTTTTTTTCCATTATTAATTTCAAAAGTTTTAACAATGAACAAAGTTCCCAAAGAATTAGAATCACACACTTATGACAAAAACATGCAGCAGTTGCAGACCAATTCCTACCAGCCCTACCAAAAACCAAAATGCAGTAATAGGTAACATAAAAAATAGCATTACTAACTGTTCTGTAACCGAGAATGCTTCTTGACGTAGGGTCATCCCAAACAAGGAGAAGCACTCTAACTCCCTCCTGTGACTTGGACCTCAAAAGATCACCCAGGGTGAAATTTAATGCCCGCCTTTCGTCCCTTACCAACCTAACTTTGTGCCACACTGACCAACCGGTAATGTAAACCAACCATTTAGCACGACTTATGGCATCAAATATGTCATGCCAACACTTTCCATGACCATAATACATGCCATTGTCAAGCATCACATTAGGGAGGCAACCGTCCGGAACATGAGCATCCTGATAAAGAGTTACAGTTCCACCTTTCCTCAATGGAAAATACGTCCCAGGAACGCCACTGTAGTCAGGGCCTGCTCCAATTCCTTGATGATAAATGCTCAGTTTCTCCATTGGAATGTACTGAATGGATACAGTCAAGACAGCACCTGGCTTACAAGGCTTCCCATTGTTATTCAGGATAGGGTAGGTCCCTTGTATTTTTTCTCCTGAGTATATTTGCTCCAGAGGAATTGCCACTGTGCCAATGAGCTGTGAACCCACCACATCACTGTCCTTAACAACAAAGTGTACTTCAGCAGCATGATGTGCAACAGGAACAAAGAAATGCTGCTCCCACACAGGGTTCTCACTGTTGCTAATCACAAAAGTTCTCCCAATCACAGCATTTGACACAGAGATTGCCACATAAGGATCACTAGTGATCTTCCGGCTCACTGATCCTTCAATCTTGTTGTTCACATTACCAGGTAATCTACCAAACATATCCCCCAAAGTCTTATGAAACATGTCCATATTTGGAAGATTTTTGGCTCCATGAATCCAAATATCAAAATTTCCATGCAGCAGCAAAACCCTTAGTGACCCTTTGTTCTGAGCTGGCACAATCTGCAAACCCTGACTATGCACTGAATCATCAGCATAAACTGAAGGGTAAGAAGGATACCCGCGATCCGAACCCGAGAAGGAGCTACTAGAATAACCATCAAACTCATCTTTCTTCTCTTGATCTGGAGCTGAAATTGAATGTGTCAATGGAGGTGCACTAGGGAGATTATCAGACACCCTAACATTACTCATAAGATCATCCAAAGGAGGGTAAGCAGAACTCTGCGGAGGGTTAAAACTATCACTAGTCTGGTAAGGGTAACCATAAGAATGAGGTGGTTGAGGCCTTGGAAAGTCTAAGGATCCATCTGAAGGGTTCGATGGAGGAGGTGGAGGTGGAGGTGGTGGTGGTGGGTAGGAATAGTCAATGTTGCTAGAATAAGGGGCTGAGGAGGGTGGTGGTGGTGGGTAGGAATAGTCAATGTTGCTAGAATAAGGGGCTGAGGAGGGTGGAGGGTAGGTGTAGTTGAAAGATTGTGAAGGATTGGGTGCATGTGCATATGGATTTGGATTTGGATATGGATATGGATATGGATATGGTGGAGGTGCATGTGATTCAGGAGGAGGGTATGGAGGAGTGTATCCAGGGTTTGGATACCCATATGGAGGTGGTGAAGACCCATAATTGTCCATTAATCACAACTCAGAATTGAATTCTCAGTTCAACACTGGATGATTCAAAGCTATTCAAGATTCAATCTTTCATTCAAAGGTTCACGGAAAACATACCCCAAATAGAATTGTAACAAATGGGATTAATTGTACACGACAGAACAAAAGAGAGAATAAAACTTTGACTGATCGCATGCAAAAATGAAGAATATGAAAGATGGGTATTAGATAGAATGAAGGATCTCAGCTGAAAGAGAAGATTTTTATGAGGTAAAAGAGAGAAAGGTTTATCAATGGGAATGGGAATGGATCTGTCGCTTTTACACAGAACATAAGAGTTCTTCAGCTTGGTTTTGCTGACGACGTGCACCAAGTTAATGCGGAACACCGGCATTTACGGGTCTCATCTCTTAATGTAAGTGTTGAAGGATTACCAAAGATAATTTTAATTACTAGTTCATTATTTAAACTTTACTTGTCAAATGCTTACCAAGGTCAAAGGCTATTCATTTTTTAACAAAATTTACTTGTTATTTTATAGATATTACTAATGATGTAAGGCAGAATTTTGGTATTATTTTGTAAATATTATCAATATGGTTTATCAATAAACAAAGAATTTTATTTTAATAAATAACTTACATCTAATATTATGCAAAATTTTAATTATGATTAATCAACACCTAAAAAGTCATACCTAAGTCTTGCCCTTTATTTTATCAAATTAAACTATATAGTTGATTAAAACTTTTTATGAACTTAATGTATATATTAATGAGTTAAATAAGTTAAGTTAAATTTTTATATTTTAAAACTAAAGATGAAAATGTATCGAAGCAGCCGGTTACCCAGTGATTGATTTGCACAACAAACACGGCTGGCAAGAGAAAGAAAGAAAAAGAAATGATTACGATAGAAAAAGAAACAATTGAATTTGATTTGGTTTTTGTTTGGACATGGAAAAGTGAAATGTCTTCTTCTATGGCAATTAGTCAAAACCCAACAGCCTCGGAAGTCTTAACAACGGAAACAACGTCCTACAACGATACGGCATCAATAGTTTAGTTGTTACCATTTGTTAAGCAATTCAATTAGATTCTTCTAAGACGTGTTCATTCTATGTTTATGACTCCAAGTAACCGTGTGATTAAATTTTAGTATCTTATTATGTTACCTATTTAAATTTAAATTTATATCAAAATTGAAGAATGTGAAATTTCATACCATCTTTCTTCATATCTTATATACAAGTAAAGTTTAAATACTTTTAATATTTTTAAAATTATTAATGATAGTTAAAGTGATATGTAGTTAATAGCAAAAAAGTGGTATGTAATTAGGTAATATGGTAGTTAATAATGACTAGATTTGTTAGTTTCTGGATGTATATAAATCAATACATAACTAATTTTGACTTCATTCATTCATCAATATTATAAATATTGATTTTCTCACTTTCTCTCTAATTTTCTTTTTCATGTTAGATTCAACCATGTGTCTCAATAACAATCTATATAACTATATCATTTTATTGTAATAAAGTAAATAAAATTGATATAAATCATAAACAAAAATGCATTTATGTAATATTATTTATAACCTAATATATTGATAAATTAATTTTTAAACTTTATCAGTGAAATTTGTGGGCTTACATTTAATTTAACTATTTGGTTATCTAATCACTTTTGAGCACATTACCATCTCATTCACCGGGTCACAATATGTTAGTGACGTAACCACGACTCTGGAATTTGAACTCTTGATATTATGAATAATTCTTTGATAGTTAGTGCTCTTAATTTGATACTTTTTTTTATTTAAAAATTTAAAGTAGGAAAAAAAATTATACATAGTAAGTATCATATTTTAATAAAAGGATTATATATTCCTTCTAGAGCACAGAAAAATAGAGAATGCCTATCCAGCAAATTTTTCATGTAAATCCAATCGCTAGAGCAACATATAGAAGTCTTAAATCTGAATGGAAAGAGAAAATTTCTGAAATAAGCTAAACAAAATTTCAAATGATATTGCTTAAGTATGAGCAATAATTGCATGATAAAGATGATCTATTTTATTAAAAGAAGTGTAAAGGTGGTAACAAGTATAGGTTAGCTCAAGCATGTCTTACAAGTGATGGATCATCATTGATCAAATAAAATTCCATGCTAAGAGCTTAAAAAATAGTTTTCTGCTTCTCTCAAATACTACCATCATTACAAAGACCATCCCCATTACTGCCATGTTACTGCTATAGGACTTCTAACAGTATATTTATCTGAGACCCAAGTAAGTGATCCAAATGATGAAACACCAGTAACTGCTGTTCTTCCATTTGAAACAAAAGTCACTTTATAACTTAATTTCTCACCAAGTTTTTTGAAACTCAAATTCCTTGGTTCAACAGTAACTGATACTCCCTTTGGTGCTTCCACTTTCACTGCATAAGAACTTTTGGGATTTCCTACATTTGTGACTACCCTCTTGTATGTCACACTAGCTTTTAGTGCACTTATCCCAAATAGCACAGAAAATGAAGCATAGTTCAAGTCACCACCTTGAAGAACTGAATTTTTGGGACATTTAAAATTACCTTTTGACAACAAAGCAATCTGGGAGGATGTATATTTCAGGCTGCACAAGTAGTTTAAGTAGTCTTTGGCGGTGATGTCATAGACTAACCCTGGATCAGAAGCTCTTTCAGGGTCAACATGGCCTGAACCAAATGCAAAAGGGTTAGCAAACGTTGAATTGTTTGAGCCAATGTCAGCAATTGGAGCACCTTTATTGTTTGATGTGCTAGCTGTAGTCATCAGTGCTGATTTGATAGCTGCAGGTGACCAATCTTTATGCACAGATTTTATCAATGCAGCTATGCCACTAACATGAGGACATGACATTGAGGTACCTGAGACTATGTTAAATAGTACCCTTCTTTTGTCATTCTTGAGAAAACTTGGGCTAGTTTTGGGAGGCCATGCAGCCAAGATGTTCACACCAGGTGCTGTTACATCTGGCTTGATTACATCTGGTCCCACTGCACTTGGTCCTCTAGAAGAAAATGCTGCCATAACTGGTGCAGGGTCTTCAAAAGTTGTCCCTATGAAGGAAATTGAAGCTGTTGGTGCTTTTGATGAGTGAATGTAGCTTCTGATTACTTTACTTGCTGAGGCTCCTACGGAAGTGGCTGGCAAAACATGAGGGTCAGCAAAAAGCTCTTCTCCTTGGTTTTCTGAGTTGAGTAATATCATTCCTGCCCCACCTGAAATCTTCACTTCCTCTCCCTTTTCAGTTCTACTATTTAGTCCTCTTTCACAAGCAACTATTTTTCCTTTGACAAGCTTTGGATCAAGTGAACCTTTGAGGCAGTACTGTGCTGTTCTTTGTGATTTTGAAGAATTACCATACACAAGAGGCAATTGGTTTGTTTTCTTTCCCTTATATAAAGATGACCCTTTGAAAACCTTTCCATTCCCAAGCTTGACTTGTGTTGGAAAGCTTCTGTCAGTGTAGCTAGCAGCAACAGTCATGAGCCATGGAGCAACATTTCCAACAGTTGATTTAGAGGGTCCTGAATTGCCTGCAGAACAAGAAACAAAAACTCCATTTTGGGTTGCTCCAAATGAAGCTATGGCAATGCTATCATTGTAATAAGGTCTAGCAATGCCACCTAAAGAGAGTGACAATACATCAACACCATCAGCAACAGCTTGATCAATAGCTGCCAATATATCAGAGTTAGCACAGCCTAAACGCCAGCATACTTTATAAGCAGCAATTCTTGAGGTATACCTCATTCCACTGGCTGAACCTTTGGCCAAGCCAAAAAAGCTGGCATTACTCACCATGTTACCGGCTGCAGTTGAGGCTGTGTGTGTTCCATGTCCTTGTGAATCTCTAGCTGAACGATAATCCAATGTTTCATTGATTCTTCCAGCAAATTTTTCATACCCTTTGAGAAAGACTCTTGCACCAATAAGTTTCTTGTTACAATTTGAGGTAGAGAAGTTGGTGCCTACTTCACAAGCACCTTTCCAGTGAGAGGGTACTTTGGACAAACCTGTGTCATGGAAACTGATATGTTCAGGCCATATTCCTGTATCAAGAACCCCTATGATCACATCTGAGGCCAAGTTAGGGGCACTCCATAGTCCTCTTCCATTCTGTAGGCCAAGAAAATGGGGGGTGTATGTTGTGTGGAGGGTTAATAGTTCATCAGGTATGGCTGAAAGGAAACCATCGACTTGGTTCAAGTACTCAAGCTGTTTATTTGAAAGTTGAGCTGCAAAACCAAACATGTTGGTTTCATAAACATAAAGAAGCTGAGGGGCTATCTCTTCTTCTTCTTCAAGTGAAACTTCAGAGATGAAATCAATGACTGATTTGAACCAAGGTTTTGTGTTGTCTTGGGAATGGACTGAGGCTCTGATCTTGGTCTTGTCCATGTGTATTATGTATGTATGTTTATCCATGAGAGCAACTGAATTTGTCACCATAAAGGCAACGAATAGTAGGAGTGTCCTGAAGATCATGTTGCCTACAGATAAGAAACAAAGGGGGAAAAATCAAACACTGCATAGAATATTGGATCCAACAAAATAAAAATATGAAGTATAAATATGATATACCATATCCAAACTTCTATCTACTCTTTTTCCTCTTATACATTTTTTTCTTTTTTGCTTAGTTTTAGAGGAGACATGATTCTTGGCAATGCATACTATCTCTAATCTTTCTTTATGTAACATATTTTGTACACTAGGAACATTGATCAATGATAACTTAAAAGAAAAATTTCCTTGTGTGTAAATAAAACTACGCAATGATATAAATGCTAAATAGCAAATCACAGTCTACTCCAAGACTAGTGGCTATGAATAAGCAGTGAGATAGAGAATGAAGATAGATGACCAAACCTATACTGAGCTTATCAAAGAACATGAAAAAAAAAAAGTGGTATGAGGGATGTTAATAAACTATAGATGTTGAATCTTTAATAGGCACATGAAGAAGCTAAGCCTGAAAAAGTTAAAAACTTTAATTTTCTGTGTTCATTGCAGTTCAGCAATGAGTCTACCTTTTGTATTCTTATCTTCTACTTCAAGACTGCATCCTTTCTATTGGATGATAACAATCCACAGACCTACATAGTCCTTACATACATATTGTGGATGGGGTAACAGGTCTAATCATGTGTCATTGGATATTAAATGGAACAAATATATTTCTCTATCCAATGCCAAATTATGTCACTGAACATAAGAGTTCATTCCATGTTACTTTTGGCATTCTTTAGCCTCTTATGAGAACCTTTCTAATTGAAAATTTACATTTATAATGTAAGATTATTTCTTAATTTGAGAATTGACATATCCTTTGAGACAGTTATAGCAATGCTCATGTGGGCCATAGACAGTCGTAAGTCAATTAATTAGCACTATAATTGCATCTGACTCTACCCCAAAATGGTCTTGCCGAGAGAAGATGTTGCCTCACACTCACCGGCTAATTAATTAGTGCGACTTGATCAGCCTAACAAATCTTCGGGTAGAGATTATTTTTAAGAAGTAATCATAAAGTTTTTTCAAAAAATTCATAAAAAAAAAAAGGAAATACTTGCTTTTTTAAAATACAATTGACTAAACATATACTTATTTTAAAGAAAACTTTAAAAATTGTTGAAATTGTACCTCGACAGGTTACAAAATAAAGATTAAAACAATCCTTACTTTACAAATTAAATTTTGAAATTGAGCTAGACTTTACGGATCTTCTAATGCTACCTTCTTAATATCACAATTTTTAGTGCAATCTACATGATTCCGCCATTTTTCCAATACAATTAAAAATATTATAGATATCCAATTTTGAGCATGAAGGGATGAATCCTTAACTTAGTTTTTTTTTTTAATTGAGTTAAGTCCTAGCCTAAATTCAAGAGAAAGAAGAAGAATAATTTCATAGAATTAATTCACTGAATATTCCATTCTCAAACACGTGCTAAATTTTAACTACTAATTCACATCATGTGGCCAAATTAACCAGATACACCCCAGATTGCATTACTTTGAGATTCGTATAAATTTTTCTTCACCATCTTTGCCATGGATAGCATTTGTGATCATTAGATCAGTTCCAACAACTGCACAAGTATATTAAGTGATTTAAAATCTATGCTTCAAAGTGTTTTTCGTTTAATCATGTCCATATTATAATCTGCTGTTTACTTTAATCTTACATGTGATCCTCATACACGTGTACTTAAAGCCATATTCTAGTGCATGTGCATAAAAACTGGTGGTTTATTTAGTGCATGGGCTTGTTATGAAATGATGACCTTGCCCATTTTGTTCAATTTAGTGGAGTCATGGTAATCTTTTCTCATCCGGAAGGATGGTGGGTCGGAACATCTATTAAGAGATTTCTAAGTGGGTTGACAATAGATCATTTGGTTTTTTTCAGCTCTTATGATTTCTGATCAGCATGCTAGCTAGCGTGCAAGTGTTTATGATTATTACCATGGTACATAATAAGAATGTTATATGTAATAATTTTTTATTATAATTTATAGAATTTATTGTATTAATAATATTAAAAAATGTTAATCTTAGTACTTTATAACTGAGTTTAAGTACTAAAAAATAATATTTTAAAAAAATATTTATTATATTTTTATAACTTTAATATAATAAATATATTTTTAATAAAGTTTACTATTTTTAAGTACTTAAACTCAATTTTAATAACTGAAGTTAAACTCATAATATATGTTAAAATATCCTACATTGATTAGGAATACAGTTGAAATTCTTTTCATAAAAATTGATAATACTCTTCTTATAAGATAGCTTTTAAAAGTGAATTAAATTCATAATTCTTAATATAGTATGAGAACTTATTCAATTTGAATATTGAATTGTCCACATATATTTAATTCTGTTGAACCACTTGTATAGATGTTTAATTCTGTAAACTTCTCACACTAGATGTCCAAAAAATGTGTTAAAATATCTCACGTTAGTTATAAATATAGCTAGAATACTTATTATATGAATTAACCGCAAATTTCTTAATAATATGATATTACAAATATTTTTTGAGGCATACTAGATAAAGGAATTTTTAGCACGTGTCAACTAAATAAGAATAGAAGGTTCTGTTTGGGGGACCAACACTTGAGTGAGGGACAAGACCTGTATAATGTATTTATGAATATTTTACAGTCAATGGTTGATAGAAGAATTCAAGAACGACCGGTGGAAGGGATTTTTCTTAGTTTGCATTGAATGTGTATCAACTTCAATCATATTTATAACATTCAAAATGTAGCTACGGTGAAGATGGTCCATATAGTTAAAATGGTGCATATTCATTAACATATAATAAGTGCTTCAAGAGTATTAAGATCTCTCCTCTTTGATATTTTGAGACCAACTGTTACTTATGCGCTGTACTATATGTGATCATTATTACATGGTGTTCTACTGAGATCTCAACCTTTCCTTTGAGTCCAATTTAAGGCAATCTTCATTCATTGATATGACATGTGCATTTGTCATTATTAAGTAATTAGAATCAGTAGAATATTGTTTCGAAGAATTTGTAAATTTATTATTAATTGATATTTTTTCTCTGTTTGAACCAAGCTTGAAGTTGATGGTCAATTATAGAACCTATTATAATCTAAAGTCAAAGTAAACAAAGAATCACAAAATTTTAAGACAATATTATAATGTGGAATATTTTCTAGAGAAACGTCAACAACACGGTAATTTTAACATATTTTTATTATTGATTAAAATTTATCAAAAATTATAAAAAAATATATTAAAAATAAAAAATAAAACACATAATTTTTATAATTTTTAATAGATTTTAACTAATAAAAATAAAAATATTAAATAATGTATGACTGACCTTTCTTATATTTCTATTCACATGACAATAGTTAAAGTTTCGTTTCTTAATTTGTTAAATGTAGATTATAAGAAATGATGTTGAATTGAGACTTCCCGTTAGGTTAGAATGCATTGATATACGATAATTGAGTAGAAAAGTTATGGCACTATATATTAAGGTCCATTACTTATGTGCTGGGCAAGGAAAAGTTTAAATTTGAATATGTTAATGTACCGGACAAGCTCCATTATCTTTAGATTATCATTAGTTAGGCAATGAAGATAAGAAGTTGATGCCAGTGCTCATTAATTCCATTAAACTTAGGTTTGTGAAGAGGATAATGGTATGGTTTATATAGGCTATAATGTGTATATATATATATATATACTCACAGTCACGAAGATCTGAGTTGAGTATGGAAGAGGAGGAAAATGTGAAAGTTGAAGAGAAAATATTTAAAATAGAATAAGAAGGAAAAGTTTAGGAAATAGATGAAAAACTCACTTAAATAATTTTATATAAATTTCTTTATTGTTTTAGAAAATAAATTAAATGTTCCGTTATCATCACAACTGAAAAAAAATTGTATTTTTTTCACTATATGAATAGTAATAATTTTAATATCTATTTTTGATATATATATAACTAGACTCATTGTACAATAATGATCTCAGAATACATATTTATTTTTTCCTATTAGAAAGTACAAATAAAATTAAAACAAAAGAAATTGAGATAAGCTCCATTGCTTGTGCTTGTAACAGTATCTCGACATGGATGATCATCATTTAGAAAATCGAAGCAAACATCTTGCGATAAATATACTGATACCCACATTTTAGGAAAATAAAGCGTTATTTTTTATATCTTAATTATAAAATAATTTAAATAAAATTTATTTAAACGTTCACCCAATAAATTGACTATAAAATAATGTTAGGCAAATGCTTACATAGGATTTTAAATAAACTTTATTAACTTTGAGTTAAGTATAAACAACCCATAATTTCTAGATTAACTGCACTACTCTTAACTAGTTAAAATTTCATTATAAATAACAAATTATATTATAATTATAATACCATAATAATAATAATAATAATAATCATTATTATTATTATTATTATTGTTGTTGTTATTATTATGCAGTTTTTTATATTTTATAAATGAATTATAATTAAATCCCTTTATCATGTCAAACTTTTACATTATTGAATACTTAAATGATAGAAATTAAAAATAACATTTAAAATAATATAAAAGATTGAATTATAAAATAAATTATATTTTCATATCTTCAAAATGATAACGATTGTGTTAAAATGGTCATAATAAAAAAACTTTAAGATCGTGAATTATAATTAATAAGATAGAATAAAATATTTTGTAAAACTTTTTAATTATTAAATAATAAAAATTGACATATTATTGATTTAATTACTAATAATTCATGTGAATAAGTTTTTGTTCATTTATTATTACAATAAATTTAAAATAATTCTTGTTATTTTGCAGATATAAAATTATACATTATTTTATTTTTATACTCTTATATTAATTTAGTAATATCTTAAAACTTATATTGTTTCAGTATTTTAATAATTTCAATTTTTTTATCATGGAGAAATTTAACTGTAATGTATTTTTCAAAGAGAAGGGAGTTTATGTTGTTTAAGAATTAAAAGAATATTTGCTTAATGATTTAAAATCCGTAAGAATATTGGTGTCAATTTTAAACAAAAATAAATGTTTTAGTATTTGAATTTAGCATTTTATAAAATAAAAAAAATTTGTGAATTAAAAATAGAGAGATTTTTTTTGTAAAAAAATGCATGATAAAAGGAGGGTATAAGTTACTATATAATGAATTTTAATATTATTATGCTTATTACCCTACAACTTTGCTGCCACAACTCATAAATCTCATCTAAATTAAAAAGAATTAAATTTATGTTAAAATTAAAAGCCTTAATTTTTTGTTTTCTCCTTCTTATGTGAATCCTTATAAAGATAGAAAATGAAGATAATTTCTCTCCTATTTGAACATGACTATTGTCCAATGTTGTATTGAAATCATTCTTTAAGTTTGTTGACCGAGTAAAATTGCTAGTCATTTAGTAGCTTCATCTTTTTTTTTTTTTATAGGCAAAACAAATCTTATTAAAAAGAGTTCAAGGGGAACTCAAAACCCATATATACAAAAAATTACTTACTCAGAGAAATAAAAAGCAAAAATATACTTATGCAAAATTAAGACAGATGCAATTTCGTGAGTTCAAATATCAATCAGCTAACATAATAGCTTCTCCCTTACTAACAAGTGATAACCATTTTCAAGATCTCAGAATAATAGAATTTAGGACTTTCCTCTCATCCAAAACATCATTGGAAAATATAATTCTATTTCTATGCAACCACAAAGACCACACTGTACTTAACCAAATAATTAATAAGCATATTCCTTCTCTTTTACTACAGCCAACACCAACCCAAGAAAGCAAGTGAGTCGATAAATCTGAAGGCAAAACCAGTGAGAATCCAAGCCAACGCGCAGTAAAGTACCAGATTTGAGATGAAACTGAGCACGTTAAAAATAAATGAGTTGGAAGTTCCTCCAAACCATGACAGAAACAACAAGTTATATCATCAATTTGAACACCACGATCAATCAGTAAACCTTTACAAGGAAGTGCATTCAACAACAATTGCCAAGAAAAAAAACCAAACACTTAAGAGGGACCTTCCCTCTCCATAGCCTTTGCAAGGCATCTGCCGTACACTGATCTACACTATTAGGACCACCAAAAAGTTCAAATAGCCATGAATACGCAGATTGCACTGAATAACAACCTGAAGAATCTACCCTCCATACTCATTTATTTTCTTGTAGTAACTTAATAGAAACTCCATCCACAAGCTCCAACAAAAGATTAAAGCTCGAGATCTCATGTTGAAAGAGTCCTCTTCGCCAACTAACATTCCAAACCCATCTAGTGCCATCATGAAAACCATTCTCCAATACACGTGATTCAGCATTTCTCGCCACTGCAAATAATCGCGGAAATGCTTCACACAATCGCACCCCTCCTACCCACTTATCTCTCCAAAAAAGAGTGTGTAAACCTGCACCCACACTTCTATCAAACTTCTCATCCAGCCATGAATTCCCTTGATGAATAACCTCCAGCAAATCACGCCACCACAAAGAACATCTGTTGTGAACTGATGAACGTTGAAGAGAAGAAGCTAATCTTTCATATCTAGATTCTAACACCCGCACCCACAATGAACTATAACAGTTAACACCTCGCCACAACCATTTACCAAGAAGCGCCCAATTAAACCACTGCACATTCCTAATGCCCAAGCCACCATTCTTCCGCGGTCTACATATAGTTTTCCATTTCACCCAGGGGATTTTAGATCCATCCTTAACACCCTTCCATAAAAAATTTCGTTGGATAGTGACAATTTCCTTTATTACCGACTTCAGCACCTTAAAAAAGGATAACGAGTGCAATGACATAGAATTAAGAACGGCATTAATCAAAGTCACCCTACCTCCAATCGATAAATACCTATGCTTCCATGACGCTAACCGCTTTTTAAGAGCCTCTAACACACCCTTCCATGCACTAGGCTTTCTCGGGTTAACACCTAACTGTAACCCGAGATACTTTAATGGGAAACTACCAATCTTACAATGTAGGAACTCCGCAGCCAAGTTTTCAAAGTCATCACCAGTGTTAATCCCCAATACAAAAGATTTATGGAAGTTAATTTTCATACCTGACATTAATTCAAAGCTACGCAATACTGCTTTCAAAGTCCACAAATTCTGCACCGAAGCCTCTCCCATAATCAATGTGTCATCCGCAAACTGCAGCAAAGAAATATCTGGTCCCCCTTCCCCAATCGTCACACCAGAGAACAACCCACAAGTCACTGCCTTCCGCATAAGAACTCCCAACCCTTCCGCTGCCACAAGAAAAAGAAAAGGGGCAAGAGGATCCCCTGTTTTAGGCCCCGCTTAATATGAATCTCCAATATAGGACAACCATTAATCAAAGCTGATAGGCTTCCCCCCACACACAAGCTTCCATCCAACTGACCCATTTGTCTGAAAATCCAAAGCTACGTAACATAAACAAAAGATATCCCCACTCTATTGAATCATACGCCTTCTCATAATCAAGCTTTAACACAAAACACCTCTTAGTAGCTTCATCTTTGTAACATGAAAGAGCATTTTTGTTTAGTTAAAGAATGTGTAATGAGTCAAAAGTATGTAAATAAAAATATTTATGTATAAGGTACGAACACTACCTGTAAAAATATAGATTTTAAGATAAATATTTTTTAAAACACAATTATAAAGATAAATATTATAGTATGGCAGTGCCATACTTAAACTCAAACAGTGTTATATATAATCTTTGGGAGGATAATGTAATATAATTTTTGGGAAAATTAAATTAAATTAATTCAAAATAAAAAGAATCCTTTATTTTGGAGAGATCTTTAAAATGTGATTAATTAACAACTAAAATTGAAATAAATTTGAAAAAGTAAGCTTAAAAATGAAAGAAAATGACACAAAGAAACTTAAGAAAAAGGAATATGATATTGGCAATGATAATCCCATCCACAAAGTGGACAATCATATTATAATTAATGACGTTTGCATGATACATTTCTTTCATAACTATGAATGACGCAATAAATACTTTTTTTTTCTTCAGAATAATTCTATTTTGACCATCAAGAAGCTGAAAAATAGATGGGAGGGTTGATTCTCGTAGTCTTAGATATATAATTTCACAAGTCAAGTCTAATCTTTGTCGTTTCTTCTATTTTCATTTGTATAAATAATTCAAATATTGCTGTTCACATCAAGAAAATGTGGCTGTTGATGTTATATATGTTAGTTTTTCCAACGTGCAAGACGGACAAGTCATTCAAATATAAAGTTCAAAGTTAGGGTTTTTAAGTCTCATAGAATGAAAATATATACCATTTTCCTCCTAATACATTGGCCATTCAAAACCTTGTAACAAGGTATTACTAACATTTCATTTTTATATTATTCAAAACCTTGAATTAATACATAATTTGGTAAAAGTGGTTTTTATTTAATAAGACTCACATAAGTTTTTATCAATAATAAAAAAAATATTTTTAAAAACATGCGTTGGAAAGTATTACTAATATTTTTCTTAACATAAACCAAGTTATAAAGTGTTAACTTTTTTTAGTATTGACCTTTTTTTTATATATAGATTCTCTGCAGTTTTAACAAAAATTGCATTTTATAGTTTAAATTTATTTAAATGAATGTGATAAAAAGTAATTTTTTTACTTAAGTTAAAAAAAATTTCTTAAGATAAAATTGTAAAAAAATGTATAATTTCATCGTATTCTTATTCAAACTACAGAAAATTTAAGAAATATTTATTTTTTATCAATTGCTATTTAGTTACCAAAGATCCTTACATATATCATCTTACTAAATATTCTAAATATATTGTTTAGTGTGCTATTTATACTAAACATAAGTGTGATAAAACCATTTGAAAGTGAGTTAAATTATTGAAAATGATGATAATAATTACAAGAACGATGATTTTAAAAAATTGATTAAGAAATAGTTGCAGTATTACATATTTTTAAATTATTAAGTTTTTGTGGCTTAATCATAAAATGTAATCACATGATTTTACACAAATGTTTCTCTAATTTTTTGTAATTTAGAGAGAGAAAAATAAATTTTTTTATAATTTTGTTTTAAGCGAATGTTTTTAACTTAAATTTTTTTTTTCCTAAATTTGCTTTAAGTTAAAGTAAATTTAAACTCCAGACTCTAAAATCCTCTTTATCAGTGTAGTCCATTTGCAGTGATCGTTGCACATATACTAATGGAACATTGCAGTTTTGTTGATTCAGGATTCCATGCACAGTGAATATACTTTAAATTGTGAACTACCTGACTCAAATTATTTGTTTGCTCGTAAAATATCATTCGTTTGAGAAGTTGTTTTTATTGTTAGAAAAGTTAAAATTACAATTATCTATTAAAATAAAAGAAAATTATAATTGTAACTAAATTAAAATAACTTTTAATTTTTGTAAAAAAATTAAAAAAATAATTTATTTTTATATATTTTTTAAAATTTCTTTTTTTCAAAAGCTGAAATAAATCACCATAGTCCAAGTTTACAGTAAATAATGTAAATACTTTCTTGGTTTAATTGTTTACTTTGGGAGCTGCAATGGCAATTCTAATTCTTGTGTTTTATTAAAAAAGAACAAGGGAATAAGACAAGAAAAAAAAATTGAGCAGTACACTACCTGGTTGTAAAAGAGGACTAAAAGGAATGACGAATGATACCTCTAAAAAATAATTATAATTTATTTTTTAAGATCAAATTGAACGATTCTCTATCTCTGGGAGACTACTTTAAGGTTTTAATCAATTTAGTTATGTTACAGATAGGTGAATGTGACATTTATTACTTCTTTGTCATTATATATGATTTTAAATATATTTTTTATTCGTCTTAATTTATTTATTATCTTAAAATATTAAAAAATATTATTGTTATTCAAGAATATCCTTATTTGTTAGGGATAATTTTTATTAATTAATCACTAAAATAACTCTAAAACTAGTTATCACTTAATTATTACAACAACTTCAACACTAAGTTTTTACAAAAATATTTTAATAAAATAGGAGTTAATAAAACTAATAATTTACCAAATAAAGCTGCCTCAGATTAGAATTAGTCAAGTCATAAATTAGCCATCAAGATCTATAAAAGGGAGATAAAAAACACATTCAACCATAAACCATTTGCTACTTGTTATAGAGTTGTCTCATAATCAATCCCAATGAGTTTAATCTTACGGCTTTTCTTGCTAGCCTTCTGCCACATAAACTTGAGCCTCAATGTCATTTTGGTGACTGGCCATCAACAATCATTGTTACTCCAGCTGAAGAACAATCTCATATTCAATTCAACCAAGTCTAACAAACTAATATATTGGAACCAAAGTGATGATTGTTGTGAATGGAATGGAGTATCATGCAATAAGGGACGCATTGTAGCTCTTGACCTGAGCCAAGAATCTATTTCTGGAAGTAGAGAAAATTTGAGCAGTGTCTTCAACTTGCAACATCTAGAGAGTTTAAATCTGGCCTATAATGAATTCCATTCTGGTATTTATGTAGGGTTTCAAAAGCTAAAGAATTTGAGGTATTTAAATTTGTCAAATGCTGGCTTTGAAGGACAAATTCCTATTGAGATTTCTTACTTGACAAAGTTGACAACTCTTGATTTGTCTAGCACAGTTACCTCACAACATGCTCTAAAGCTTGAGAGGCCAAATATTGCAATGCTTGTGCAGAACCTCACAGAAATCAAAGAACTATATATAGATGGCATAGCAATATCAATCAAGGGAAAGGAGTGGAGCTATGCTTTATCTTCACTTAAAAACTTACAAGTTTTAAGTATGTCATCTTGCAATATCTCTGGTCCTTTAGATTCATCATTGGCAAAACTTCAATCTCTTTCAAAACTTAGATTGAACCACAACATCATAGCAAGCCCAGTGCCATGGTCTTTTGGGAATTTGTCTAATTTGACCACCTTGCAACTCAGTGCCTGTGAGTTGAGTGGAACCTTTCCAAAAAGTATATTCCAAATATCATCACTAAAGGTGCTTGATGTGTCAAATAATCCAAGTCTTCATGGTTCTCTACCAAACTTCCCATCTCAAGTATCTCTCCACAACCTCAACCTTAGTCACACAAATTTTTCAGGACCTTTGCCAGATTCTATTCACAATTTGAAGCAATTGTCTAAATTAGATATATCAAATTGCCAATTTAGAGGGACACTTCCTTACTCAATGTCAAATCTTACCCAACTTGTTCATCTAGACTTGTCATACAATAACTTCACTGGTCCTATTCCATCTTTCAATAGGTCCAAGTCCCTTGCAATTTTATCCCTTAATCATAATAATTTTAAGGGTGCAATTCCATCTAGCTATTTTGAGGGCCTTAAAAATCTCATAAGCATTGATTTAGGAGATAACTCCTTTGATGGAAGTGTCCCCTCATCTTTATTTAGACTTCAATCTCTTCAATATCTCATGCTTTTTTACAACAAATTTGATGGCATGCTGGAAGAATTTCCAAATGCTTCTTCATCATTATTAGAGATTGTTGATTTAAGTGGCAACAATTTTGAAGGGCCTATTCCGATGTCTATCTTTCAACTCAAAAGTCTTCGTTTGCTTCAACTTTCTGAAAACAAGTTCAATGGCACTATAGAGCTTGGTATGATTGGGAGGTTGCAAAATTTGACTTCACTTGATCTTGCACACAATAACTTATTAGTTGATGCAAACATTAGGGATGACCATGATGCACCATCCTTTCCCAATTTGAAAACTCTCTGGTTGGCTTCATGCAATTTGAGTGCATTCCCTGAATTTTTGAGAAATAAATCTGAACTACTATACCTAGACTTATCCAGCAACCAAATTGAAGGAACAATACCCAATTGGATTTGGAAATTTAATTATATGGTTGTCTTGAATCTTTCCTACAACTTTTTAACAGATTTTGAAGGGCCTTTCCAAAACCTTGGTTCAAATTTGCTAAAACTTGACCTTCATTCAAACCTTCTCCAAGGCCCTGCTCCTACTTTTTTGAAAAATGCCATTTATTTAGACTACTCAAGCAATAGATTCAGCTCTATTAGTTCAAAAGACATTGGCAGTCGCATTCCTTTCATATATTTTCTCTCTCTTTCAAACAACAGTTTTGGTGGAAGAATCCATGAATCGTTTTGCAATATTTCAGATCTTCGAGCACTTGATCTTTCCAATAATAGATTCAATGGTCCAATTCCTATGTGTTTAACAAGACGAAGTAGCACTCTAAGGCTACTAAATCTTGGTGGAAATGAGCTCACTGATCACATTTCAGATACATTCACAACTTCATGTTCTCTAAGGGTTTTGGATCTCAGTGGAAATCTTTTGAAGGGAACCATCCCAAAATCCTTGGCTAACTGCCAAAAACTACAAGTGCTAAACCTTGGAAATAATCAATTAGTTGACAGATTTCCTTGCTTCTTGAATAGCATCTCTTCCCTCAGAGTCATGATTTTAAGGTCAAACAATTTACATGGGCATCTTGGATGTCCCAATAACATTGGAAATTGGGATACACTTCAAATTGTTGATCTAGCCTCTAACAATTTCAACGGTATATTACCAACAACACTCTTACAAAGCTGGAAAGGATTGATGCATGCTGAAAATGAAGGTGAACAATCTGGTCATTTATTTTTTAATCTCTATGATGACTTTAATCCTTTGAATTTTAAGACTGCAATAGTAGATCTCAACAGTGAGCTTCAAATGAAATTAGCTAAAATTACAGCAACAGAACCACCCTTTATAATTGACCTCATAGTTTCTCATATCTTTGAAGAGGGTGTTGGTATTAGAAATTATGAGGATTCAGTTACAATTGTCAACAAAGGTCAACAGCTAAATTTTGCTAAAATCCTCATCGCTTTCACTTCCTTAGACTTTTCATCCAACAACTTTGAAGGGCCAATACCACCAGAGCTTATGAAACTCACAGCACTGCATGCTCTTAACTTGTCACAAAATGCTTTCTCAGGTAGCATCCCTTCTTCTTTAGGCAATCTAAAACATCTTGAGTCCTTAGACCTCTCAAACAACTCTTTAAGTGGAAACATTCCTATAGAGCTTGCAAGCTTATCTTTTCTTTCAGTCATGAACCTCTCCTACAATCATTTGGTGGGAAAAATACCTTCAGGAACACAAATTCAGACATTTGAATCAAATTCATTTATGGGCAATGAAGGGTTATATGGGCCCCCTTTGACCCAAAATTATAGTGGTGAAGGAGATCAAGGGTTGTCACCAGCAGCATCTCATACAGGGACTTCAATCAATTGGAATTTCTTAAGTGCAGAATTAGGATTTACTTTTGGCTTTGGAATTCTCATCGTACCCCTTATTTTCTGGAAGAGGTGGAGAACATGGTATTCCAAGCATGTAGATGAACTCCTTTGCAACATCATTCCTCAACTTGATTTTGTTTATGAACATCGTGGGGAAACAAAATATAGAATTTTAAAGTGGAAGCCTTATTGATTGTAATTGGCACTCTTATTTTTGTATTTGGCATTTTTTAAAATCTCTCTTTTACAGTCAAAGTGAAATAAGGATATGAGATTTAATCCATAACATAGGTTGAACCAAGTGATAAGATGTAACATCAAAGACTTGTCTAAATTTTTTAAGCTTTTTATTTTTTGAGCAATATTGAGTGGCTAGAAGGGCACGTCTACATGGCTGTGCAAGTGTCACCGTTAGAACAGACAATGCAAGGCTATAGTAAAAATAAAGTGGCATTTGGTTTATGAAAATAAAATAGAATGTATAATTTTTAATAAATTTTAATTAATAAAATATATATTTTTAAAAAGTACGTTATAAAGTGTTTTACTAACATTTTCACATCTACAATATCCTAGGCTTCCTTGAGTTATTTTTACTCAAAATTCTAGAAAAGACAGGTTTGGTAACTTTCCTTTAAATATTGGGCATATAATAGAATGCCTTAGCCTCTGCTAGAGCTGTCAAAAAGCCCAATTGGCTAGGGCCAAAACGCCCAATAAATCAAAAGCCCTATGGGCTAAAAAGCCCACTGGGCTAGGGTTACATTTTAATCCTCTGCTTTGAGCCAACCTACCATGGCTTGTGTTCATTTTCCCAAAACCTTACAATTATTCTATTACAATAATAAAATGCACGCCACTGTGGGCTATGGCAGGCAAGGACGGATCCAGGAGTCGAATATATAAATAAAATTCGTGTAGTTAAAATATATTTGAGTTCTTTGAGTATATTGATAATGAAAGAAATTACATTTACTTTGTTTATATATTTATAACTAGAGATATCTTTAATACATATTAAAAATATAATACATACATTAAAGTTTATTTATTTTCAATCTCTCCTTTCACTTACTGGGTAAAGGAAATTTTTATAAAAAATTAATTAAACTTTGATTTAGATTAAAAACTCTGCCATAATAATATGGCAAATGGTTTTGTAGACTATGGCAAAAGCATCAAAGCTATGATAAAAAACTATATACATACGAAATTTACAAGTTATTACGTGGCATGCACTGTTTTTTCCTATAGTTATTGATATATGACATATGGTCCGAGAATTTGAACTTTTTTTATTAAAACTAGAATATGATTAGAAATATGAAATGTGAATTTCATATTCATAAAGCAAAACAAAGAGAAAGAGAAGGAAAGGAATAATACTCATGTGAAGTGACAGAGATTGTTTGCTTCCTTTAAAACAAAAAAAACAAAAGAAAAACAAAACTACTATTTCTGCCATGGATGTTGTTAATGCCATGGCCACTGCACAAATAACAGTCACTATGCCATGCTCCTTCCATGGCATTGCCATAGCTGCTTTTTGTACAGCATTGTTCATATGACAACCCAAAAAAGAAAGTTGAGCTTAAAAAAATTATGGTACAGGTATCTAACAGGTGGCAAAGAGGGCCAGCTCAGTCCACTTTTAAAAATGGGCTAAGAATCGTAGCCAGGATTGATTAAGAGTGGGCCAACCTGACAATGATTGAAAAAATTTAAAATGTAAAGTGGATTTGGAAGTTGGTAGATGAGCAAGTTGGTTCGTGGAAAATTAATAAAAACTTATAATTTGAATGGAAAATAGAAAATTATTTACCTGCAAAAATTAATGTTCTCCATTGCATGACATTTAATTTGTTAAAAGCATTACATAAGTAATGACCAGCTAGTCACTTTGGAGAAATCTTGTTATTTTGAATATAAGGTATCTTTCTTGTCCACTTGTGCTTTTCTATGTTTTCGAAAATCTAAGATATCACCTCATATGAACTCACACAAACTAATTATGGCAAAAGAGAAAAAAAATGACCAATATTGATTTTAGATTTATACTTTATCCTCGTTTGTTATGAAGTTCAAGAAAAGGGTACTCCACATTATTGTCTAGATGATGCATGTGCAGCTCTTGTTCTTGTAAAGATTAAACATGGTGTCAATATAGAATTTTTAATTTCATTATTTCAAGAAAATGTAAGTTGGCACATACATCTACTACATTGTAATTGTACTTGTGGTGGTTAGTAATTGAGGGGCATTGCTATCATTGTTCTCTGATTTTAGATTCAGAAACTGAGATGATAAAGCTACTCAACAAGATACCAAACACTATAAACAGTGAAATCTGCATAATATTGTTCCTAAAGACTTTAAAATAGAACTGAAGGGAGAATATATTCTATCAATGTCTCAATATTTTGATGAGGAGGATAATTATTAGAATAACATGAAATTTAAAGATATTATTTCTTTTTATTAAAATACATAATTATTATTTGAAAAGTAAAAAAGTATAATAAAATTTTATTATCATTAACTTTTAAAATTCAGCGCTAAGAATTGAACTTAATATTTTATATAGACATGAATTTTCTTAAAATAATAATAAAACAAAACTCACAAGATTTTGAATGTCGATACAAGTATTGACTAAGTCCAATTGCATGTCTACACAAACAAAATAATTAATTACATGAGTGGAGGTACTTTTTTATTTTCATTTTTACCAAAAATTGTACTTTTTATATTTTAATAAAAAAATTGCCTTTTTGAGTTTTGACTAACACGTATTCCCAAGTTGTGAACTGCGTAGTGTGAAAAGCTCCCCTATTTGGGCCTCGTCGATGTTCAATTGTGGCTGCTACACGTGTCAATTATATTATTATTATTATTATTGCAGCTATATTTCAGAACTTACCAGGAAACCACTTCAAGTTTATTCTTTTAAAAAATATATTATTATTATTATTTGTGCCAAAATCTAGACATAACATGGGCAACGAATTTCTTTTTTTTAGTAAAATAATTTATGTGATTTTTATTATTTAGTTACGAAAATAACTTTGGATAATTATAATTTTAAATTTTTTAATTAATTTTGAACTCATCATTTTTATTTAAAAAATAAATATTTTATAAAAATTATTGCATAAATAGTGTAATAATTAATATAAATAGTACAATGTTAAAGAAGATGATAAATATTTTTCTTATCACAATATTAAAAATAAAATTTACAAAAATAAGTTATAAATGTAACGCTGTAAATTATTAAAAATAAGTTGATTTATCAAACACCTTTATTTTGATCAAGGAAGTTAATAAATTGATTAAATAAATTTTAAACTAGTTAAAACAAGTTGTCAAACACATTCTTAATTCTCATAAAACATGCAAGGACGTGATAAAATGTTAAACCGAGGAAGAAACAAGCTACATTGACTAGACATAACTTCAACATTAGAGATTCAATTTAGGGATAAAGTATCTACATTTTCAAATTTTTATTTCATACGCATTCCTTACACTTTTTCCCTTTAGGAATAAAAATATTCAAACTAGTTTCACTCATTTAACTCTACTGCTCAAGTAGAGAAACACGTAATAAACAAATAAAAATAAACACTCTATTCAAAATTGAAAATATCAATATTACAATGAGGAACAGAAAATGATAAACAGGGAAAATGACAGGGCCATGAGAAATCAAGAATCATGTTCATGACTTTGGAGCCTTTCAGCAACTTGACTCATGCTGGGTCTCACATCCTTCTCTTCCTCCACACATTCCAAAGCCACTGTTGCCAATATCTCCAATTGGTTCACATCATAATTTGATCCCAAAGAAGGGTCAACAATTTGTTTCACCCATGATGCAACTTGTGATGCTTTCCTCCTCTTTTCCCTCACCCATGTTGACAACCTCTCATGATGTGACTCTGCTCCTAATTCAGTTATTTGGACACCTGTTGTTGGGCTCCTTCCAGTTATCATCTCCAACACAACAATTCCATAGCTAAAAACATCCACTTTGGAAGTGATTTGCATGTTGAAAACCCATTCCGGTGCCATGTAACCTCGTGTTCCTCTTATCCTTGAAAAACTCGAATGGTTGAGGGTGTTTCTATCTAATGGCTTAGACAAGCCAAAATCAGCTACCTTAGGTTGATAATCAGTGTCAAGAAGTATGTTCTGTGGCTTTATGTCACAATGCAAAATCCACTCCAAGCATTCTTCATGTAAATAGGCCAAACCCCTTGCCATTCCTAGAGCAATGTTATACCTCTTACTCCAATCAAGTCCATTTGATGAAAGATTTTGAGCTAAACTACCATTTTCCATGTACTCATAGACCAACAACCTATGCTTACCCTCAGCACAATACCCCCACATGCCAATTAAGTTCATGTGGTTAAGCCTACCAATAATGCTTACTTCAGCAAGAAACTCACTTTCACCTTGGTTTGCAAATTCATGTAGTCTCTTTATTGCAGCAACTCTATGATCTGATAACACACCCTTATATACAATTCCTCCAGCACCCCTTCCAATCTCTAGACTGAAACCTTTAGTGGCTTGTTTAAGCTCAGAGTAACTGAATCTCCGAAACCCGGTTGCTGCTGCAAGAACATAACCTTGTTTATCTGCACTATGTTCGTTGTTCCTAAATAAGAAACACCACACCAAAAAGATGCACATTATTTCAACCACTCCTAACCCAACCGCAAACCAAAGCATGAACTTCACAGAGCCATTTTCTTTGCCTTTGACATATGGTCTTTCTAGTTGTTTTGCCACACCATTTCTCTCACAAGCCAAGCCATTGTTAACATCAACGGGGTTCCCATGAGCATAGCTTTTCGGCAACCGCAAGAAGATTGTTCCTGAGAAACCCGGTGAGTGATGCCCATTTAGCAACTGTGTCTTTGGGTAACACCAAAAAAGGCCATTCTCAAGACCAAAGGTGTACTGAAATCCCATGCACTCGCACAATTGCAAGCACAAACTCTCACATTGTTTATAAGTGTAATTCGAAAAAGATGATCCATAGTCATATCCATAAAAATCAACTTCATCTAAGGGTAGAAAACCATACTCAGTTTTGTTGTCACATGAAGGTTGGAAATTGGGTTTGCAACCTAGAGACCAATCTTGATCATCAACCCAACTATACCCTTGAAGACATAAACACTTTCTACCACTTTTTTGGTCATAAACGCAAATACTATTGGGTCCACAAATCCCATGAATGAAACAAGGTTGTGACTTAAATTGTCCAGATATTGACCAATTCTCCTGTCCATCATTTCGACTATACAAACGAACATTACCATCATGATCAAGGGTGAGTCTTCGTTGAAGCAATTTCCCATAATCAATTGTCTTGTAACTGAAATGATCAGAAGAACTGAATTGTCCATAAGTATCAAGCACTGCAACCCTGCTACTGTTGTAAGTGGATCTACCGTTACCACTACCAACGTTGTTGCTTACAAGCCAAGGATCTGGCCAGTAAACACTTGAAACTTGAGGGCCTTCGTAGAGAAGACGGAAAACGTTGTCATTGTCGAAGAAGAGGTTGTAAAAACCAGAGGAATAGTTGCTCTCACTTCTTGAGGAAACAAGCTTCGTAAACCTGCCCGGAGTATTATCAAGTAGTTCAGGTGGTTGAACAAAATTTAGACACAGCATTTAATGTTAGTGTGAATTTTCAATTAAATTAGTGTCACTTTAATATCAATCTTTGCCAAAATCAAACCTCAACTAGAATATTTAATCAAGGCACTGCATTTAATATTTATTTCCTAAAAATACATTTTAAAAAGTAAAATAACTACTAATTTTGTTTTTTCAAAACACATGTATGTACATTGAGTATAAGTCAATCTAATTTTGAAATAATCAAAATGTTATTATAATATCCCAATTATCAGCTTCCTATTATTTAAGTTCTTAAATTTATATAAAAAAAAACTTAAATTTGTTTGATAATATAAACTTATAACATATTTAAGAGTTTATATTTTTCTTATGAATAAGTTAGCAGAGAACTGGGTGTAAACGATAGCTAAAAGAAATTATCCTTTTAAAAGTTATTTTTAAGAAATTACTAAAAAAATAACGTTGAATTCATTAGAAACTAGCTTCCAATATTTTTTCAAAATTTTGTAGCATTAATATTCTAAATAATTTAAACTCATACCAATTTTTCTTATTTAAAACATTTACAACAAATTTTATTAAAAGCTCTAATTTAATCATAAGCTTTATAGTTAACTGATAGTATAAACGATGGGTTACAAATGGACCCTAAAAATGAAATTACTGAATGATTTGAGTAATAAAATGAAAAGTTGATAGCGGATAGTAAGCTTCATACCTAGTGAGAGGTTGACCAGGAAGGAGCGTATCGGTGGGGAAATCGAAGCTTTGCCACAGAACGGAGCTTTGATTGTTCTGTTGTCGGAGGACGAGGTTGCCGGTGTCGAACAAATGCAACTCAAGAGGTTCGGCAGAAAGAGTGTTGATGGACCAAACGTTGGACTGCCCTGCGTCGGTTAATTCGAGGTTGCCGGTCTTGAGAAGAGAAAGTGTTGACCGTTTTCCGTTTACCGGTTGGTCACGGTTGGCCATCCAAACCACGGTTGTACGAGGTGGTTTGGTGAACCATATGGCGAAGCAGTAAGCATTTTCACCTACGGGAGTGAACCCTGCAGTGAACGTTCCCTTCGGTGATGAGACTATGATGTCTTTTTCCAGATTCTCGACGGAGAGTGAGAATGCCGATGAAGGTTCCAAATGGAAAAGCAAAAGAAGAAACGGTAGGAAGATGATTGAAGAACCCATTTTCCCATACCCCTCTCGTTTCCCTTGTCGGCTAAATATAGCATCCTATTTCTTAATAAGAAAAGAGCCACTCGATTTTTTTTATTAAAAATCTTTGACTTATTTGTTTCCTTCACACTTAAAGATACTTTTTGAATTTTTTTTAAACACACTGTTTTTAATACCTGTTTATTTGTTAAAATTATCAAAATATGAGTAAAAATATTAAATTAAAAATGAAATTTATATAACTTATATAATTTTTAATTAATAATATATAGTTATCACGTGATAATGACACATGAGGGTTCCGTAACCTTTTCTTTGGTGCTTGGAAATTGCGGATGCCGTGAATGAGTCAGATTCAGATTTCAAATTTCAAAAGCAAAATTGTTTTAGAATTTTGTTATATTTGAAATAAATTCTTTTTTATTTTTACTTTCTTTTACATTATTCATCTTAATTTTAAATATAAAATATATTTAATAATTTTTATAAAAATAAAAATATTTAATTCAGATCCTTGACCTCACCTTAAGGATTGTGCACATTACTTGAAGCAGAGAAGGAACGGGAAAAAGAGTCTTAATAGTTATCTTTTATGTACATAAAAATTTATTATTATTATTATTACCAAAGACTTAAGTTGAATTAAAGATTGGGATTAAAAATTTGTAAATACAAAATATAAAATAATTTAAAAATTGAAGTTTAAAAATTGAAACTGTTCTGATTATTTAAAAATGCTGTCAATTCCTTTTATCTAAATATCCCAGAATGAACGTATTAAAGAAGCAAATTCTGAAGAAGGATGAACGGGGACAGGTGATTAATAAGACAGTGGGTTCCAATACCACAAACTTCCAACCTCTACTTTCATAAATGTAATGTTAGGGGGATTTTGATGGCTAAATGATTTACATAATATTTTTTAAAAAGTAATTATTAAAATAAATTAAAAATTAAACTAATTTATTTTAAGATAAATTTTTGTCACGTAAGTATATATTTTATATTTGACCTAAGTAAAATTAATTTTTTATTTTTAATTTATTTAAATCGTCTGAAATATAGACAAGAAAATTGTAAAATTGGATACATGTTTTATATAAGAATGAGGCCAAAAAATTTAAATTAAATTTTCTCACCTCCCGACACATGACTCAATCAACATGTTTCGTCACTGAGTAGGACGAAATCATCTTTGCATTTGAGTCAAAAACGAAACACTGTGATTGAATCACGTGTGACGAAAGCAACGGTAACTGCGTCTCCCTCTTCCTTCTCCCCTCTGTCATTGAAACTAAACTGCCATTGTTGTTGTTCTAAACTTTTACAGGATTTTTTTTTTGCCGTTTCAGAGTGATTTTTGAGTGAGATTCAGATCCCTTGTACAAAAGTGTCCAGATCGGCTTGAGATTATAATGAGTGAAGGTGTTGTTAGACTGAAACTTTGAGAACATTGGAAGAACTAGTAACCTACTTAATCATCACCTTACAGAGAAGAGGAACTGCTCACCAGAGAGATGTCGTCGTCCATACAGCTGTTGTCGTTGGGAACCGTCTGTCGTTAGAAATCGCCACCTCCACCAAAAATCTACCATCCAGATTTTTCAATTTGTTTAATAAATTTATTTTTTTATATTTATTATAATGGTAAAAGGTAGATTAAAAATTAAAGTTTTATAACTAAAATTATAAAATTTTATTGATTATAATATTTTTTTATAATAATAATTAGATTAAAAATTAAATTAAAATAATTTTAGTAAATTTGTAGAAATATAAAAAAACCAGAATTTATATAATTAAAATTTGATAGTAATATTAAGATTAAAATTAGAGTTTGCATTTAGAATTATTATAGTAATTTGAAGTGTAAATTTATAAAATTGTAAACAATAATTAAAATGATTAAATAAAATAATAAAGAGTTAAATAAAATTCTGAATAGAAAAATAGAAAATAGTTGTATCAAATTGGTTGATTAATTATATAAGAAATGATAATTAGAAAATAGTGTATAAAAATAATAACATAATATCTATTTTTTATATTAAATAACATTTAAAAATATAAAAAGATATATTGATTTATGATTAACGAACAGATAACTACCAAAAAAAAAAGTTATATGTAAAATTAAAAGCATTAAAATTGACCATACTAATCTATATTAAAATTATATTAGCAAAAATTTGAGTTTATAAAATAATTGAAAGAAAAAATTTAATTAATATTGGTTAATTATGATGAAATAATAAATTTATTTATGTAATTTAAATTATTGGAGTGATATTAATTAATTTAGAATAAATAATTATAATTATATCATTTTATTTATGATGAAATAATAAATATATTTATTGAATTTAAATTTTAGAGTGATACTAATAAGATGAGATTAAGATATTTTAATTAAATAATTTAATTTTTAATGAAATAAAAAAATTAGTTATGCAATATAAATTTTTGGAGTGATACAAATTAGTTGAAATAAATTATTGATTATATAATTTAATTAATGATAACTAATAAAAAATAAAAAAAATAAATTTATTGAACATGTTATATTTTATAATAATAATGAAACTAACACACACACACACACACATATATATATATATATATATATATAATATTTTTTAGATGGCTTCATCTTTAGAACATAATATGATCATCCATCCTGGACCAAAGGATTTTTCATTATTGTGCTTACAGAAGATTCACATGTCTGAACATATTTGGGATGGTGGGGAACATCCTATTTTGAAAGTTAGGAAGAGTCAGTTTATTCCAACTGGTTTGGATAGTATTCCACAGGACATACTTTCACATTTAGAGCTTGCGGGATTTACTGGGATTGCTCACGTATGTCAGTTCCCATTAGACCTCTCGTTGATCACTGCATTAGTAGAGAGATATAGGCCAGGGACACACACTTTTCACTTGCCTCTAGGCGAGTGTACAATCACTTTGCAGGATATATTCGTATTGTTAGGTTTACAGATTAATGGAAGATCTGTGATAGTACTTATTGGAGGTAATTATGCTGATATTGTTGAGAGAGTCAAGGGATTAGACCATCACGTGATGCTTTTGTTGGTAGCTTCCTGAAGATGAGTTGGTCAGACCAACATTTTGCCTATGTGGAGATGCATGCACAAAATGCTTTACAGATCACCTGGTTTGTTAGGGCTTACATATTGCAGTTGATTGGAGGTTTTGGTTGAGTGATCACTCCAGCAGTAGAGTGTCAGTGAGGTACTTACCTCTACTAAAGGATTTCGCTGTTACTGGTAAATATAGTTGGGGGTCTGCAGTATTGGGAGTATTGTATAGAGAGCTGTGTATGACCACTAACATTGATCAATATGGTTTAGGTGGATTAGCTACTTTATTTGTCATGTGGGCATGAGATAGGTTTCCATTTCTAGCTCCCAATAATGCCCCTCACATACGACTCCATCTTCCATATGCTACTAGGTAATATTAAGATACTTTTTGTTAAACTTTTATTAACATACTTTTTGTACTAACTTTATCTTAATTTTTTTTAGCAGGTGATTGGCAAACCAAAGGAATAAAAAAAAGAGGAAGGACATATCTTATTATAGATATAAATTTGATATGCTTAGTCGTGAAGAGGTAAACCTTGATTTGCTAATTAGATATGAAATTATAGTCATATTTCAATTTGTTTATCATTTATGAAAACTAACATTAATATTTGTTCCTTATTTACAGATAATTTGGCAACCATATTCAATTGATTTGATTAATTCGCTACCACCTATATGTCATAAGGGGATGGATTTGTGGAGGGCCATAGTGCCTTTGATATGTTTTCAGGTGTGTGAGTAGCACCAATCAGATTGAGTAATGCATCAATTTGATATGGTTCAACAAATACCTCGTGGCCCATTCCAGCCAGATGCACTACAAGACTTGACACTGCAAGGGAAGACATCATAGAATTGGCAAGAGAAGTTTAGGGATGTCTTAGACATTTAGGAGAAAAGGAGACATTGGGTCATGACTAATGACTCCCAGATTGATCAGTTATGTTCCAACTCTGAGTATATGTAGTGGTGTAGAGCTCATACTAGACGTTGGATGACAAGAGACGCAGTTGTCTCATCATTACTTGTAAGTGTAATTCAACGTACTTATAAGCACGATATTAAGTTTTGTGTTGTTTGTAATGATATTGTTAAACATACAAAAATTTGTTTTGTAGGGTGATGGTCTTGAGAGAGCCCACTATTTGATGACTGATAGTCATGATTCTTTCACCTTTGATAAGATATGAGACTTGTGTCAGTCTATGATAGTGTTGAAGAATGATTTGAATCTCATTATGAAGCCTATTTCTTCATCTGACCCTCCGATATAGAGTGGCAATACTGAGGATCCAGTTATAGATGTTGGTCAACCTAGGGACCGTAAGGAAAGGTAGGGGATTATAGCGTAGACGCACTGAGGTTCAACCGACTGACTGGTCTCTTCCTCTCATACTTGAGCGTCCTGATGGAGTCTTCTACGTTGCATCGCAGTTTCCTTTCCACACACAACAAGTCAGCCCACCTACATATTTCCACTCATCTCAGGCCACCCAACATCTGCCATAGATCCCTCCATCACCATAGAGTGTTATATCTCATGTCCATCACCATTCATCACTCTGCCTCTATATGATCCATTTATTCTAACACCACCACCACTACATCCAGATTTTGTTACTGGGACCTCATATGATACCCCATATAGTCATGGAATTTATTTGAATACTGACTTCGAAGCAACCTTAGATGTTCCACCTCTAGAGGTATGTCATAACCCATACCGTGGAGCTAGAGATCGACCTTGACCCCACATCAACCCAACTAGACACACGAGGATTGACCTTGACAAAACTGAGCCCACTACTTATACATATATCTTATGTAAGATTTTTTATATTTCTATTGTTCCATCATTTGTAACTTGACTAGATGTTCTGTGACATATGGTAATTCATTTAAATGCATACATCATTCGATTTACATTAACTTATGTTATGCAGATTTCTTATAAATAAAATAACATACATAATGAACATATTGCCAAATAAATAAAGAGAACCATGTTGATAATTAATATTATACACCGTACAACTTCATACATAAAGGCCTTTATACTACTCATTAGGCGTTATAGAAGTACATTGACGTATATTGTTACCAATTTGATAACAATTACTACATCTTTGTCTACTTTGTGACTCAACTCAATTCATTTTGTTCTTAATTTGAGTTGATTTTGGTCTTCCTTTACTTCTTATTCTCGTCTCATCAAGAACTAACTTCCACTCATTGCGTGTAAGCACATTACTGTCATTTCCAAAGGGGAACCACTGTGATGAATATGCGTTGATGACATTTTGTACAGAGTAAACATCATCAACATATTGCCAAAAGTCAATATTTATTGATGCACAAGCAGCAATTACATGTGAACATGGAAATTGATATGTCTAAAATCTCTCACGTTCACAGTATCTTCTACACAGAACAACAGTCCATTTGTTACCACTCCTTTGCGTGATAGGATTGAAGGTCTCTTCAACCTCAAATCTTGTTCTTTCTATATCATATCGTCTCACTTGATATGAAGATGCTTCTTCTTGATTTTTCTGCATTTTTAGCAGCAGTTTTAAACAATACCTCTTACCAACGTTCAGGTAATTCAAAGCATTCTTTCCACGCTTCACAAAATATTCAATCATTCATCCATAATTGCATTTGACCAGAGCAGTTATAGGTAAGTTTTTTGCTGCCTTCAAAACCTTGTTAACAGCCTCTCTGACAAATTCGTAGTCATGTGCCCATAACGGCGTTCATTGTCGTCATGACTCAAAGCCCATTTTTTCTTTGATATGTTGTCGATCCACCTCTGTATTTTTTGTGATTCATTACGAAATCTTCTTAACTTCTCTTTGAATACAATCTTCGAAGGTATATATGCTGCAAATAACAATTATTCAACCATTACTTAACAATTAAAATCAATATAAGTTAAGAGGAAACCAAAAAAAGATAGAGTCATATTACCTAATTTTGTCAACTATTTTTTCAAATCAATGTTCTTGAATTTATGATTGAAATTACTTGATATATGACAAATGTAATAAACATGATATGCATTAGGAGGTTGTCATTCAATATATGGGTTTGAAACAATACTTTTGATGCTTTGATGCCTATCAGATATTAAACATAATCCTATCTTTGTTGTTACATACACACAAATCATTGCCAAAAATCATTCTCACGCTGACAAAGTCTCTCCTTTAACAATTGCAAAAGCAAATAGTAGGACACAATTATTCCCATCTTGTGTCGTTGCAATCAACAATGTGTGACGATACTTACCATACAAAAATGTTTTATATATCTTAGCAATAGCTTTACAAAAGTTGAATGCTTCCTTACATTGATGAAAACACCAAAACAATCGATCAAATATTCTAAATCTGTTGTCCTCTTGATCCCTAATAACAAACGGCTTCATTTCAATCTTATAAACAGACTCTAGAGCATAAAATTGGATGTACTCTAACCATCTTTACAATGTAGCATATAATTTATCCTAGTCACCAAAAATTCTTACAATCGCCTTTTGTTTCGCCTTTCATGCCTTCTTGTATGAAATTTTATATCCAAATTGACTTGTCATCCTTTATTAAGTTAAACTTATAGCCAATGATGGTTCAAGATTAACCATACCTACATAACAACGAAACAAAAGAGGTAAGTTCCTTTATTGTCAAAAGGCTTCATGAAATAAGATTTTATTCAAAACTTACCAATGATGCATGAACAAATCAAATCTGAATCTAGCTTGGTATGATCTTGAGATATTGTTGGGTTGAGGCATGTATGCTTACCCTATGCCTTGTTATTTTCCACTTTATTGCATTTTTAAATAATGATGTTCTTATTCTCCATGGACAACCATTGTTATGGTTTAAACACCTCACATACAACTTTGTTGGGTTGACTCAACAACAACATAACTCTGATGTATTTTTCTTGTATGTTGTTTTAAGGAATTTTTAACTTCCTTTGTGGAGTCAAATAATAAACTCACGTGTAATGGATCTCCAATAACCCATGAAATGTCATCACTAATTTTTTTGGCTTCAATTTCTTGGTCTAAATGGTCCCAATTAATATAATTATAGTGTGGACTTATATTCCAAAAAGGTATTTCACCTACTACTACATATAAACAAACATTATTCATCATTTAAAAAAAATAAAGAATTTAATCAATATACTCTATAAATATTACCTCCAACATTTTCTTGTTGTAAATTTAAGTTTAAATCAAATCATCATTTATATCTGTATCCGATGAGCTGTTTAACAGAATATGTCTTTCATCAATATCTCATCATCATCATTATTGACTTCATCTTCATAACTACATAAATCTGCACATCTTTCAAAATAAACACACTTATTTAATATGTGTTGTCATTAAAAATTTATAAAAAAAATAAAATTATAGTATAATTTATACCTTCTATAACATTTATATTCTCCATTTCCATAAGATTAGACGGTGACATTGATAAGCTTAAGTCCAACATATTTGACCCAACTCTTGAACTCTCACTAAATACAATATCTACATATAATTCAATAACAGTTGTAATACTTTGTTGTTGATACACACTAATCATATAATCAATATCTTCATCATCATATATATCCAATGCAGTATATTGTTTAGCCCTTGAACCAACCATAAAATGAGAAATTATTCTAGATATGAAATGATTATTACTAAGATTCAACTTTTCATGAATCTTTTTTTTTTTTTCATAAAACTTATCCATTTTTTATCTTTATTACTTTTTCATTACCTTCAAATGTCACACCTTCATTTCCAATAACAAATTTTTCATTCCAATATACAATAATAATAATAATCTCACTCGTCCTGTGTTTATAAAAAAAAGAAAAGAAATGTCAATAAATAATTATAATTATACTTATTTATATAAATAATTAATTTAAATTATTATTAATATATACAAACATATTACTACATTTCACATCATTTTATATTACAAAAAATTTTATATTTTTTATACGTATTCCACATATATAAAATAAATATTCACAACAAATATAATATCATTTTTATTTATTACACAAGTTAATATTAACTATCTACTAACTTCTATATTTTTTTTTAACAATATCTAAATAATTTTTAATTTCAACATATACAAAAATATATTTACTAAATATTCATAAATTTTAACTACCTCTATTTATTTTAGTAATTAAAAATTATAATTTTAATAATTTATCAATAAAAAAAACTCAAAAAAGTATCCAAAATTTACTGACCTTAATATTCTTC